CATGCACCTGCACATCTGCATGTACCTGCATGCACCTGCACATCTGCATGTACCTGCACAGCTGCATGTACCTGCATACACCTGCACATCTACATGTACCTGCAGGACTGCATGCACCTGCAGGACTGCACACACTTGCACAACAGCATACACCTGCACTGCTGCATGTACCAGCAGGACTGCATACACCTACATAAATGCATGAACCTGCATGTACACATGCACAACTGCATGCACCTGCACAACTACATGTACATGCACACCTGCACACACCAACACAACTTCATGCACCTGCACAACTGCATGTACCTGCACAACTACATGTACCTGCACAACTGCATGCACCTGCACAACTACATGTACATGCACACCTGCACACACCAACACAACAGCATGCACCTGCACAACTGCATGCACCTGCACAACTACATGCACCTGCACACCTGCATACACCTGCACACACCAGCACAACAGCATGTACCTGCACAACTGCATCTGCATGCACATGTTTAACTGCATGTACCTGCAAAACTGCACACACCTGCATGTACAGGCACACCTGCATGCACCTGCACAATTGCAAGCACACCTGCATGACACTCGCAGAACTGCATGCAAAAAAATCTTCCCCATCCTTTAAAGACAAAAGCACCTGCACACCTGCATGCACCTGCACAACTACATCCACCTGCATCCACCTGCACAATGGCATGCACTGCACACACCTATACACCTGCATGCACCTGCATGACACCCGCAGAACTGCATGCAAAATATTCTTCCCCATCCTTTAAAGACAAATAAATGTCTGAAAGAAATAAAATATAAAATGTAGGTCATAAAAGAAAAGAAAAAGACTTTCAAAGACTTTTTTTCCCAGCTTGTCTTCAGGTGTGGATGGAGATGTACGGTTCTTGTTCTTCTTGTCATGTTGTTGTAGAGTTTCTCTGTGATGTCTTTTTAACTTGTTCTCCGTCAAATCCTTGCTGAACATCCCTCCCCAATGCCAGCTCTCCAGCTTTATGCACTTTCCTACCAAAGATGTCTTTTATGTCCTGTGCTCACTGCTGTGCCAGTCGGCCCTTGCTCTCCTTATATGGTACTGTATGTTCAGTCTACTCCGCATTTTATATGGCTAAAGTATTCTAGGCTGCAAGACAGGATGCTGTTTATAAGCCAATTTTCCTCAAGGTTCTGATCATTTAGGATGTCAGTTTTTCCTGCTTTACATAAATAATCATGACGGCAGTACTTTCCAAGTACCTGTGTACACACAGGAAGTGGCTACTAGACCGGCCAGATTTGTAAAGTATATTCTGACTTCATCTAAATGTAAAATAACATGATGGGTTGGATTCATGGAAAATGTCTGATCCCATATCAGACACTGCTTCAATGAGTCAACTCATTCTGTACCAATCAACTCTCAGATTGTTTTTTTTTTCTTCAAAATTTACTTTGGCTCCTGGGTTGACCCGGCCTAAAGTGTGTGCCAGGTAATGTTCTGAGAAGTAAAGATGGCTAGCTGAATGTTGACCACATCACACACCAACTGCTGACTGGTTAAACAAAATGTATAACTTTAGCATCGTGTGCCCTGCCCAGGATGTCACTGACGTAAAATGGGTCTTTTACTTTCTTTTACTTTTTTTCAGTTAAAATGGACCTTTTACTTTTACATTTTATCAGCTAAATTGGGTCTTTACTTTTACTTTATTGTAGCTAAAATGGGTATTTTTACCTTCTTTTACTTTTTAATCAGCTAAAACGGGTCCTTTAATTTTACATTTTATCAGCTAAAATGGGTCTTTTATTACTTTACTTTTACTTTTTATCAATCAATTCATCCTGCATTTTCTTTGGTTTTCACTTTCATGACATACGTTTTGTACCTCCTTGTTTCCCAAACACTTGTTATATTAACCCTTTTGCTACAGCTGTCTCTTTAACTCCTGGTCTAATAGTATTAATGTTTAACTCCTTCACACCCACCATTTATTAATTAAAAAGAAATACTTATGTGGACAGAATCAATTATAGTAAGACCTGCCTGATATTAAAAGAGTTATTACCATATAGCATACAACACTAATAAAGCAATTTGATCGTAACTAGTGGTAGATTTTCTTGCTCCTGACAAAATCTACTAATTTTTTTCTGATCGATTGATTTGATTCAAGAATCGACATCAAAACACTCAGGGCATTCCCATAAGCACTCCGTCCCCATCTTCAGCAGCCAGCAAAGAGTTCCGATACTAATGGTGCCAGTAGCATTCTGATTAAACGTCCGTCTTGCCTTTCCTCTGAGCCTCGAGCATCAGCCAGAACCTCTCATCACTCCCCGCTGCATCAATCTCACCAGACTGTGGTGATCCATCTGCTCCTCTGAACTGTACACGCTCTCCCACAAGGCACTAACCACGTCTGCCTTATCATATTTCTAACATGACTGGAAATAAAAAATTAACACTCATATATACCAGTCCATAAAAGTAATTGCTTAGATTGCTACTAATTAATTTGGAAGACTGAGTTGATACATAAACCTTCAGGTTCATTTGAGCAGTGCGTACGACTAGCCTCTAGCAGTGTACTGCTGATATGGATACTTTCCTTGTAATTCATGACCATAGCGGCGTCCGTGGCTAAGGCGTTGCGAGTCCGACTCGTAAGCCAGCATACCGCGATCGAAACCCACTGCAGGCTGCGTGGATTTTCGTCGTGGTATGGGACGTCGCAGGTTGACCCAGCCTAAAATGGGTACCAGGATGAGCTGTCCTGGGAAAGTAAAGACAGCCGGCGTAATGCTGACCACATTACCCACAGAGTGCTGATGGTCTGTAAAAATATGGGACGCTCTGCCCATATGCCCGATGCGCCGAAAGGCGTGAAAAGGGATCTTTACTTTTTTTTTTTTTTTAATTCATGACCATAGTGTAAACTAGTAAGGGACTGTGTAACATCGTCCTCAGTACCCTCTTCAAGGGCAGAAAAACAACCACACACAAAAACAACATTATGTTGAGTTGAGTCAACAATTGACATCACAGCACTCGGGGTATTCCCATGAATGCTCTGTCCTCATCTTCAGCAGCCAGCGCAGAGTTCCAATATTGATGGTACCGGTCACAATCTGGTTAAATGTCCATCTTGCCTTTTCTCTGAGTGTAGTGAGCCAGCCAGACTCTCTGATTACACCCAGGTGCCTCATTCTCTCTCCATACAAACTTCAGAGCAGAGCAGCAAGCAATTATTGATTCAGCCAAAGTGCTCGAGGAAAGAAAAATTAAAAACAGCAAAATTGTTTTCCTTTGTGACTGCATGTCAGTCCTCCAGGCGACTCATAGGGATCCACGAGACAAGATGGAAAGAGAACTGACCCGTCAGCTAAACAGACTCACAGAAAACAATCAAATCGTTCTCCAGTGGATCCCGGCTCACTGTGGCATACCAGGAAATGAGTTAGCAGACAGGCTTGCAAAAAATGGAACAAAGGAGAAACAACATCCCCATTCATTGTCATTACCAGAAATCAGAACACTTATCAAAGGAAAATACAAGGGATTGTGGAGAGAACAAACTAACAGTAAACATCCACAAGACCCCATCAGCAGACTCAACAGAAAGCAACATACAACAATTTTCCGTCTACGAACAGAACACTGCAGGCTCAACTACCACATGCATAAAATAAAGATTGTACAATCCCCCCAGTGTGCCAGTCAAACAGGGCCCCAAACACCTCAGCACATTCTGCAGACCTGCCCACTCTACCTGCAACTTCGAAAAGACACCTGGCCTCAAGAGCAGAGTGTGCAGAGCAAGCCATGGGGAACCATGCAGGACCTGCAGCTGACATGCGTGTTCATAGAGGCAACCCACCTGATGGTCTGATCTGAGCATACGAAACCGAACGCAAAGAAGAAGAAGAAGATTCTCTCTAGGCCATAATAATCTTCTTTCTCTACTGATTCCGTTGCTTGTTCTCAGAGGGCCTTGACCACATCTGCCTTGTCATGTATCAATTCACCACCCAGTGGTGCGGATCCAGCCAATTTGGATTATGTAAGAATGGTATTAGAACTTTAGATTTGCTGAACTTTAGATCAACACAGACTGACAGGGGAGCCACCGTGGTGTAGCTGCTAGATGCTCACCTGTGGATCTGAAGGTTGTGGGTTGCCCGGCTCTCTAGCGTAGTTGGCTAAACCGGATTGCGCGGAGACCGGGTGATGAACTCCTTGTGGTCTGGGTTCAATCCCGGGGGTAGGCAGGAAAGCCACATTTCTCCCAGATTTACGGTATTTACAATGGAATCAAGGCCGAAAGGTTGCGATATCCATAATACCGAGCCTAAGAGTTAACAACTCATGGCTTCTGGATACTAAAACAAACAACAAACAAACAAATGAAGGTTATGGGTTCAAATCCAGATGGAGCCAGACTTTTTTTTTTTTTAAATGACCTCGGCTCCCAGTTGACCCTGACTTAAAGGGGTACCAGATAAAGTCCGGGGAAGTAAAGGCTGCTGGCATGATGTTGACCATAATACTCACCAAGTTCCAACTGTTCTATCAAATATAGATCTAGCACTATATGTCCAAACGCATGGACAAAGATTCTTTACTTAGACCAACTGAGATTACCCCTAGCTTGATAATGCTTCCTCTATAGGTTTTGAAGACTGTAACCTACTGTCTAAAGAGCTCATACGAGTAACATACATATTCCCGGTGTAGATTTTTGGGTGGTATATTTTTGAGGAAAAAAGAAGAAACCCACAACTTCTTAACAAGCTTTCTGTAATTGGTGATTAGTAAAGTATTTCCTAAATGTGGATATGTTGGGCTCAAAGGCACAGATATCACAGCCTAGCTGTAAACACCACACAAAGTGATATTCCATTCTTATTAGGATAATCGCAGAAAAGAGTATACATATAACACTTTGTATTACAATAACTTAAAGGGGATGCACTAAATTTGAACTTATACTCACAGTGTCCACAGTATCCACAAAAACCTCACCAAGGATGTCCTGATTGTCTGTAAACATAACTTCTGGAACCCTATTACAAACAATGCAGCCACTTACGTTAAATTAAAAGAAATCCAATAGCAGTTACTGATATATGGGTGTAAGGTGCTGGGCTTTCACATATGCTAGGTAATGGTATTATGACGTAGGGTATCAATGTTCCTTTCTCACAATTTTCTTTCCGTGAAAAAGTCTCATAGATAGAATGTGCAACTGTTTAGAGGTATAGTATCAGCTGGTTATTGGATTTATCGTGTAAATTGGGGTATGGTTGAGATGTTTATGGATCTAATATGATGGAGTCTGTTCATAATGACAAACTTTAACTCTGAGGGATATAAGAGGGAACTATAATGAGTGGGTATTTCCAGTGAGTCATAAGAGTTCCCCAGCATTACGGGTTAAGGGTCAAAGACCAGTTAGGAATGGAACCAATAGGAAAGCGTGTAATAAGTAAGCTTGTGATTTCTCAAGAACAAATTGATGATTGGAAGGAGAAACCCATGGACGGGAAGAAAGGATTGAATGCGAGGCAGTAGGAACAAGGGCTGTACTGAATAGTAATTTTCACTATTCGGCCGAATACGAATAGTGAGACCAACTATTCGGCCAAATACGAATACAAATAGTGTATCATCATCAATAGGTGCCTTGCCGACTGGCGTGGGCGATCATGCCTCTCCACAATCTGCTCTCCTGCAGCATGTAACAGTTCATGTGCTGACACACCTCCATGCCATGCAACAAGACTGTCAAGAATCTTTTCTCGTTGTCTTCCTCTATCCCTCCTTCCACAGATCATTCCAGTGGTCACTAAATGTTCCATTTTTCCTCTTCTCATAAGATGGCTGAAAAATTACGACTGTCTCCTTTTGATGTCTGTGATTTGTTGTCTTCGGGCTCCCGCCTCTTTCAAAACCATCGTTTGCTCGGCCGTCCGTTTGATGTAATTTAAACGCATCTCATATTCTCGTTAGCAATATCTTCAAATTTGATTTGAGCAAAGACACCCTGAAAGAACGAAAAATGCATGATCTTTCTCTCTCTCTCTCCCCCTCTCTCTCTCTCTCTCTCACACACACAGACACACACTTACACCCACACACACGCACACAAACGGGAGTAAGGTAACAACTATTCATATTCAGTCCGACCGCAACTATTCGGCCGAATACTGAATAGTTATTAGGTCCACTATTCGGCCCCGAAGCGAATATGAAGCGAATATTTGGTACAGCCCTAGTAGAAATGATCAGCTGGTGTTTGAGAGAAAAGCTGGGATGACTGAACGAGTGGCTGGAGTGAATCATGTCAGCTGACAGTTGGATCAAGTATCTGGTCTGCAGTGAAAATGGCTGAGCCAAAAGTGAACCTGTGTTAAACAATCAAGTGGCAGAGAATGCTTGCTATGCTGCGCCTCAGAGATGAGAAAACATTTGAATGGAACTTCTGAATTGCCAGGTAATTAGCTGAGTATTTCGAGTAGTAGATCTGAAGCATTGGCGATTCCTTAGAAGAACAAGTGATGACGAAGAACAGCAACATAATGATGCAACCCAGGAACAGCATTAAAAATCTGATCAAAATTTTGCGGTATCGCCTGGTGTGATTGTTGTTAATTTAACTAGACAGAAGAGTGGAACAAAGAGTGGAGAAGTGAGCTTACAGTTGGTCGAGAATTGTGCCAAGGTGGTGACACATTACAGGAATGAATGAGCAGATGACTGGCTTGCTATTAGGTTGACGGCAGGAACAGGAAAAGCTATGGACTGGGCCGATGTTCACAAGGCTTTCAAGAAGGCAGGGCGAGTAGATGATTCAGGACATGATGATGAATCTGCAACCTTGACAAGACACAAGAACCTTATGCCTAAAAAGGTGTTGCCAGATATTAACAATATGCAGTAGACAAAGACAAACAGTAAACCTACACAGAACTGGTGTTGTCAGTCACCATTTGCTGAGGGCGCTAGTAAATTTAGAATCCAAGCACTTATCGATGTGCGATGAGAATAATCACTCAACTAACTAATCTTAAACTCTGTAGAAGAAATATTAATCTTTGTGTTCTCTAAACTTTATGATCTATATTCTCTTGTAAAAGCTAGTTGTTAAAAGATATTTTCAGGCAAAGCTTTTATTTCTGGAAGGACAGTTTTCTTTAAAAAAAAATGTAGCATTAGATTAATGCAACTGTTAAATTCACGATGTGGGGAAAACCCAAGATGGCTTGTAACACTGGTACTACATACACGTTTTACCCAAAGCTGAACCCGAAGCTGAACGGGGAGAAGAGGAGAGTGTTAGACAGGGACGTGTGAGGCTGAAGACATAGAGAGACATTCTAGATTATACTGTGTTAGGAGTTGAAAGATAGCGACTGTTAGCGTGTCGTAATGTGTTTTGGTTAGCTGTTAGTATTTCTCATGTGTTATATAGTATTCTACTGACAGTTGTGTTGATATTGTGTCATCGTAAGCAGTTATTCAGGTATCTGGGTGATTAGAGTTTAGCTGTGCTTGGTAGTGGCGATTTTGCCTATCCTCACGCATCCAGCAATCCACGTTGCAGACACCTCACGAATCCTCAGGCAGAGTCCAATGGCAGGGTAGAAAGAGCATATCCGAGGTTGGGTGAGTTCAAACCTTCGTTGTTTATCCATGGGAACATGAATAGGTTGGAGTGGTTAATTGTAAAGCTCTCCCAGCCTAGTTTTGGATAGGGGTGCTCACGCACTCAGAAGTCAACTACTATTTTGCAAAATCGTACTCTTGGTGTGTTGTTCGATAGTGTGTCTGTCACGGGGCCGTATAACGAGCCGTAGTTCAGCAGGATAGATGCACGGCCCTTTATAGTCTTGATATTATATATAAAAATGCAAGTGCCAAACCTATTGCCCATAATATAGGTTATGATGAAGTTGAACACAAAATTTCAATCCGAGTGCCTCTGTTTCATTCAGCTGTGCCTGGAATTCAGTTGTTGTAAAACTTGACATGTCATACAACAACAACAACAAAAAATTACAAAATCCAAAGTATTTAGACTAACTGATTCAAATAAAGACTAGCTGATGCATAATTGAACAGAGAAGGCAAGTAAATTCTTAGAAATGGATAGTATTGTTGCTGAACAAGTAAAAAAATTAGATAAGCACAACATTTCACATGTAACAAATCTTTATGTGTGTCCAACATCCTTAAATGTTGTGTCATTTGAATATTTTGTTGTTCTAATACTGATACTTAAATAGTTTCATTTCTCTTTAATTTGATATATTATATGTCACTATACAGCCAATATTTTTCTTCAGAAAGGTTTTAGCTATGTCAAGTTGCAGTAAAAAAAAAGATTATTTGAAAACTGATGCTGTCCAAACCCTCCAAAAAGGTTGTCTTGAATATAGTTTTAAAAGCAGATAAAAAGCACATGGAAGCATCAACGCGAAACAAACCTTGCCAGCCATGGGTCCCATTCTCCAGATTCATCCACATAGTAGTCAAACACACAAATGTCAAGGTCATCATCTGGCAGACTGCAAAAATCCATTAAAAAATAATGTTGTAAATCTGACCATATCACAGTCAGATATAAATTTTATCTAAAGATTTAAAAAAAAAACAGTTAGAGGTGGGGGATTGGGGTGTTATATGCAGTTATTATTTATAGATTTAAGTGACAGAGGACCTCAATGGCACGATAATGACAGTGATAATGGAAATATCAGTCATTATGATTTGGTGTGATAAATAAAGGATCACTTGCTTTGCAAACTCAGCTGCAAGTGATTAAGTCTCCTCCCATAGATTACAATACAAAGTTTCAACAATGCACAGAACCCCTAGCATTAATCAAGATCTAAATGTGTGTATATCAAAACCATGTATATCAGCAATATCCTTGGTGTGCATGTATAATATCTAGCACTTATATTTTTTTCAGCCTACGGCTCCTCTCGGTTACATTATTTGTCTCATACTATGAAAATCATGTGTTTGGTTCCACAAATATCATTTTTTTTGTTTATGTGGACAGGTGTTTTTGATATCCTTGATGATTGTACTTCATACTCTGAAAGTAGAAGATTTGGTTTTGGACCCCATTATTCAGTTCCAGGTACAGGTGGTTCAGAAATCCCACCGGGGCTTAATGTTTGCTTTGTGCAAACAGGTATCACACAGCAAGCTTGGAAAACTGAAACTGGTGTCCTGCACACAGAGAGGACTTCCATCAGTCTATAAGACCCAGATCAAGGGCATATAATGGTTTTCTGTCCAGAATATTCAGGTGTGTGAGGTAATGAGCAGCCTGATAGATTTGCTGCTGCCACTCCTCTGGGTGGTGAGCTATTTGATGATAAAGCAAATGTGGTGAAGCCTCTATAGGATCAAATGGACAGTGCAAAATAACAGATGGGGAATCCATAAACTGAAGGACTAATAAAACAGGGGGTGAGTAGAAGTTCTAGAAGATATTCAGCGTTGAAGGGGAAACATAGCTAACTTTTAATCAGGTTGCAACTGGTACTACTAGCATGTCAACTCTTCTTTGGTTACAGAAGAAGGTGACGGAACACAGTGATGTCAATTCTTGATTTGACCCTTCATTCATTCATTCTTAGCATATAACAGTCATTCTGCAGGGAGATAATTAACTCTTTTAGTCACAAACAATACACTATGTGTACTGAATTTTACTCATGTGCACCAGTCAACATGCTTTGTATATTTGTACATCTGAAGTTTAGTCAGGTAGAAGAAATTTACAACAAGGTCAACAATAGAAGACATGGTGTTGTTTGAACTGTTATGAGAAACATATGCTTCTCTGGGAGGTAGAAGAAATGCACACCTAAGTCAAAGATAGCAGATGTGATGCTGGCTGAACTGTTTTGTATTGTTAGGAGACACACATGGTCCTATGAAAGGCAGAAGAAATGTACAACTAGGTCAAAGATAGCAGACATGGTGCTGGTTAAACTGTTTTGTATTGTTAGGAGACACACATGGTCTTCTGAAAGGTAGAAGAAATGTACAACTAGGTCAACGATAGCAGACGTAGTGCTGTTTGAACTGTTTTATATTGTTAGGAGACACACATGGTCTTCTGAAAGGTAGAAGAAATGTACAACTAGGTCAACGATAGCAGACGTAGTGCTGTTTGAACTGTTTTATATTGTTAGGAGAAACACACATGGTCCTCTGAAAGGCAGAAGAAATGTAAAACTAGGCCAGTGATAGCAGACATGGTGCTGTTTGAACTGTTTTTTATTGCTAGGAGAAATAAGCTTTCTTAATGTTAATTATTCTGAAATGTATAAAGCTAATGAGAAAACAAATTTTGAGTAATGACTTACGCAGTTGATAGGGTTTTCAGAAGGTCACTGAATGCCCTGCGGTCACTACTGTCTAGCAGTCCACCAAAAGACCAAATCAGACAGAAGATGTACAGTCTTTCAATATGGAGGTCACCGGAGACTTCAATGTTTTCAGTCAACATGGCCGCCAACAGGTCAAGACATGTCTTCAACATGCCAACTTCTGAAAGCTTAAGGTGACACCTGATGATAGTAAAATTGTACAGGATCATAAAAACAATTATAATGACACAATAATTACAGTGATAATTAAAATATTAATCCTTATGGCTTAGTGTGGTTTGTAATGGATTACTTTTATTTTTGCAAACTCAGATAGCACCATGTGATTTAGTATCATTCCATAGATCACACTGCAAAGTTTCACAAAGCACACAAACCCTATAGCACTGGTCAGGATCTAAACGGGTGTATCAATACTCCTGTATATTATTAATATCTTGTGTGTGCAGTTATGATTTTTATTTTAGCATTTACATTTTTCAGTCTAGGACTCTATGTCATGAAGTGATTAGACTATTTGTCTCATAGTAAAAAAAAAGTAAAAGTAAAGATCCCTTTTCACACCTTTCGGCGCATCGGGCAAATGGGCGGAGCGTCCCATATTTTTACAGACCATCAGCACTCTGTGGGTAATGTGGTCAGCATTACGACGGCTGTCTTTACTTTCCCAGGAAAATTATGATCTGGTTTTGTTTCAGATGCTATTATTTGATACACATGGACAGGTGTTTTGGATATCCTTGATGGTTGTTTTTGGTGTTTTGGATATCCTTGATGGTTGTTTTTGGTGTTTTGTATATCCTTGATGGTTGTTTTTTGGTGTTTTGGATATCTTTGATTATTTTAAAAATATCCTTGGTTGTTTTTGGTGTTTTGGATATTCTTGATGGTTGTTTTTTGGTGTTTTGTATATCCTTGATGGTTGTTTTTGGTGTATATCCTTGATGGTTGTTTTTGATGTTTTGGATATCCTTGAAGGTTGTTTTTGGTGTTTTGGATATCCTTGATGTTTTTTTTTGGAGTTATGGTCCTTCATTCTTTGTAGGATGCTCTTGGCAGGATAACAGCCATTCTGCAAAGACAGACTGAGAGATGAAACATGGTGCAATGAAGTCAATCCTGTCGCCTTTAAACATGTTTCCCTGTTTCAGCCTATTTAAAAATTATTTTACTACCAAAGTAGTAATGTAAAATGCACATCATATATTGCTCATTCCTCTTCTTTTTCTTCGTCCTGTTCACCAGCTTAAACTCTGGTGAAAAGTTCTGGTTGTTCATCCACTTCTAGATTTTAGTTTTGTTCCATAACTTGAATTTTGGGTGCTCGTATGTTTTACAATATGGTGTATATGTTAGTTTCTCACCTCTCAGGGAGACACACTCTGACTTTGAAAGAAACATCCCTAATTAGTTTACTTTTATGACATGCTTATTAGGAGAAGCAGTCAGCTGTTTGTTTCTTTAGTTTTCATCCAACATTTGAAATGGTTCAGCTAGTTGTTCAGTCAGTAAATAAATAAAAGAAAGAATTTAAAAAAAAAAACACATACTTAGTGTTACTGAGAACAAAACTGATAACTGGATCCAGTGTCTTTTGAAAAGCTTTCAGCAAAACCTGAAAATAAGACAAATGAAGGGTGTAATCATGTATTAGTCGGCTCTGTGGCTAAGTCGATGCGAACGATTTGTAATGTCGGGGTGCCTGGTTCGATCCCAGCTGTGGGCCTTGCGGGTTGCGTTGGTTTTGACATTGGTATCAGGGGGCTGACTGTCCAGAAAGCAATGGCAAACTACTGGACGTAAATTTGCCTAGAGAAACCAGACAACAGCCAGGGGGTGCTTGGGTTGGTTCTGCAACATCCTGTAAAGGATACGCAACTAACCTAATCATGTATTAACAGATAAGTTTATGTTTATTCAACGGATCAACATTATGGCACGCGGGTGTAAACCATAAGTGCTCCGTTCTACTTCTGAGTCTGAAGATTCTCAGCACAGTGCACGAACTCCGTTGCCCCAGCGAGGATCCTGAAATACTTTGGTAGATTTTTACTCTAAATTTTGCCCAGGCAGCACCGTTAGGCTACTCTTTTCGATTTTCAACTGTCAAGGGATTTTTGTTGTGTGCAACAATACACACGGGTGTCCGGTTTTACTACCCAGAGACCAGGGGAAAATTTTTAGAAGTCCATGTGAAAAAATCCCAGCCCTCACCGGGGTTTGAACCCAGGACCTCTAGCAATCAAGGCAGACACCATGCCCCGAGACCACACAGCCCCCTTATTTATAACAGATAAATTAACCATCATGCAGGAACCACCCTAGCACAGTGGTTAGATGTTAATGATTGTTCACATGAGGAGCTGGTTATAATGTCTCTTGCGTCAGCCTCAAAGGTGGCACAGACATGCTTCACCACACTTTACTCCTATGTCATGCAATCCTGTTAGCATCAGAGAGACATCATTATACACTAACCTAGTCCAAACAGCATTGATATTATCTCCTCTTTCCATTCTTCTACCCACACATATGAGTCATTAGGAATAAAAACTGGCCATGCTATCTTATTTTATTAAGCTATGAACTTGAGAATGTGAAAGGCATGACACTTTACACCCTAAAAGAAGTATCATACCATGACAATTCTCATTGAAAAAAAAAAAAAACTGTTTGTATAGCAAACTGGGCTTGAGTCATAAATTCTCTACTCAGCATCTAAAGCAATAATAAATCTGGTCTTAATAATGCTATACACAAGAATGTAACAACAGTGACAGCATATTTTTTAAACATAGTAACTATCAGAAACTACAGAAATCAGCATCATTTCATATTCATCATAGCAACAAAAAAAAAAAAAAAATAGAAATCCCCACCATTAAAACAAAGTAGAAATAAGTTATTGTTCATTAAAATCTAATCCAACTTTCAAAATAATATTCTACCTTTTTCTTATCATAAAATATCACTCTTGACCAAGAAAGCTAAAGGCAAATGCTTCAGTTTCTTCAACTCTTCAGATCACTGCTTTTAAAAAACATGTCTTTTTTGGGGGTTGCTTTTTGGTTTTGTTTGTTTTTAAATTATATAAAACTGATAAACATGACATACATGTGCTTCAGAATGTGGTCTTGTGTCTAGCCAAGCTCTGGTGACAGCCTTCCAGCCAACAACATCTCTGTCAATGTACAAGATACCCTGAAAATAAAATTCAAACCCTATCAACTTGGTAAGCTCTCACAAAGGTGAACAAAGAACTCGGTGCAGGGTCATTATTTCCACTAAACCAGCATGGTAGACACTTATGACACTAATGCAGTAGCTAATATTTAGAGAGCTTTACAACAGGATACAGCCAAAGGTCACTGGCTGATAAGAGGAAAGTAAAAGACCATTATGATTTGTATATGCTTGAAAAACACTGGGTGCGGAGAGCAGGTTAAAGTGTCGAAACAAACATCAGATCGCTGTAAAGTTCTAGTCACATAACTGAAGTGCAAATTAAACCACACTCAAACACTACAAATGAGACTGGTCAGAAAGACCATCCCTCCACAATAGCCCACCACCTTTTAAAATCTGGATACTGTTACCACTAAGGATAACACATTTCAAATCCTTTGTATGGTTGTCCAGTGGTGAACACTAATATTTCTTGAAGCCACCACGATTCGTTATCTGCACCCTGAACTTCTGGCATTGCAGTTGCCCTGGTAAAACACACAGTCACTTTAGAGTGTGGTTGAATTTGTACTTCAGTTGTAAAAGATTTAATTGTTACTGTAGTATGCAGCTGATGAGATAGAGTGAAATATGCCAGGTAATCAATTGTGCAGTCTATTGTTTGCCTTCTTTGTTCAAAATAAATATCAGCATAAAATTCCATGTTTGGGTTCCGGGGCCCATTATTGGAAAAATGAATAGAAACACACCTCCCCAACAAGCATGTCATAGGTGTCGACTAACCTGGGGCCCCCTTTGAAGTCAGAGTGCATCTGCCCGAATGGCAAGGAAAAACCAACTGTACACTTCTTCTTCTTCTCTTCCACCTTGTACCTCATCGAAGTGTCGGGGGGAGACATAATGTTTGTTGATGAGCTCTGTCAAGAGCACTATTAAGACTGATGTTCATTTCTGTAAGGCTGTTCTTAATGCCATCACTCCATCTTTTCTGAGGTCTTCCACTGGCTCTATACCCGATGTAATGTTTTAGTGTGGCTCACTGTGGCGGATAGTACCAGGGCATTCTTGTTAGGTGTCCAAACCACTTCATTTGTTGTTCTTTGATGATTTCGTATTCTGTCTTTCCTTGAAACTCCTGCAGCTCTTCTAAGGCATTTCATCTCTGTTGTCACAATTTTACGTTCATTGGAGGATGTAAGTGTCCACGTTTGGCATTGATAGTATAGTGTTGGCCAAAAAATAGTAACTGTATACAAACCAGTAAAATAGGTGTACATGCTAAATTCAGGCTCTGGTATAAGGCCAAATTAAAATGTATGAACAACCAGGACTTTTCGCAGCAGGTTACAGCTGGTGAACAAAAGAAGAAAGAAGAAGATCAACGTAAAATATATACATACGCAACTAGAGACAGCACTAGGAGAAGCCTCGGTAAGGTCATCCGTCTCAAATAACAGCTTGATCCTATTGGACAGAAACAGTTTGTCTCCATTCTTCAAATGTAAGACCTTCTCTCCAGACAGAATGCTGCTAAAATTGTCTGTCCAGCTTGAGTTCAAAACCCCATCCAGACACAACCATGTAGTACTGCGATTCTGGAATATTAAAAAAAAAAAAAATATTTATGTCAACATCTGGTTTTAATCTCTATAATACACATCTGAGAAACCTGCAAAAAACAAACACTGTAATAAATGAGCCTAGTTTTTTTTTCTGGCAGTATGCCGTACCGGTTCATTTTTTATAATCATCATCATCATCAAGTGGCTTACTAGCTGGTATAGGCGTTCATGAATCTCCACAGATCTCAGTCTTTGGTGTTCTCAATAAATTCCACTGATGATATTCCTCCATGCCACTGTCTTAAGACATCCATCATCTTACTCTTGGTCTGCCTCTTCCTCTTCTACCAGTGGTCTTTCCAGTCGTCATGATATTCTTCAGTGCTCCTCTTCTTATCATATGACCAAAGAATCTCTGTTTCTCTCCTTCTCATTGTTGTATATCATTTTCTACTTTCATTAGCCATTTTCAGGCAATCATTGTTAGTTATTCAGGCAGTCCAATGTATTTGCAACATTATTCTCTAGAACCACATCTCAGTTGCTGCCAAACTCTTCTTAATTTGTTTGCTCACATTCCAAGATTCACTGTCACACAGCAAAACACGCTTGATGTAACATTTCATTACTTGTGTGGTTCCTTTTTTTGGCATCCCTTTTCTTCCTCCCAGAGCTACATTAAAACTCTGGAGATGACGTGGTCTAAATATTGGCCTAACGCAAAGTAGCCAGAAGAACGGCTGGGCCGATCGGTCAGCCGTGTGTAATAAAAGTAATATTGGCTGGCAGGTTTTCGCACCAGCCAATCAGACTGATTCTCTCATTTCTTGCACATGTGGGCTGTTTGTTGATGGCTTTTGAGAAAGTCTGATGTGTTCTGTAATTTTACATGGATTTTTTTCTGGGGTTACCTGTGCCCAGAAAATGGCGAAAAGGACTGTTGCATCATAGCAACTGAAACATAGCTGGAGGCAGGAAAATGAATAGAACCATGTGTCAGACGTGTCTGAAGCACTTCCAAGGGCCTTTCTTCCCAAAATACAGCTGTTAGGACTTATTCAAGCTTCTTCCATAAACAAATACACCCACATTTTTCAGGTTAGTTAAGTTTGTTCCCAAGTTTTCTAAAAATTGCTTGCATAAATTATGCAAATCATAATTGTTAATTTGAATAAATGTTGAGATTTCAGTTTGATTCATAAATATTATGTTAGTTCATTCAATTTCCTTCACAAATATATATAGTTTTGTCTATGTTAATTAAATGCTTTATTTTTTTAATAACTTTTTGTGTATAAACTGTGAGAATCCCCTCCTGAAGGCTCCGTCTTCCTGGGACTGAAACTCTAAAAAGGCTCCGTCTCCAAAGGGTTAACTTTTTAAGGCCCAAGCAACAATGTGAGCTTTGATTGAGAAGTTCTGTTTTGTTCAAACAATGTTGTCATCGTCAGTCATGTGCCCCTTACATATTGCTTTGCACACGGCTCTGTACGTTTTCTAATGTTCGAAACTACAAGTAAAGTATTCAGGAAAAGTCACTGTAACAATTTCTTTTTTAACAACATTCCATATCCCAAGCCACTTGTGCATAGATTAATCAAATTCATAGCTACATTTTTTTTTCAACAGTGCATTTTTTTAAGTTCGTTCTTAAGTGCCATGCATACCAATGTTCCAACCTCAAGTACAAGTCGCAGAATGTGCCTTTCTGCGGCCAAAGCTATGAAATTATTTCAGTCAGATGTTTTTAATTCTGATAATGATATTGAAAATTTAGATTTTTTTGGAAAGTGATTCAGACTGTGAATTTTTGCCAGCGGCAGCTGTTGGAAATCTAGCGATTCTGATGAGTTTACACAGACAATGTCCCATTGCTACCGAATTTATGGTGTAAGAAAAGGAAGGTGCTCCAAACAAAGAGACAGTACTATACTATGGTAAAGCTACATTGAAATCATTGCAGCTACAGTCTGAATAAAACTGTACAAAGAAAATAGTAAATAGTGTGTGTGTGTAATGGCCCATTTTTCTGCCATTTTTTCTATAAAATTTGGCTCAGCACTCTGTGAGAACCAAGAGCCAGCCTCAGAGTGCTAAACTTACCCAGAAACTTATTATAACTTTATAATTTGTTAGGAAATTGAACTGAAGTTTGAAGTGTTGTTCTCAAGTTTGGATATTTACTACTCTTGCGGCTGCAAAACCATGATAAGTAAAGAATTTGTTTGTAAAATGTTGTTGTGAAATTAACACCTGCTGAATTCTTCTTTCCTACTAACTAAAACAAAATTAAACTTTCGCTTATCATCAGATTCATTTCTCTTTAAAAAAAAATATACTTTAATAGGGATTAGAAGTATATTACATTCTCTATTGCCTTTCTCGTACACCACCCCCTCTGCCATTTTTGTAAAGGGAAATTATTGTGGGCCAAGACTGTCAAAATTCATGGGCCTGAAAGAGTTAATAAGACACTTTGTGGTCAGTACAGGTTTTTTTTTTTTTTAAAGATATTTTGTATTTAAAAAAAAGAGTCCTGGCCATGTCAGTAAGTGTGTCAAGTCAGTGTTCCTGTCTTGCCCCTTGCGTATAGCTAAACCATCCGTATTTTTATCTTTTCAGCTTCCCCTTGCTTTCTTTCCATCCATCTTGCCAGTTGTTACAAGTTGCCAAGTCCATTCCCTCTCATAGCATGCCCGAAATACTGTGATAAAGCTGTGATATCAGGGTGAAGGATCTATGTGGTGAAGTGATTAAGCTGCCTGCCTTAACTCTTTCAGTCCCAGACTGTTATTTCTTCAACCCATTCGTTCATGTAGTTCTTTCTTAAAACTAATAAGTTCTTGGATCTAAATGACTTTTAGTAATAATCATACTGCATGGAAGGATGTAAATAACAGCTGGAGATGAGTGGGTTAATATAAGAAGTAAATGGGCCTCAAGAATTTAAGAAAGCATCTGGCACGTATAAGGTGATCAATACACGCATGTTGCAATATCTGGTACTGAATAAGTTAACTCTTTCTGTCCAGGGGGTTTGGCAGCAGAGGCCCAAAGGATAGTAAACAGAATTGTAAAATCAGCATATTTTGCGTTCATTGTGCTTTTAGGTAGGAGCGAATGAGCATATAATGCGTTCATTGGGACTGAAAGAGCTCAGCTCTGACAGTCTTAGGTTGGTTTGCCAGACTGTCATGTCCTTCAGATCACAAGTGCAATTCAACCGAGATCCCTAAGATTATCGCTGGAGCTATGAAATTCATGCTTTGTACAATACCTTTGGCAGGTGGCTAGCCATTCTTAGATAGAGACCACTTATTTAGGACAAAACCAAGTGGAATGAAGTCGATCCTCTTAACTTTCAACTTATCACACACATTTTTTCAAAGTATTATGTAAAAGTAAAGTAAGTAGAGGATCCTTTTCACACCAGTGGCACATCGGGCAAATAATGTTAGACTCATATTTTGATAGAGCAGTCAGCACTTGATGGATGATGTGATCATGTTCCCGCTAGTTTTATGTGCTAGCGGGAAGAAAGGAGGGGGGGGAAAACTGAAGAAAAGAGAGATAAAAAAGGAGACAATTTTTGATGAGGACAAAATGTGATAGTTCCCCACTAAACAACAAAAACAGGAAAGTAAAGAAAAGACAGGGATTCTTCTTCGCAGAGATCCAGACCAAACATGAAATAAATAATAGTACATCATGTGTTGCATTGATACACACAGACAAAAGCTGCACACACACACACACAATGTGTTGCCTGGGTCAGAACACATTACCCCACCTCAATTGCGACAATGCAGATTTGAACCCAAGACCTTCAAGCCGCAGGTGACTGAATAGGCTAAAGCAGCATGCTGACTCAATTCTAAACAAATGACATACTTACCCTGTTGGCTTTTCTGATGGCATGTGTGAAAATTCCATCTACCCATTCATGCTTGTGGCCAATGGTGCCAAATATGAGAGCTGTATCATCAACAACCATTGGGTTGATGCAGAGAAGTCTATGCAGGTTCTCAGTGGAGACTTTCTTGGTGTGGCCTGCTTGTGAAACTGTTGATGTCAGCCCACTCAGAGCACTAACCACAGTTTGAATGCACGAGGATTTGCCACTCCCGGTAGGACCAGCAATGATGACACCTAAATGAAAGAAAACAATGTCACATGCAAAGACTGACTGACTGCCTGACATTCAACCCCACCAGAAACACAAAATGAGTGATAAACACCCCGTGACACAAAGTGCCACCATTCAGATGAAAACCATCCAGCGCAAGTCCCAGAAACCCAGTTTAACCTATAGGTCATATTTAGGGCCCCCAAGAACAGCCGGGTGGAGCTCTGAAATAACAAAACATTGCATTCCATTTGGGACAGGGATCAGTCTCATGCAATATATTTTATGTTTCTCAAAGAAATGCAAAAGAGAAGGCTGTCATAGCTTGGCTATAATGTTACATGATGGTGACTTCACACATGTTAGCATATATATTATTATATTATATTATATTATATTATATTATATTATATTATATTATATTATATTATATTATATTATATTATATTATATTATATTATATTATATTATATTATATTATATTATATTATATTATATTATATTATATTATATTATATTATATTATATTATATATAACATTGGCCCCTTTCTGTCTTTCCAGATGACAGTGTTATATTGTGCTATGAGGAGGCATGGGACTCACAGCCCATGGCGATGGTGAGTGTTACTATCAAAAGCCGCCCGTATTAAGAAACGTCTTTCACATTGTAGCATGGGATTTCAGGATTGCTGTTGTCAACTTCTGTATTTTGGTTTCTTCTCAACGCTCAGCTGTCATCCTTTCTGCAATAATTTCTTCTTTCATTCTCATTCCCTTCCTGATATGTCCCCTTAACACAACAAGTCCATGGAATGTTGTTCTCATGAGTCCACCTCACTAACTGTATCATTCATGTCCCATTTGCTCACATTTTTATATTGTAGCAGTGGTCAGCCTCACCATCTTCTACCCATCTTTATTTCCTCATAGAGGATATCTTAGGGACTCTGCCATCCTCCATTCTTCAGGTGTGACCAAGCCACCTGAGCCTTCCCAGACTGAGCATGATTTGATTTGATTTGATTTGATTCAAGAACCGACATCACAGCACCCAGGGCATTCCCATAAGCGCTCCGTCTCCATCTTCAGCAGCCAGCAAAGAGTTCCGATACTAATGGTGCCAGTAGCTTTCTGATTAAATGTCCGTCTTGCCTTTCCTCTGAGCTTTGAGCTTCTGCTAGAACCTCTCGTCACCCCCAACTGCATCAATCTCACCAAACTGTGGTGATCCATCTGCTCCTCCGCATTGTACACGCTCTCCCACAAGGCACTAACCACGTCTACCCTATCATGTAGCAGTATTCCACCAAGTTGTGCAGAGCCAGCCAGTCTGTCCGCCTGTTCATTTCCCAACACACCGGTGTGACCCGGTGAAAAAATCCAGACAATACTCCTCACTCGTGTCCTCCGTAGCGAAGCATGCCACTCTGCACGAAGCATGCCTGTTCTGATCTTCCTCAGCATGATTTCTGAATCAGTTCCAATTACAATGTGTGTGTGTGTCGTGTTCTCTAGCCAGCGGAAAGCTGCAGTGACTGCCTCCACCTCCATTCTTAAGCTGGATGTTGTGACTGAGCATTTAGAAAACTATTGTAATATCTGCTCTTTCCAATACCCTAGTGTTTGTGATCTCGTCCTGCTACTTAATGCCAAGTATTCTTTTTAGGCATCGCATGTGAAAGCTATTTAGCTGTCTCTCCTGGTGAGAATGAGTTGACCACGTTTCACTGCCATACAGCATAGTGCTGAGAACACAAACCTGATGGACATGAGTTTTTGTTTTAATCATGATTTTTCTGTTCTCCTAAACTCTTTTTGACAATCTGCTCATTGCTGTTGCTGCCTTACCTATCCTGAAGTTGATTTCTTGGTCTGGCGCTAGTTTGTTATTCAGTGTGGATCCCAGACAGGTAAAATGATCAACTGTCTCCAGCTCTTTACTGTCGATGTAGACTGCAGGTCTATCATTAACACCTTTCACCATAACCTTTGTGCTCTTTTAGCTGACTGTTAGTCCAAATTCACATCATGCATCAGCAAATGCAGACAGTAAACATAACAGCTCCTCCTCTGAGTGTGTGGTAGTTGCTGCATCATCTGCACACAGCAGCTCTTTAAATAAGTACCTTTCTTATCCTGGTTTTGACCTTCAGCTTGCGAACCTGTAAAGGCTGCTGACTGATCAAGAGTGGATGAATATACCACCCTCCTGATCTCAAGAGAAGTAAGAAGTATATTCCAAAGCGGGTTGGAACAAGTACACATCTCTGCTTCACTCTGTTGTTGAGTACAAACTCCTCTGATGTTACACCCTCAAAGTTGATTGTACCTGTATTGAATGACTCAATAATGACTTAATAATGCTCAAAGGGTAGGTGGACACCCAATCTTTTCTAGTTTGCTGAGCAGACCTTTCGACAAACCAAATCAAATGCCTCAGTATGATCAATTAAAGCAACATAAAGTGGCTGATTTTGTTCACGGCATGTTTCCTGCAGCTGTTGTAATAAAAATATCATATCAATGGTAGAGTGGTTCCCACAAAAGCCACACTGTGATTCTGGGTAAACCTGGTCTCCTAGGATCAGGAGTATTTCGCAGAAAAATTCTCTCAAGTACTTTTCCAACAGTACACAACAGCACACTGCAGTGTCATAATACAGTGCATTAATTAAAATGTTTCATGTGCAGTAAGCAAGATCAGTAAGCTAACTAACTAAATGGTGTGTTTTTCCCTTTTAAGAGGAACAATAATAAGAGTGCATCAGATTGCAGATGGTGAAACATACCCTCCTTCACATAAATTAATATAGTAAGAAAGTAGTCTTTGACCCCTACGACAAAAAAAATATTGAGCTTGGGTAATAATTCCAGAATCTGTTAGAAATTTTGAATTCTTTCATTGCTGTGATGGTAACAATGGCTATGGTATCTCAGTCATTTATCCTGAAAGGTTTTTCCTGATGCAAGGTCCTATTAGCCCCAGTTTCAATTACCATGGGTTGCTATGTACTGATAGCCATCCCAGTACGGGACACCATTTTTTGTTATTATGAAGCCCCACTTTGGCTGTAGTCAGGAATCCTAATATAACCTAATGATGAAAATAGGGTTTCTGAAACTTGTGCACAGGTGATCCTCATCTGAATGGTGGCATTTTGTGTCATCGGGTGTTGGTCACTTCTTATATGGTCATGGTAGGGTTGAATGTCAAACACATGGGTTGTAATTTCTATACCTTCCTACAGCACTGTGTAATACTCTCATTCAGAAAGTCAGAAAAATGCTAAAAAAAAAAACTAAAAAAAACAATTATCCTGCACAAACCTGCATAAACTTGTGATAAAGTGTACAACTGCAAACATTTAGTGATCCAAGCTTTGTGAGGAATCAGTTTGGATTCCAGTGCCTTATTCACCAATGCATGTTCAAAATCTGTCTCTTTCTCTTGTGTTTTTAATGAACCAGCAGTTCCACATGACTTAGTACACTCTTTTTCTGGCGATTTTCTTGCATGTGTTTCTGGCTTGGGCAAGTTTCTGAAGCAGTCTTTCAAGATGCTCTTGAACACAGCATAGTTCTGAAAAGGCAACATATGATAAGCATTCAAGTGCAAATTATTTTTAAGGTAGAATTAAAGGTGATAACCAGTTAACACTTTCTTGATTAGTTTTGTAGAATGCTTTGTAAAGAGGTGCCCTATTCATAATGCAGTTAACACTTTGTGCTGATTTCAACAGTGGTATCAAGAGCTGTTTCTTTGGAAAACAATGGCAAACTACTGAACGCAAAACTGGCTAGCAAAATCACAGACAGCTAAAAAAAATGCTGGGGTTGGTTCTGCAACATACTTGAAAGGAAATGCGGCTAACATTAATTTATAACAAATAACTCATGACGTGTTTGTTCATGTTTGTGTTTAAGGGATTATATTTATATGGCATGAAGGAGGACCCAGTCTTATCCAAAAAAGATGCAGAAACTGGATCCAGACCCCATGGGCTGCTGCAGAAATGGCAGTCTACAATCTGCCAGAAACTATTACAATGTAAGGAGAAGGCCGCCTAAATCAAAGAGGCAGACCTGGGATCCTGAACCTATGGACTGTGTACACTGAGGCCAGTCTAAACTTTGCTAGGAACTGGAAGAGCAGGGTGATGGATAAGTGACTCTGTCTAATTCAAGAGAAAGACAGAAACTATGTAGAACTCAGGGACTGTTTACTGGTCTAAAATCTGATCTCAGATTTCTGTACCATCAGTTACATACAAGTGATCCATTAGAAAAGAATAGAACATGAACTGGGGAAGGGTGGGGGGGGGGGGGGGGAGGGAAAATAACCTTAAAGCCAGTACCTTATCTGGCTGCTTCTGCTGTTTTTGGACATTTTCCAGTCTGACACAGGAGAGGAGCAGAACTCCCAATCTGAACCTAGTGAGTATCCAGATGACAGTAGATTGCCAGTTCATGAACATTCATCTGCAATCTGTCATGCTCTTGATTAGATGTTTTATACATCCCGTAGATTTGTAATCTAAAGTACATTGGAACTACATGAGATTTCTGGCCCTGAGAATGGTTCCTGATTAATATATGTTGTTGGAGTTTGATCAGTAAATGTTGAAATGTGTCTTCAATCTTATCAATTTGACCATAAGTATGTATGGTGGTCCTACAAGAATAATTCTTCACCTTTATGAGTTGTGGGTTGGTCTTTAACTAGATATTTCCCAGATGTCCACTTTTTATATTGCAGTGGGTCTCACCTATCAGCTAGTTCCCACTACAGGATTTGATGTATGCACAACAGGAATTGATGTATGCACAACAGGAATTGATGTATGCACAACAGGAATTGATGTATGCACAACAGGAATTGATGTATGCACAACAGGAATTGATGTGTTCACAACAGGAATTGATGTATGCACAACAGGAATTGATGTATGCACAACAGGAATTGCTGTATGCTATATATATATCCTGGGACAAAACCCTTATATAAAATTACAGTCGGGCCACTTCAGCAGTTTTGGCATTCCTGAGTTAAGGAGTGATGGCTTTCTTAAAAGTCTATTCCTTTCCTAAAAAAGACAGGTCACGTCTATCATTATTTTCATGTGACACCAGATATATACTGTATAAATAAACCACTTGTAAAATTAACTGTGTTGCCCTGAGAAAACCAGAACTGATCTCTTCTGGTTGTGACATAGTCCCGTAAATGCAAATGTATTGGCCTTTCTGTTCTCAGAAAGCATAGTTCGATTATTTTTGATATATGTGCAGCTGAGCAATCAGGATATGAATATATTAATGGCTGCAATGGCTTTTCAAAGCCAAATGGATGTTAAATTCTCCCATAAGCCACAGTGATAGAGGTCAGAGGATCACAGCATGAGTCACCAGATACATTTTTTTTTTTAAGACTTTGAAAATGTATTCCATTTAAAGCTTTACTTTGTTCATGTTTATTGATTAGCCCCTTATATATCTTTATATATTCTAAAGAAAAAATTAAAATGTTGGTAACACAATTTTAACACTGAAAAAAAACCCAAAAAATTACATAAGTAAAATAATTGTTTTTATAAAAACAATACATTTCCAGGAAGCTGCAGTGGCCTAGTGGGTAAATACTTGCCTTCTGGCCCAGAGTTCTTGGGTTCAAATCTACATAAAACTGATTTTTTTTCCCCTCCAAAACATGAACCTAGGTTAACCCAGTCGAAAATGGGTACCAGATGAAATCCTAGAAAGTAAAGGCAGTCAACAAAATGCTGACCACATCAGACACTGAGTGCCAGTTTGTCTGTACAATTCATGTTCAAGTATCATATGCCCAGTATGCCACTGGTGTGAAAAGGAACCTTTACCTTTTTTTTTAATTTTTTAAATTTAAATTTTAAAAATTTTGTTACTGGCATCACAGCCTGATGTGGCACTGCCGGTATTTACCACTTTTCAGAATGGAACAAAATCAGCCAGCAGCTAGAGTGTACTACATGAGAACAGCAGGCTTCAAGGTGAGAGGCTAACCAGTAAAGAAATGGGTGGATTGTAAAAAGTAAATAAAGGACCCTTTTCCACACCTTTAGGCGTATAGGGCATATAGGGCTAGACCTATATTTTTATAGACCAACGGCATAAGATGGGTGATGTGGTTAGCATCACACTGGCTGCTTTTACTTCCCAGGACTGCACCCGGTACCAACTCAAGGCTGGGTCGACCTGGGAGCCAAGGTCATTTTTTCAGAAAAGTCTGGCTCCGCCAGGGAGTAAACCCATGACCTTCGGATCCGCGGCACGTGTCTAGCCGCTCCGCAAGGGCGACTCCTGGGTGGATTGAGTAAAAGAGAGACTACAGAAATTCAATATGATATTAACACAAGCTACAACTAGCAAAAGACAGGAAACTACATCTAACTTCTCTCTGTGATGCTTCATGGCATAAGAAATAGGAAACAAGAAGAAGAAGAAGAAGAAGAAGAAGCTGTCTAGGCAGGGGATCTTTGAGTCTAAGGTTTTAAGGCCACTTGGCTGGTACTGTAGCCACAGACTGTGCAGGTTAGGATTCTATTTTTGCCCCTGACAGAAAAAATCCCCAGCCTTTCTTTCGAGTTTTCAAACCTGGATCTGCTGCATAACAAACCAGCGTTCTTAGCCAAATTGCCAGTTGCTTCTGATGTAGCACTGGCATAAAAAGGATTCCTTGCTTACTTTATTATTTATACAAACAGTTACAAATATATTTTAGTACTTAAAAATCTATTTCCAACTAACCTCTGTGGTCATTCTGGGACTTATGATTTCATCTATGGCCTCACAGACTAGAGAATGATCCTGTTTACCTTGTGCTGTGAGAGTGACAGGAGTGCCAGGTTTGTACATTATGCCTGATTGGCTCTGCTTGTTGGTGGTGACTAGTTTTGTGAAAAGTGATTAAATCAAGACAATGCTGTGATGTGAAACATCAATGTGATATATTTATATATATGGTGAAATATTCACACATTAGATATTCTGTGACATTTCAATACACTTTGTGAAACATATACAGCAAAACCTTGTTATTGCGAACTTGCTTAAGATGAACACAAAGGAACAAAAATATCCTATTAGGGATGTATTATCTATAATGTATCTGTTAGTCCTTGGTTAGCACACACTGATTTTTAAAAAAAACATAAACTCTTGATATTTCAGTCCCTTAGAACTGGTGTTAACCAGGTTTTACTGAATAACATGTTTTAAGTCTTTGCTATTCTGCTGTTAGGAAAATTGTAATTATTAAACAAAACAAAACACAAATTAATTAATATCACTTCAAAAATATGACAAAATTAACACCTTTTAATTTCCTGATGAATTCCAGTAATAAGCTTTATAAAATTTTTAAAGATAATATAACTATCGGTCATCCTATGCTTTTCTTGTCCATTATTTCCTCACTGAAATCTAAACCATCTATTCCAGCTGCTCTTCTGATAAGCCTCACAAATTCATTTGCTGTTTCATTATAACTGCAGCTGCCAGTACCTCTGTTTTTTCGGTCAATTTTATTTTTAACATTAGATTTGTTTAAATCACCACTGTGAATGTTTTCTTCTCATTATTCATTGTGCAAGATTTGCATTCATACTGAACAATTGAATCAAGAGTCTTTTGGATATTAAAGAACTAAATCTATTATTAGTCTTTTGGATATTAAAGAACTAAATCTATTAGGAATTTTCTGGATATTAAGATTAGTTTCTTTATCTCTCTGTCACATCTTACATCAAAGATTACTGAGTAGCCTAAAATATATTTAAAAAAAAAAGGTTTATTTATAAACAAGATAAACACCCAGCAAAAAACATAGCAAACAGTAACAAACAGGCGAAAGGGTGGGGGGTGGAAGGGGGGAGGGTGGGGGGTGGAAGGGGGGGAGGGGGGGGGGAGATCATTTTGTGAGTGGAACAAATTGTGTACACATTACCCTGTTACATATTACTGAAAATATATTAATATAAACAGGATAACATGAAATACATAACAGTGATTTTTACAGCCGAATTTGTAAGATATTTTTATTGCTTCAGTTAATAAAACAACATAGATGGCTTTGCGTTACAGCTCTGCAGCCATTATTTACCACTTTAACCTAGGGGACCATTAAATTATATTGATAACAGTAATTGTGTAAAAAAGTAAAAAGTAAAGTAAAGATCCCTTTTCACGCCTTTCGGCGCATCGGGCATATGGGCAGAGCGTCCCATATTTTTACAGACCATCAGCACTCTGTGGGTAATGTGGTCAGCATTACGCCGGCTGTCTTTACTTTCCCAGGACAGCCCATCCTGGTACCCATTTTAGGCTGGGTCGACCTGCGATGTTCCATACCACGATAAAAATCCATGCAGCCTGCAGTGGGTTTCGATCGCGGTATGCTGACTTACGAGTCGGACTCGCAACGCCTTAGCCACGGACGCCGCTAGTAATTGTGTAGCATTTACTAAATTTAGGGACCACAGATCCGGAAATTTGCTATCTTTTCGACAATTTCCGTTACCATAGAAACCGTTTAAAACTTGTTTCGGAAATGTCGGCTGGGGTTTCGGGATGGGTCCTAATCTCTCATGAAATTTTGCCATTGGTGTGATTTTCACCCACTCTAAATAGCTGAAAACGGCGGGAAGGAACCCGATTAACAGCGCATGTCTACGACAGCCGGACATTCTCTGTTTTTCTGTTAGTCTATCAGTTTGATTGAAAATAGCGGTAAATTCGAGGTTGGCTTTAGGCTTAAACATTACCAGTTGTGGTAATGCTAGTTACAATTGAATTCTCCGTCCAATTTTACATTTGCATGTTAAATTTTGTTCCCCGACTCTGGCTGTTTAGATTTACAGTGACATTTTTTAGGCAATCGCATGCGGCTGAGTGAGCTGAGTCTCACTGCCTGCCATCTTGTCCAATGACAGTCCAATGTCAACAAAGCCGATACAGAACTGCGCAGTAGGTTGCGCAGTAAAAAACTTCTTGTTTCTGGGTCACAAGTTTTAGCGGCTGTTTCTTACATCTCATCTCCACAAAAACCTACATATCTCAGCTCAGAAATGACATACAAGCCTAAATGAGGTACCATTGGAAAGAGATTGTTTACAGCTATCTAACTGTGCTGGTTTTATTGGTGTAGAGGGCATTTTAAAAATTTGACTGAAGTAGCTACTAAATTAATGTTTTCTTAACATATTCAAGCTGATCACTATTTTTTCTTTTTTTCCTTTCAGTGCCACACCTTTCAAAATATGTGAAATTCACAACAGATTTAATAAAAAGACAATCACTTCCTACAGATGATAGATGTATGCAAATGGATTTATTATGAAAGGGAATGGAACATATCATATTGTAAGCCACGGCCAGCTCTGGATATAAGGCCATTCAGCTCAAATGGGAATTCTTGTTTTTGTGAGGCTGTGTGACCGGTCGGTGGTAACTATTGTTATCAAATAGATTTATACACAAATTGAACTACAGTTTAAATAATTTGCAACATCTGTTATTAAATGAATTAATATTTTAAAGCATAATAAATTGGCTATTAGAAAATATAACTAGTTCAATTTGTGTATAAATCTACTTGATAACAACTGTTACCACCGACCGGCCACACCAGCCTCACAAAAATTGGAATTCCCGTTGAGCTGTACCGCCTTATAACTGGAGCTGGCCGTGTTGCCAGCATCATTATCTGCAAACTGAACACATTTTAGTTTTTTGACATTTTAGATTTTAGCGTACATAAATTCAAGATTAGACAGATTTTAATTTTTACCACTAAATGTAGGTTGCCTAATCCTGCCTGTTGCAGTTTCAGAACTTTGGCTATCTGATCTTGAAGCTTCATCTTTTGTGCTGTTTTTGTCAGCCATCTTTTCCTCTTTCTGCTGGTTTCTTTTTTGCACTGCTCTCTTGAGAACTCCAGTCAAAGCTTGAGCTGTGAAGTGGTGATGAATTTCAGGTGGCCTGAAATGTAAATTTCAAAGCCAGACTTCTGCATCCTGCATCCATGAATGAACAAAAACATGAAAAAATTTCACAAACAGCTTAGCATACATTTACTGCTGAACTTCAAACATCTGAGACTCAGTAGTGATGTTGTTAGTAGGTTGGGGAAGGGCTTTTCCTTGTTCTTTTTCTCTCTTCATTCTTCTTCTTGTTTTTTTTTCTTCTTTTCTTCCACCCTTAATAGGGCAGAACATTGTATAGTGGTTTAAAGCTTGACAATGATTTTGTGCCTTTCGTCCCGATTTCAGCAACATTTCTACTCACTGTGCTCATGAGGTATTAGTTATTATAGATCCTCTTTTGGTCTTGAGGATGTTTTGATGTAAAGTAAACATAAAGGACCTTTTTCCATGCCTTCAGGATTTTTGGGCATACAGTATTAAACCTATATTTACAGACCAAGAGGCAGCCAATGCGTAATATGGTCAACATTGTCAGTTGCCTTTAATTCTCAGGACTTTTCAGGTACAAATTTAAGGCCGGGTTGACCTGGAGGCCAAAGTCATTTTTGGAAAATTCAGCTCTATTTAGATTCGAAACCATGACTTTCTGATCTGCATCTGAGCATCTAGCCACTACACCATGGTGCTTGAAGTAGATGGGGCTGGAGTCAAAAGCGCCTTATTGCCAGCTTTCTTGCATCTTGTTTGTTTACTACAGTAGAGGATTTTATGTCTGAAAGCTATTAAATGTGGGGAGGAGAGGAAAGATGCTATGATACTTTAGTATTATCATCCAGTCCCGAACAATGTACGATGTGTGATGGACTCATCCTCACAAAATCCAATCATGATATAATGTGTTCTCTATAGCTTTTACAGTTTTGTTAGGCAAAGTAATGAAATCCGGCTTCCTGAGTGGTCATGCTCACTGTGCTTAAAGCTCCTCTGAATGTTGAATGTTGAATTAAAAATCGACATCATGGCACTCAGGACACTCCCATAAGCACTCCGTGCCCATCTTCAGCAGCAAGTGTTGAGTTCCAATTACGACAGTACCAGTAACTATCTGACTGTATATCCGTCTCACTTTTCCCTTGAGTGATGAACATCGACCAGAGGTAACTCCTCATAATGCCATTCTCGTCAGACCGTAATGATCTATCTGTGCCTCCTCACAGCAACTCTGAAATGAATATACTTGTGATTTTTCCTCTACTTAAAAGTCCATGCTGTGTAGTGTTGCTGGTCATGTCTATCCACAACCTTCTGTCTCATGTACTTTCAATCAACTCTGACACAGATGATCTTCCATGCCATGATGTCAAACTGTCCAGCATCTGTTCTCTTGGTCTCTCTCTGCCTCTCCTCCCCTCCAACTTTCCTACTGTCAAGATGTACTCCAGTTTTCTCCTTCTCATCACATGACTAAACAATGTAGATTATCTCCCTCTGATGTGGGCAATCAGTTCTCTTCGTGAGTCAGTTTCTTTCAAGACATCTTCATTACTCTTTTTATCTGTCCAGGGTTTTCTCATCATTCGTCTATTAAACCACATTTCCGCAGCTTCTTAATAAGTTTTCATTAACTTACTAACTGTCCATGACTCACATTTGTATATCAATTTAGGATTTATATAATTTTAAAAAATTCTCTTTCTCTTCTCAACTGACAAAGAAAGATTGCATAAAATATTCTTTATTTTGTAAAACACTGCCTTTGCTTGAGCTATTCGACATTTAACTTCCTTAATACACCTTCCATCTGATGATGTTAGGGTACAAAAGTACTTAAACATATCAACTTGCTTGAGGTTTGTCCCATTTACTTTGATGTTGCATTTTGGAGGGTCAGTTTTCTTTGTAATTATCATTACTTCTGTTTTTTCTGCTGTTCAACTAAGACCCTTGTTTTCACTTTCCATTACAATTATATCCACCATTTCTTGCAGTTGTGTTTCCTTTTTCAGCGATCAAAACTATATTGTCAGCATATCACAGGTTGTTAACAATATGCCCACCAACCACTATTACTGGTATACCATGTATGGATCTAATTATTATTTAACTGTACAAAATGAATAAATCGGGTGATTGTACACATCCCTGTCTAGCACCTTGTTTAATGTTTTGAAAAGTTCCAACTTGGTTGCAAATCCTAATGGCTGCTTTTTGTTGCCAGCATATATATTTTTTAAAATTATTCTCAGATCTTTACTATCAATGTTTAAGGTTTCCAAAATTGTAAAAATTTCTTCACGCTTCACTTTATCAAATGCTTTAGTGTAATCAATAAAGCATAAATACAGATCTCTATTTATGTTTATCAAATTTTCTGAAAGTGTTCTCAACAAAAGAAATGTGGTGTTGTTTGTGCTATCACCTTCAACAAAACCACACTGCTCTTCTCCAATTTCTGGTTTAATTTTACACCTTATTCTTCTCATGATAATTCTCATTCGTATTTTAGTTACATGACACATGAAACTAATTGTTCGATGTTCTTCATATTCCACTGCACCAAGTATTTTTGGTAAAGGTCTGAAAACAGATTTTAAAAGGTCATCAGGTATGTGTCCACTGTTATAAAATCACTGAACAATCTTGTCAAAACTTCTAAACTCATCATCAGCAGATTTTAATTCTTCAGTCATGATATTATCTAGCCCTGGAGATTTACATTTCTTCATGTGGTTTATAGCATCTTCTACTTCCGCTTTCAGTATTGGTGGTCCTTCCCAGTACTCGTAACTCTCTATGTCTGGTCTGCTGTTATCATCGTAAAGCTCTGCTCTTTTATATACTCTGCCCATTTGTCAGTTACCTTCTCTTTGTCCATTAATATTTCACCTTTTGTTTTTAAGCAATTACTTGTATATTTCTAAAACCTGATAGTTCTTGTATTGTTTTATACATGTCTTGTGTGTTCTCTCTTTGTTCCTTAATTTCTTTTCACTTATTATTCAGCAATACTTCTTTCACTGCATTACATTTACGTACAGTCTCTCTATGTATTCTGTTATATTCATTTTCGTTGTGTTTATTTCTTCTTCTAATTTCTATCAGATGTAAAAATTTCCTCTGTCATCAATATTTCCTTTGCTGTCATTTTTACTTCTGGTAATATTTATTTTGATGTCTGTCGCAATGACTCTTTTAGCATTCGCCATTGTTAATCTATACTGCTTATCTTTTCAATAGCATTGTATCTATTCTTAACAGTAATGATGTTTCTTACTCATTTCTTGATAGGATTCAAGCATTGCTAAATCTAGCTTGGTATTTCTCAGAGCACTTTTTAGTTTCTTCAGCTTTATCCTTGTTTTTTCAATGATTGGTACATGAGATTCTTTTAAAAACAATAAAAGATGGACAATAAAATTATATGGACATGCAAAAATATTTACCAAACTCTCCAAAATTGTGAGAATCAAGTGATGACTTTGAATCTGCAACCATGACCGGACTGCAAGAACAAGATAAATGGGCTGTGGCCAGACAAGAGCACTATGCAGAAAGCTAAAAAAAAAAAGAATAAGAAACCAACATAGAATGGGTGTCCTTAGCTGCTACACACTGCAGGATTTACTGAGACGGGAATCCAAACACTTTTGAACTGAATGGTACAATGAGGATAATCTGTTGACTAACTAACTCACTTACAACTGGTCCTTCACAAGTTCCACTAGAAGTTTCAATCTGTTGGCCAACACAGAGGGAGCCCGAAAGCCCATTGATGCACACTTAGATTTGAGAATAAAGCCAACATCAGGGGCAATCAATGTCACTGTCCTGAAAGACTGTGTGACCTCACAAGGAAGTTGACTGGTTGGGGTTTTGGGTGTGTTCACAGTCAAGAAAAGCCCAACAGTGCTGTGAAGAAAAATCTGTTCAAAGAGTTGAAAAAAGAGAGATTAAAAATATTACTGCATACTTGTTAAAATACACATGTGATGTCAAAAATGTCATGCGAGCTGCTTATCACAAAGAAGATTATGACAAGCAGGACTCAGTATTCTTGTCTAGTTGGTGAAGATGGGGGTGCAACCTGGAGTAGCCAGAAATGAACATTTCACCGAAGGCACAAAACTAAACTAAAGGTTAAACTAATACAACTGATATTATACTATAAAAATATATGTTATGCTGTGTCCATGGCTTAGGTGTTGCGAGTCCAACTCGTAATCCAGCATACTGCGATCAAAACCCATTGCTGGCTACGTGGATTTTTATCATGGTATTGGGTATCGCAGGTCAACCCAGCCTAAAAATGGGTATCAGGATGGGCTGTCCTGGGAAAGTAAAGACAGCCGGCGTAATGCTGACCACATTACCCACCGAGTGCTGATGGTCTATAAAATTATGGGCGCTCTTCCCATATACCCGATACACCTAGAGGTGTGGAAAGGGATCTTTATTTTTTTACCTCTTCTTTCTTTTGTCAAAATCTGCTTGTGCCGCTAGGCGTCGTAGTCTATCAGATGATCGGCAACCGAGCCAGGGCGCGCTCAGTCGCTTCATATGCCGTGATGTTATGAAGTCTCAAGTTGTCCGTGACTCCTTCAATCCATCTTCTTCTTGGTCTTCCCCTGCCTCTTGTTGTTTCGATTTTCATGTTGTATGCTCTTGATGCTGGCATCGTTGGTTCCATTCTCATTAGGTGACCAAACCATTTCATTCTTTGCTTCTCAATAAATTTAACGATGGGTATGGTTCCAATAGTTCTTGTAATCACATCGTTTCTCACCCGATCTCTTCTGGTTTTATTCGCAGCCATTCTCAAACATCTCATTTCACAGGTGGTTAGTCTTCTCTCATGTTCTTTTGTTAATGTCCAAGTCTGACATTGATAACCTAATGACGGTATAAAGATTGTATTTATAATTTGTCTTTTTATCTCAGCTGGGACAGCAGGGTGTTTTAAAATTGGGGCAAGCTGGTATGCGACATTGTTGGCTTGTTGGATTCTTGCTTCAATCTCTCTGTCTATTTTACCATTATATATGTTATATAATTTATTTAGGTTTATTATACAAAGATCAAACTAATTATTTACTCATATGTTTCTTCTTTCGCCCTTCATTCGCAGTGGTGTATAGAATCTCAACTAACTTGTGCAAAGTTATCCTATCCTTTATCACTGCTTGCAGCTGACCACATGTCCACCATCTTTTATTTTTATCTCATTCTACGAGTGCTTGTTTGTCTGCCTTTATCCATTGAGGTGTGGTTTTGGGTGTATGGACAATCTAGTTATATTGCTATCAGTATGTGTGTTTATCCTTTTTTTTACTGTGTAATACTTGATGTATTTCCGATGTCATTTTCTTAGATGTTCATTTTTCGTACACTGTAGCTTATAGATGATCATAATCTTACTCATTTACTGTTTATTACTCTTTACATGATCCAGAAACGTATGCATACCTCAGTTCCATCCAGTAGGCACAAATAAGACTGTTTTGCTTTCAGAGCTTTAAATATGGACTGAGCATAGTCAATGAGAACAGACAATCCGGTCTTGTTAATAATGTGAACATCTTCAAAGCAACCCCAGCAACCATCCTGAAGTAAAAGCAAAAACATGAAATAATTAGCAAAATAACATGATTGATGCTTTACTTTTTTCCAGACAGTCAGAAGCAGATTAATTATGAATATTCCTATTTGCTGCAGATTATTTGGCTGCTAATTATTTTATTGTACTGTTTTGCTTAGAGAAAAAACACAATCTGGAAATAAAGTAAACTATGCCTTGTAACATCTGCTGAAGTCAAAGTCTTTATCTTACACCACCAAGATCAAAATATATAAAAAGTTTATATGCCCAGTGATTTTTTTGGGCTCTGAAACTTTGAGAACAAAGAGATGAAGCTTAATTACACATTTTTGAAAACACAGTCTTATGACGAATCTTTGGACCTATCAAAGACACAAACATTGCTGAATGGAGAGTAAGAAGCTACAATCAAATTTCTAATCTGTTTAAATCACCACTGATTACTGGGATTGACTGAAATGGCTGGCACATGCTGAGAGTGTCAGATGACAGAGAGGTAAAAACTGTAAAGACAAGGGAGCTGAATGGTCGTAGACCATGGGGTGGATGAAAAAAATGATGGATAGATAATATCCAGACAGATCTACAAACACTTGGTGTCACCAACTAGAAAGGAATGGCCAGTCAGAGAGATGAATGCAGGTGGGTGATATCTGCAGCAATGACCCTCAAGGGCTTTGAATGCTGAAGAAGAAGAGGTTTTGCACATGTCTTATATCTTCTGATTTCTTGTTCAAGGTATATTCAAGTATTCATGCCCCGGTATTGGATCATTTTTCTAGGCCATGCCCGCCTAGTCAGTAATGAACAGGCAGACAGATTGGCTGGATCTGCACCACTGGGTGGTGAAGTGATACATGACAAGGCAGATGTGGTCAAGGCCCTTTGGGAACAAGCAACAGAATTAGTAGAGAAAAAAAAGATTATTATGGTTTGGAGAGAATGAGGCACCTGGGTGTAATCAGAAGTCTGGCCAGCTCACTACACTCAGAGGGAAGGCAAGATGGACATATAACCCGATTGTGACCGGTACCATCAGTATTGGAACTCTGTGCTGGCTGCTGAAGATGAAGACAGAGCACACATAGGAATGCCCCGAGTGCTATGATGTCAATTCTTGACTTAACTCAACTCATGCCCCGGCAAAGTGCTGATTTATGATTAAAGCAATCTTTTTTTCAATGTATTACATGCTTCAGTGCTGACATGGGTTTCTTGTTAAATCTTTGGTTGGTTGGTTGATTATCTTTTAGAACATGTGAGTTTTAACTGTCAAGTCTTCTTCTTCTTGTGTTTGCCCTTAAAAGGGTAGTCAGGATGTTCTGTTGTGGTGCACAGCTAGGCACTGATATGTTTGCTTTTGGGCCCAACACATTTCAGCAAACCTCTCACTGGTCGCTATTTATGACATGCTTATGGTGGCAGTGAATCTATCCCATACCCCCACCATCAAATGGGGCCTCAGAACCAACATGGGGAAGTGTAAAGTCTAATACCATAATGTTCCGACCATTCAAACCCTAGGAAAACACAAAAACAAAATAAAACAAGCAACTACTGCATTGAGATGAGTGAATAGACTTTTCCAGAACGTATTACTAAAGCACTATCTAAACGGGGGGCTGCCCTACCGCTTCACAAGCCATGAAAGCAGTAGAGTTTACAAAACCAATATCTCACTTTACATCTGCAAAGAAGTATTAGAGCATAACCAGTTGCTATAACTGTTATGATACTGGACGGAAGTGATGACATGAAAGCCACATGTGGGACACATTGCAAAAATGAATACAGCAACAGGCATGACTTCATATCCCTGTCCAGGCTAATGGGCATGAAGCTGCAAAAAGTAAGCACTTCACCAAAGACACACAATGTTTGATAATCAATACAGAACAGACGTTCTCAGTTGTTATTCGAGCTACTGAGGTGGAGATAAGTGTACTTATAGACCTATCCAGACAGCTGTGATGATAACCCTACTAATTGCAGTACGCATACACATGCCCGCACACAGGCACACATAAAGGCTAAAATAAAACCCTAGTTGTTAGTGTTTCCTTTAAAGGCTTTAGGAATTCCACTGTCAACAGACTTCAGTTCGAGTGTGTAGGCTACCTGTGAGAATACAGTGTAAAGATAAATAAAATGCATTAGCAGTAAAGAGAAACATAACAACTCACCATGGCAATACCTTGCATAATTTGTCCAATACACGCTGGGTCTTGTTCTTTGAAGACTTGGAACATGCCCACAAAGTTGCCCAGGATGTTAGCCAACCCCTAGAGAATATTACAATTGATTTGACAAACAAATTATTGAAATATAATGCATAGGAATATGACAATGTTTAAACAAACTATACAGAGATGGATAGAGGGAGAGAGAGAGGCAGATATAGACAGACAGATAGAGAGAGAAACAGAGAGAAACAAAGAGAAAGAGAGTGAGAGAGAGACACAGAGAGACAGATAGAGAGACAGAGACAAGCAGAGAGAGAGAGAGAGAGAGAGAGAGAGAGAGAGAGAGAGAGAGAGAGAGAGAGAGAGAGAAAGAGAGAGAGAGAGAGAGAGAGAGAGAGAGAGACAGAAGATTTAAAAGAAGAACAAAATAAATGAGCAATATTTTACCTTTAACAAACTTACTGAGATAAAAAAGAGGAGAAATCTATCATTATTTACTTGCTATATTTCTTCATACCAAAACTTTCATATTCACACTTACCAGCATATTGTATATGATCCTCTTAAAATGAAAGGACATGGTAATTAACAGGACTGTTTTACAGTACATTTGATTTCAACACAGCCTACTACAGAAAACAGAACTCATAGGAATGATATGCTCCTCCCACAAAGTTATTAATAAAAATTGAGGCTATCCTCCGAATAATGGTCCTAAATTATCAAGGTGGAAAATATACCCTAACAGGGCCTCAGTCATGTGTCAATTACGCACTTCCGTCGTCTTAAATTGTGCACTTCCGGCGACTTTCTGCCACCACCGACAGTATTCCCCATGCCGCGTGGATTGGGGCTAAGCTAGATGGCTGGGACTCACAAGCAGCAGCTACAGCATCTCCTGCAGCTTCCTTCATTTTATTTTTTTGCTCTTGAGTCCTAGCCATCTAGTTTAGCCCCAATCCACGCCATATGAGCGGCGTGGGGGATACTCTCGGCGGTGGCGGAAGTTCACGATTCGGCGATGGCGTTATAGTCCCCAGAAGTGCGCAATTGACACGTGACTGAGGCCCTGTTAGGGTATATTTTCTGCCGCAATAATTTAGGACCGTTATTCGGAGGATGACCAAAATTTAACTGATTTATTTTCTATCTCTTAAATATGTAATGATAGAGAATCACATTTAATATAAAATTTACTAACAAAAAAATCAAATATACCAGAGTCTATAGCTGTAAATGTAAGATGCAAGAAAATATGGCTTCCATTGTAACATACAAAAAATAAAAGGTGTTATGGTTTAATCACAGCATTAGGATTAATTATAACTGGCTCACATCATGTAGGTGACATTGCAAAAAGCATGAGCGCTCTAGTTTTAGAAAAGATTGCCTAGAAATATTAGGGAAAAACTGCACTTATTACCAAATGTAACAATCTGAAAATGAACCTGTAAGTTTCAAACTATGAAGCAAATTTATTTGATCCCTTCACCACAGAGGAAGAATATAGTTAGTTAGTTAGCATCTTGATGTTTTTCCAGATAATAGTGTTATATAGTGCTACAATGAGACATAAGAGTCGCAGCCCATCAAAATCCAGTTTAGGCCAGGAATTCTTCTTTTCATGTTTTCCGCCTGTAGACTCTGACTGGAAAGTTCTGTCTGTTTGTTCACTACTTGTCCCATAACTGTTTTCAGAGTTTTGTGTGCACATCATCTAGCAAATTTGTATTCAGACTACTGGTTCCTTGCCTCTCAGGCAGAGGCACTCCAAATTCAATAGAAACACCTTTAATGAGTCAACTCTTACAATTTGCTTGATGGGGATTCAGTGGGTCTAAAAATCCAGATAAATATGTCAAAAAAGATCTTTAAAAAGTGTTACCCTATTAACTAGATTTTTTAATGATAGATTTGCAAACTGTTCTTGAAAATAAAAGCATCCTTAGCTTTTTGTTTTAATAATTATATATAACAACACAGTTTCTCTGAATTGGACCACACCATATATATATATATGAATTATATATATATATACAGTCAAAGAAGCCGATGGCGCCTTCTCCATGACAACCATGCAGCATGACCATGGAGGTGATGGCAGTGACACAAGTGTTCACCTGGCTCGAAACACAAAACTACACACACGTATTTATACTCAGTGATTCAATGAGTATGATCCGGAGGGTTCAGGCAGGTTCGGTGCGAAGACAATGGCTTCAATCATTACAGAAGTCCACTGTGCGTAGAGTCACTTTTATTTTTGTTCTGGGATACACAGGCGTAGATGGAAATGAAAGAGCTGATAGGTTGGCTGGATCCGCTATCACTACCGATGGTCAGATTATGAATCATGCTGATATTATCAATGCTCTCAGAGAAATGGGAAGGATAGAGGACAGTTAATCCACATCACTCGCCAGAATGGCAGACTTGGGAATTAGGATGCGCATAGCAAAAAACGAGACACACACTAAACACACCAGAAGACTTGTTAACCAACACAGAACTAGTACTATTAGCCAAGAGACATTGGGGTTTATACTGAGGGGAGGATCTGAGCACCTATGGACATGTTCGGAGTGCAATAATGATAACCCAAGTAACCAACTAGCTAACATATATATATATATATATATATATATATAATATATATATATATATATATATATATATATATATATATATATATATATATATAAATGTATATATAAATTATAATGAAAGCGCAAAAATAAACACATGCTAGTATAACAGATTATTACAAGTACAAATACACCCTATTTCATATTTGTTGATGCGCCCTTGAAACTCCCTGAAAATTCCTTGCAGCCCCTCGGGGGCTCCCAGGTTGAAAACCATTAATCAATACAATAAATGAGACCAACATAAAATATCGAACTGGCCAAGGCAAAGGAAAAAAAAAAGATTCTTTAATTTTGTACGTTGTTAGTCAGCAAGTCTTTTATCCACTATCATCATAGCTCCCTTTTCCATTAGAAAATCACATAAACAAATAAATACTTTCTAGATCTACCACAGAAAAATCTATTCACCTTCACAGTTTCAGTTTTACAAGACCCTGGTGGGCCAACCAGAAGAGTCCCCATCATTTGTTTCAGAGCAAGGGACATTGACAAAAAACATTTCTCTGTTACTGGTGATATAGGAATGCCAGCATCTGTACCATAAAATTCTGTTCCATATCCATACTGTGAATCCAGGATCCATATACAAGGCACTAGTTTCACTTCTGCTTCTGTAGGTACAAAATAGCAAAAAAATATGCTGCTTGCTTTGATAAAATAGATATTGTGCCAATACAGTTATAAAATAGCATATTTTGATGATTAATACACTAAGAAATGAATTTACAATTCCAGTATAACGAATGCTAAAAAATATTTGCAGAAGTATATTATATATCTGAATAAGATTTACAATAAAGGCCAATTTTAGAAATATCATATTATCAACTGCAGTAAAATAGATGCTTAGCTAATAATGTCAATGTAGGTATATTTCTATTTTAGCAAAATGAGTGCTAAAAAAAATATGACACAAAAGTATATTTTAGTAACATTTATGTTAATCCAAAATAAAAATAAAAAAACATGCAGTTAAGTAGAATAGATATTAGTCGATTATAATCATTTAAAAAAAAAAAAAAGCCCCTTACATGAGTTACCTTACTAAAATGGAAGCTAGGATAAAATTTCTAAAAAGGATGTCTATTTATTTTTTTTTTCTCCAATATGTAAGATCAAAATGTTTATACCAGCAGAAGCATCATTGTAATCACCAGATGTAGCTGTAAACAGAAAGAAAACTCAACTCTCTTATAAATCTGGCACATCTTATGTCTTATGTTAACATAAATCTCACCTCCATTTACATCCCAAACACAATAAAATAGCTAATTTAATAGTTAATAAAAATAACTGACAAAAACATCACACACAAAAACAGCAACAACAACAAAAACTCACTTTCATTTTAACCTCCTCTTGTAAACAAACAACAACATACAGGGACCTAATAGCTGCAGATAATTTTAAGACAAGGCAAGCAATATTGACTGACTTCATACATTTTAGAAACGTCTTTATAGTAGTATTAAAGAGAAAATAGTTACACAAGAATATATGAAGCATGGTTAAAAAAAAAAAAGTAAATGACCCTTTTTCTACGCCTTAAGCGTATAGGACATATAGGGCTAGACCTATATTTTATAGACCACTGGCACAAGATGGCTGATGTGGTCAGCATCACGCCGTCCGCCTCTACTTCCTGGGACTGCACCCAGTACCTACTCAAGGCTGGGTCGATCTGGGAGCCAAGGTCATTTCTAAAGAAAAGTCCGGCTCAGCCAGGAAGCGAATCCATGACCTTCCGATCCTCAGCGCGCATATGAAACATGGACACATAGTTAACTACAGTTATACACGCCATTTGGAGATGACAGGTTCAATTCAAAGCACGGTAACTATAGCTTTCAATTTTTATGTTGTCTAGAGCGTCCTTCTTTCTGTCTACTCCCTTATATGAGTGTCAATCAATACACTGTCTGTTTGTTTATTATATATATATATATATATATATATATATATATATATATATATATATATATATATATATTTATTTATTTATAAATATATATAGTACTTCATGCATGAAGGACTTTAGACTGCAGTTTGTTGATGAATACAACAAGCAAATAAATATGTCCCACTTAAATAAGATGTTCTTAAAAGTGCTGGCAAGAACAAAGAGTCTATATTAAAAAAAAAATATGAAATATATCATGATTACTTTGATAATATAGAATATTAAAAGATTAATTACCACAAAAATATAACATGAACTGAAAAAATAGGCAAGACCATCATAATAAAAATCAACAAGGTCATTAGCCAGCCAATATAAAGATAGCACAGAAGAACATACGAATCTTGGAAAAAGTATAAGCACAAGATGAATCACCAATGCCATCAAAATTCTACAAAAATAAACTAAACCTAAAAAAATAAACACGATCCAAATCTTTAACTTCCATGGACATTTGAAGGCATAAGATAATCATAATACAGCATTATAAATAAAGTTAACATTCAATTATGGCAAAGAAAAGGCAAGAAAATATGAAAGATTAAAGCACCATTGCAACCGAATATTACATGGCATACCATCAATAATAAGAAGTCTGCTATAGTGTTATCATATGCTCAAAAGAAAGTTGGATAACATTATTTAGTTCTTGTGGATACGCGTATTTATCTACACAGTTTAGGGTTAGGGTTGATATCCTAAAACACCCAAAAAACACAAGTCCTGCAAGATTATTTAGCTCTTCTGGATACAGTATTCTAACAATTCTTTGTTGCTGTCATATTGCCTTCTGGGATGAAAATGAGTTAAGTCAGGAATCTACAAGTCGGTTTGCTCATTGCAAAGTAAAAAGATACAGAGTATGCATATTGTGAAGTAGAGCAAGATTAAAAGTTTGTTCATTGCAAAGTAAACAGATTCACAAAGTTTGCATACTATAAAGTAGCAAGAATAACCATTTGCTAACTGCAAAGTAAACAGATTCAGAGTTTACATACTGTGAAGTAGCAAGATTAACAGTTTGCTCATTGCAATTTAAACAGATTCACCGAGTTTACAGACTGTGAAGTAGCAAGATTAACAGTTTGCTCATTGCAAAGTAAACAGATTCCTAGACTTTGCATACTGTGAAGTAGCAAGATTAACAGTTTGCTCATTGCAATTTAAACAGACTCACAGTCTGCATATTGTGAAGTAGCTTCTTCTTCTTCTTCTTCTGTGTTCGACATCAGTCATGCTACACATGGAGTCCCGTCTGGGTCAAAAATAGGATTGTGCGTTTAAGGTCGCCACCTGTCCCCCATAGCTTCTCTCGCAATGTTGATCCCCTGGGCCAGATCCACAGTCTTTGCTGGGAGAGGTAAGGGCAGTACTGCAGTATGTGCTCAGGGTGAAGTAGCAAAATTAACAGTTAGCACATTGTAAAGAGCAAGATAACGGAGTTTGCACATTGTGAAAAAGCAATATTAATGGAGTTTGCAAAAAGTTTTCACACTGTATGGTTAGGAAACTGTTATATGCAATTCCTCACGTCACAGCATACATGGATGACATCTGTATACACACCAAAACATTGCACGACCACTGCACTACCCTACAAAAAGTCCTATCAAGAATAAATGACGCGAAATTGACAGTAAATCCTTTAAAAACTGAAATTGCATACACCAAAATTGATTACTTAAGACATGTTATATGCGAAGGTTTAGTCCAGACAGATGAAAATATTGTTTCGAAAATTTTGAAGATCCAAAAACCTAAAACTAAAAGCAGCTCCAATCTCTACTAGGGTTAATAAACTATTATGGTAAATTCATCCCAAACTTAGCAGCACTAACATCACCACTATCAGAGTTATTAAAGAATCAACAATTGAAAAAATCAGATTGGAATGAAACACATGAGGAAATTCTAGTTAGAATAAAAAACTGTTTTTCAAAATATCCTATTTTGAGACAACCTGACCCTTCCAAAAGATTTTTTCTACAATCAGATGCCAGCGGTCACACAATAGCTTGCGCAGAAACATTCACAAACATTACTCCCAGTAATGTATATGTCACAGAAACTTAACCAAACGCAACAAAAATACAATACATTTGAACGAGAAGCGTTGGCACTAGTTATTAGTCTAAAAAAGTTTCAGAAGTTTCTTTTGGGAAAAGAATTCACTATTTTAACAGATAACTTGGGGTTGACAAAATTATTAACAATTGATGCCAATAGCAATCCAAGGGTATATAGATGGGCATTGTTGATATCACAATTCAAATTTAACATTGAACACATCAAAGGAACAGACAATCATTTACCAGATATCATGTCACGTTTGTAGAATAGGTTGCAACTGCTATTACAACTTGTATTAACTGAAATCATTTTATGCAAGGGTATGCATTGTATTATTGTATGAATGTATTATATGAATTTACAACTTGGAAAAATGTATATGGTTTGATTTGAACGGGTATAATATAGGAAACAATTAGAATTAAAGGGAGACAACATTCAGGATTAAAATACACCTCACCAGAAAATGTTACATTTACTAGTATACTAAATTGAATTGGTGTAGCATTTAATTTGAATATGTGTGTTAATGAGACATGTTGTAGTTTCTGAAGACAAGGTAATTAACTACATCTTGTACCTTACATATTAGGGAGCAAAACCATACATTGCTGATTTAGCCATTGTTGAGGGCTTTCATGAATGGGAATAGCGAGGGTGGGACTTCATGGGGTCACACTTCGGTTTTAGAGCCAAGATTTTGGACTTCCGCACCGATCGGGGGGTGCCTGGAGAGGGGTTCGGTTGTATACCGACTTTAGAACTGGGTGGGGATACCTATGGAGCCAGATTATTGGTCTTCCGCACTAAAAGGGGAGTGCCTGGAGTGAGGATCCCATTAAGGTATTCACAGTCGCGGAAAGACCCAACAGATGGCATTTTAGAGTGTTTGAATTGTTAACCTAATGAGGTAAAGGGAACTTGGTTGGAAATGAACTTGTCGAAAATGATTCACTACAAAGGTCTAGAATCACCATGTTCAGTTAAATGTTCACACCTGATTGATTGAAAATGTAAAACATTTTTTTTTGGGGTGGGGGAGAATGTAGTGAGTCATTTTCTCCCCATTGATTCATGCCCGATAGATGACGTCAGTAATAAATGTAAGACGAATGTTTTGACTGACTGAGATAACACGAGATTTATGTCTTGAGTTTCATGAGAGACATCTGAAAGTCAGGTTTTATGTGAAACATGATTGTTCACGTGAACCATGAAGGTTGACTGGCAGGATTCGTGTGAAATGTGAATTATCACGGGCCAGACACGACTTTCAACGGTGGGGAATTCGTGAGAATGAAATTATCCAGAATATTCGAGAACATGACAGATCAGAGGGCTAATAGCGAAGAAAGGTTTGTGAGGCAGTCTCGTTTAGGCCAAGGGAAGGTGTACGTGTGAGAAGTCCGGAAGAATGTTGTCGTCTGAATAGCGTGATTTCCCAATGCCTACCTGGCAAAAAATAGCGGCTGACGGAAACGGTGGCCAGCTGTGAATGACTGTCGTCTGGATGGAGGGAATTACTGTGTTTCGCTAAGTTGTGTGAATTCTACGATGTTACAAAAGGTAAATGATTGCCCGCGTGCGCATGTATGATTGACTGTTTAGAGTATTGAATAAGTAATCGATGAGTGATATTGTCGTGTATGAACATTTACTGACTGCAACATCAGCGAGTGAAAATAAACGGCACGTGTAACTTCTGAACGTCGGCCAGCGTCCATGTTTTCTCGTTCTTGTCCGTCGGTGAATGGAAGGATGCGGTGACTCATTCGAGCCAGAAATTAATAACAATGAAGATCACTGCAGAAGATCACACACACACAGACAGACACACACATACATAGACACACACATACATAGACACACACATACTCTTTCAGGTAAGCATCAACATTATTCAGACCGTAAACCAAAATACGGGAATATGATTACAGCATACCTGACTGAAGGTAGCACCGAACACTCCGTCTCCATTCAAAGTCTGTTGTCTCTCTCAACCTTCTCTGACACATATTGTCTAGAATGTCCTTCAGATAGATGGATTGCTAACAGAACAGAAACCATAAGAGCAAAAAATCAACATGAATCAGAAACAACTTAGAGCTGATGAAGACTAATAGCTGCAACATCCTTTGTTTGTCTAATGTAACTGAACCATTAAAGCTGACATAGCTTGTATTTTTCAAATTTTGTACTTAACATTTGGAAGACAACTCCAAATTTAACAGTGTGAAGGCATGTGAGTGACAGGTTTAAAAGACATTAAAAGATATATATACATAAGATGAAATGAGCAAAGAATTACAAAACATTTTTTTTGTTGTTCATGAATGTAGTATTGTGGAGCTGACAATTCTGCTGCTCATTTGGACTGATTTATTTTCATAATTTCAGTCAAGTCATGTAAACACAGGTCTGTTTGTACATGTAATGACCCTGCTTTGCATGGTCTCCACGAGTACATTGTGGCCAGTGGAATGTCTGTGCTACAGGTGACAGCACGAGATAATTGGGTCTAGTCGAGGAAGCGAGGGAAGCCCGAGCGGACTCGTGGTCAGTCGATCATGAGAAGTCAGAGTAGACGGTTATAGAAACAGAGATGCAGTTCCAATGTCATGCGGATGACGAGTAATTGAGTATGTCGTGAGTGAGAGAAGTATATATAATTGTGGGAACTTGAGGAACATATGTGAATGAATAAACTGACAGAATGTACAAAGAAGCTGAGCGGCGTTCGTGTTGTCAACCCTATACGTTAAAGTAGTGCAAGTTTTGTAGCAGTAAACATCCAGAGAGTGAGCCGTGGCGAAAGCCAATAGGTAGTAAGCCAAAGTGCAGTCCAAGTCAAGCCAAGGTTAATTACAGTACAAATAAAAAATTTTTCAAGTAGCATAAGCAAATGTTCGAGCTAAACAAGTCATCACCATCATGTAGCAGATTCTTTGAAGAACGTCGCTCTCATCACAGCCTGCATGGAAGAAACTCAGCCATTTGCCAGATCTTCCGCCTCGTGCATTTTCCTACCCAAGATGTCACTTATATCTTGTGATCATCTTCATACTGGTTGGCCTCCGCACCTACTTCCTGACACCATGCCTACTGTAATTTTTCTCTCCAATCCACCATGACACATTATATGGCCATGATATTTCAGTTTCTGAGACAAGATGCTGTTTACCAGCCAATCTGCTTCAATGTTAAGATCTTTTTAGCAGTTCTACATCAGTGTTACATTAGATGGAAAATGTGTGACAGAGATTAAAAGCAGAATAGGTCAAGCGAAAGCTGCATTTCAGAACATGAAAAATATCTTATGCAATAAATCATCCTTATTTAATATCAGAAAGAGGGTGCTAAAATGTTACATAGAACCTGTTCTGCTATATGGCAGCGAATCTTGGAATGTCACTGAACAAATTAAGAAGAATTTGGAAGCAACAGAGATGTGGTTTCTGAGACAAATTTTACGAATACTTTTGGATGGCCAGAGTAACTGACAACGATTGCTTGAAAGAAGCTAATGAAAGTAGATCTTTATATACAACAATAAGAAAGAGACAAACACTGTTCTTTGTCAAATAATGATAAAGAAAACATTGGAGAACATCGAGACAACTGGAAAGATCAGTGGAAAAAGGGGTAGAGCCAGACCAAGAGAGATGATGTTGGATGAGCTGAAACGATGGCATGGAGGAATATCATCAAGAGAGCTGTTTCAGGCAACCAGGAATCATGATCTGTGGAGATGCATGAGCGCCTACGCCAGTTGGCAGGGCACATGATGATGACCTCAGTTTTCAGATGTTTTAGGATGTCAGTATTTCTTTTCTTCTACAAGTTATAAAATATGCATTCCATGACCAGCTACTTACATTTATCATGGCCTCTAGTCGCAGGCGATGAATGGGAAGCACAGGTTCCTCACTGTTCTTCCACACTCCCCTTAACAACACTGTCACAAGCCGGCTTGTCGCCATGTTGTACTTTCGCAGTGCCCCCTGGAGGGACTTCCTTTCATTTTTAATTTCAGAAATGGCTGTTTCACACTCTGAAGTCCAGTGGTATAACATTCCAGTTCGGCACACTTGTGATGGGTACTGTTTTCATAGAGGAAATAATTATGTCATTTGTGCATGCTTGTAAATAACTGTAAGTATCAGATTAAGCATTACAAGCTGTATTTATGATATTTGAATCTCTAGACCTCGCTGTGTGAGTTATGGGCCCCAGTATGGTGAAAGGGAAGGTGGGGTGGAGAGGTCGGGGCGGGGGTGGGGGGCCAGACCAGCTGCCTCCATAGCAAGCTAATAAGAAAAGTTTCTTTGAAGTCAGAGTGTATCTGCCTTAGGGGTGAAGAACCAAGAGTCTGCATGCATAAAAGCCAGATATGTAAAATGGATGTGCACACAAAACTCAACTTCTGGCACAAGACAAAGTCTATGAAGAAGAAGAATCTTTAGACCAGTTAGTTGGATGCAATAAAACAAAATTAGGAAAACAGGCTTAAAAATGTAAATATAAATGCACATAAAAGTCATGAGATGATCCCCCCCCCCCCCACACACAAAAACCGGAACACTATCAAATCAATGAAGCTTGAACTTCAAATTTATATTCTGTCGATAGAAAAAAGGGACGGAAAGGGGGGGGGGGGTATTACTGTGCATGGATTCAGAAAATAAAAGGAAAATAATGAAGTCTCCTCCAAATCAGACTGTAAAGTAACAAATTAAAAGATCTTATTCTATTATATCATTTAAATTATGGTATCTACCCTAGGAATTCCTTTATATTTTACAAGAATTATTAAAGCATACTGAAGTCATAGTCTTACCTTAAGTACCCAATCCTCAAGTCCAACTCCATTTTGACAGTCAGAAATAACAGCTTGAGTCAAGTTACGTAATGTTTCTCCCACCGAATTTTTCAATGCTCCTAGCCAGACCTCTACATTTTCAGCCAGTGTTACCTGCAAACATTTAAATTCAGGATAATTTGTAGATAAAAGCAACTATATCTCATCAAAGTAAACTCTTTTTGTGTTGAACAAAACACCATGTGCGCCCGCATATAATCATCTGGACCAGTCAAAATGTTATACTTGTACATTTTTTGTTTAGATAGGATATCGTAAAACACCCCAAAAAAACACAAGACTCCTGCAAGGGTTATTTAGCTCTTGTGGATACAGTATTCTAATAATTTTGTTGCTGTCATTATTGCCTTCTGGGACTGAAAGAGTTAAGTCAGGAATCTACAAGTCGGTTTGCTCATTGCAAAGTAAAAAGATACAGAGTATGCATATTGTGAAGTAGCAAGATTAAAAGTTTGTTCATTGCAAAGTAAACAGATTCACAAAGTTTGCATACTATAAAAGTAGCAAGAATAACCATTTGCTTATTGCAAAGTAAACAGATTCAGAGTTTACAGACTGTGAAGTAGCAAGATTAACAGTTTGCTCATTGCAATTTAAACAGATTCACAGAGTTTACAGACTGTGAAGTAGCAAGATTAACAGTTTGCTCATTGCAAAGTAAACAGATTCCTAGACTTTGCATACTGTGAAGTAGCAAGATTAACAGTTTGCTCATTGCAATTTAAACAGACTCACAGTCTGCATATTGTGAAGTAGCTTCTTCTTCTTCTTCTTCTGTGTTCGACATCAGTCATGCTACACATGGAGTCCCGTCTGGGTCAAAAAAAGGATTGTGCGTTTAAGGTCGCCACCTGTCCCCCATAGCTTCTCTCGCAATGTGGATCCCCTGAGCCAGATCCACAGTCTTTGCTAGGAGAGGTAAGGGCAGTACTGCAGTATGTGCTCAGGGTGAAGTAGCAAAATTAACAGTTAGCACATTGTAAAGAGCAAGATAACGGAGTTTGCACATTGTGAAAAAGCAATATTAATGGAGTTTGCAAAAAGTTTTCACACTGTGAAGTAGTAAGATTAACAGAGTTTGTAAGGTATGAATGTAAAGTATATAACTGCGCAACCTACTAAGCATATAATAAGAGTGGCTAATCAAGGCTGACATGCGATCAGCTACCTTGTACAGTAGTAAACTTTAGCTACAAACTACAGAAATTATAAACAAATTACTCTAGGTGGGTTTTTGGGCTCAAAGTTTGGAGAAAAAAACCCAGACCAATTGTCAAGTATGTTGCAAAAAACAGGACTAATTAGGACTTGACTGAAGTTGGATATACTGGGCCTAAAGGTACAGATACTGCAGCCTAGCTGTAATCCCTTTATAGGCAAACACAAAAAGGAAGAGGAGCTGCTGTTGTGTAGTGGTTAGACACTTGCCTGCAAATCCAAAAGTGACAGGTACAAATCAACATGTAGCCAGATTATTTCATTCATGACACTGACTACCAGATTGACCCAGCCCTAAATGAGTAGCAGGTACAGTCCTGGGAAGTAAAGGCAGCTGGCAGGATGTTAACCACATCACCCATCAAGGGTGGTCTATGAAATTATGAGTATAGCTTCAAATGTCTGATGTGCCAGTGGCGTATAAAAGGACATCCACCTTTTTTTTGTGTGTGTAATTTTTTAACAGTTTTTTGTTTGTTTATAATTTGTATTGTTACTTTTGAACAAAAGAAGAAGAATATAAACAAATCTACAAAGGACTTGGTCTGAGCAGCCCATGTACCAGTGTGAGATAAAAGGCAGCAAAAGAAATGTAAAAAGAACTAGAATTCTTGTTTGAGTATTACTAGCAAAACTGAAATACGTTTAAATGCCATGGTGGCGTGAGAAAACAGTAAAGAAGGTATGTGGAAAAAAAAGAGGCAGAGGTCAACTTTCATGATGAGGAACACAGGATACCAAGGACACACTGGACATGAATGTTAACAAGTGAGGTTTTGAAAAGCAACATAGGGGTTTTCCACATGCTGTGATTAGAGCAATGTTCTGCAAAGGACCTGCTAAATGATGATAAACTGCAAAAGGAAAAGATAACAAACTACCTTTACTCGACAACATTCCATTAACTAAAAACTCATTCTTTGATTTGCATACAGTACCTGGGTGACTGCCGGACAAGACAGTTCTGAATTACCCTTAACGTTTATATTCAACAACTTGAGTTCAGACTTTACTTTTCTTTGCAAAACATTCACAGGAACTGTCTACATTCTTTGATCGTGTCATCAGAAGGGGAAAACATTATGACCATGGGAAAGTTGAAGGGGAAAAGAGGCAGAGACAGCAAAAAAAGATCCTGGAAAGTTTGACATCATGGCCTGGAAGATGATCCGTGTCAGAATTGACTGACAGTACACGAGACAGAAGGTTGTGGATATCCTGACTACCAACACCATACTGTATGGACTGTAAAAAGAAGAACTCCACCACTGCTCTTGAAATGGAAGTTGAAGCGTTAACAATCCTTGATAAATCAATCTTACCTTTTCAGCAAGTTTCAGTATTTCACCATCTTCACTCAAGACAGCTGTGGCTTCCATGACAATTGTATCACTGACAAGACCTTCAGACGGCAACATAGTGGAATCATCCTGTGATCCACTAAGACTAGTGCTCTGCAAAATAAAATAATGTTTATAGTTAACTGCTTGCTACTTAGAGATATTTGTAGAATACAGGTAATACTGAAAGGCAAGCATGTTAATATCAACCCTAAAAGAGCACTGTTCAACACAGTATTATTACCAAGGCTATGCTATCAATGTCTTCAGAAGACGGAAGAAAAATAGTCATATCAGAAATGAAATGTTTACGTATCATACTAGGTTTAACAATAAAAAGATGATGTCAGGAGAAGAGTCAGCACAGATGCAATACTGAACTTTATCACTAGATAACATATCAAATGGTTTGATCATGTATCAAGGTGGGCAACTGACAGGGTACCACAGAGAGCAATATTATACAGATACAGTGGTAACACAGCCAGAGGTTGACCACACAGGAGATGGATCACGCAAATATCGAAGACACTAAAAAAGTAATACATACAAAGCTAACAGATAGGCCCATTCCAGAGATCTCTTCCCGTCCTGGCATTGTGATTCATTCCAGGAGTAGAAAACAAAAGAAGAAGAAGAAGAAGCAATCTTGTTCTTCTTCTTGTTTTATCACTGGATGTAAACTCCGGTGGAAAGTTCTGGTTGTTTTTAGACCTTCTTGGCCTTTTTCCAGAGCTTGAGTTTTGTGTCATTTCCATTTTACAGATCTAGTTGATTTGTTTGCAGACTGTTGGTTTCTTGCCTCTCAAGCAGAGGCACACCGACTTTAAAGGAAAACCTCTAATTTGTAGACTTTTATAAATGCTTGTTGAGGTGATGCTTGTTGGTTTCAGTAGATCAAGTCTTTTTGTCCCAAAGAGGGGCTCCGAAACCCACCTACATTGGAATACATAAGTAATCAGTATATTTCAATAGTGTCTGCTTACAGTAATTTATTATACTATCTATTGTCAAGCAGTCTGACTGTTCATTCAAATGTAGTTACAATATAATTTAAATCCAGATCTTATTATATAAACATTTAAAAAAAAAAATACTAAAAAAAAAAAAGTAAAATAACAAATGTAATTTTGATATAATTATCATTTTATTTTGAAATAACATACGTAATGCTGATGCAATCTTTTGTCTATCTTTGGAGGCGTTATCACTCTTGAGGAAACAGACAAAGTACTGGAGCTGTTTCCTTGATGATCAATTTGTGGACTGACTATCTCTGAGCCCTGTCTAATGCCATGTTTGTATGAGGCAGCATTAGCTTTACTGTTGCTCTCATTTGGATTAGTTTTCTCAAGCTTGATATCAGCAATGGCAGAAAAGATTGATCTGTGAATGGGAACAGCAAAGCTGATTTAAAACATGGCAGTGTGAGATATTTTCTGATAAAACAAGGTTGGTTAGCTCATCATCAATTTCCACTTCTGCTGTTAAGCACTGTGAGGGGCAGCAATGGCTGTTGTCATTCTGTGTTGATGTAGAAACTCTTTAATGTTATCAATCCAACTTCTCCTAGGGCAACCTCTTGGTTTCACTTCAGATCTTTTCATGTGTAGCACCTGAACTGGTAGTTGTTCTGGCTGCATTCTTACTAGATGACCAAACCACTTGATTTTCTGTTTCTCAATTAATTTGATGCATGTTTTGTTCATACAGTTTGTGTGTGTGTGTGTGTGTGTGTGTGTGTGAGTGTGTGGCCAGGTCAGTTCTGACTTATGGGGAAACCAACCAACTTGAGTTTTAGATGGCTCATGCCACGTAGGTTACTCCTGTGAGTTTGGTTTGACAGATCCCAGTCCCCTTGGCCAGACCAGTGCAGCAGAGCTACACTTTGATCTTATCCAAAAAGCCGAGAAGCAATCCTACAGTCTGTCTGATAATAACATTTCTAACATTATCTAGGATGGTTAAGTTGGTGGCTTTTCTCAGGCATCTCATTTCACAGATATTAATTTTACGTTGGTTAGACTTTGATAATGTCCAAGTCTGGCACTGATAGCACAGCCTTGGTATGAATATGCTGTTTATAATCTGTTTCTTCATGCTCATAATTATGTTTGGATATCTTAATAACGGTGTCAGTTGGTAAATAAGTGAACTGGCTTTTGGCATCTTGTTTCTATTTCTCGATCAATGTACCATAATTGTGTCCCTTTTTTCTAATATCAGCATATCCTAATATCTAGATGTTTGATATCTTCATGAGTTCAGTTAATTCAGGTTCTTTATTTCCTAGTTTGCTAATAAATTTCAAATACTGAATATTTCACATTCGCTTTTAGCTGTAGCTGTCGTCCACTTTTTTTGGTGCATTGAGTGCAGTTCAGTCTTTACAGTGCTGATAAAATCATTCCTTTCATTTAATTTCCTCCATAATTCTCCAGCAATATCAGTTGAACAAATAAATTCCCTACCGTTCTGCTGGATCTGCCATAGGATTCTCCTTATTTTAACAGGTTGGTGTTAAAAATATACACTAAAACATATTTTAACCTTCACAATGTTTATTCCACCATCTTGGATCAAAGCTGACTTAAAAAAAGTAAAAAAAAACCTGTTTACACAAGTATTGTGTATATGATGCTTGAACCATAAGTGTATGGATTAATTGGTACAGGATAAGAGATGAGGTCAGTATCATGCTTACACCTTTACTTTCCAGGAAATTACCTAGTAACCAGCATAGGCTGGGTCGATATTTGAGCAAAGGTCAATTTTACATTTTTTAAACCGATGTGGATTGAAACCCAAGACTTTTGTGTCAGCATCTAGCCACTACACTACTGAGGCTCATAGAATGATCAGTGTGTTACTGAGGCTCACAGACTAATCAGTGTGTTACTGAGGCTTACAGACTGATTAGTGTGTTACTGAGGCTTACAGACTGATTAGTGTGTTACTGAGGCTCACAGACTGATTAGTGTGTTACTGAGGCTCATGGACTGATTAGTGTGTTACTGAGGCTCACAGACTGATTAGTGTGTTACTGAGGCTCACAGACTGATTAGTGTGTTACTGAGGCTCATGGACTGATTAGTGTGTTACTGAGGCTCACAGACTGATCAGTGTGTTTGTTACTGAGTCTCACAGACTGATCAGTGTGTTACTGAGGCTCATAGAATGATCAGTGTGCTACTGAGGCTCATAGAATGATCAGTGTGCTACTGAGGCTCATAGAATGATCAGTGTGTTACTGAGGCTCACAGACTAATTAGTGTGTTACTGAGGCTCACAGACTGATTAGTGTGTTACTGAGGCTCATAGAATGATCAGTGTGTTAATGAGGCTCACAGACTGATCAGTGTGCTTGTTACTGAGGCTCACAGACTGATCGGTATGTTACTGAGGCTCACAGACTGATTAGTGTGTTACTGAGGCTCACAGACTGATTAGTGTGTTACTGAGGCTCATAGACTGATTAGTGTGTTCCTGAGGCTCACAGACTGATCAGTGTGTTTGTTACTGAGGCTCACAGACTGATTAGTGTGTTACTGAGGCTCATTGAATGATCAGTGTGCTATGGAGGTTGACAGAATGTATTTAACATTTTCAAAAACCATTGCAAAATCTAAGAATTATATTAAAAAAATTTGTTGATTTGTGTTTCTTTACTAGGCAAAGTAAGTGTCCTGCCATGCTAACAACTACATAACCATGACTCTCTTTTAAAACTGATCAATCAACAAATCACTCACTTATATTTCTACATAATTTATTACTTATTAGGTCAAAGAACCAAAGAAAATGTATTTATTTGTTATACTAGACATAAGGTGTAAATTTTCTTGTTTTAGTTAAAAAAAAAAAAAAAAGCTTTAATTATAAATTTAGTTACTTAAAAACTGACCTGAGATGTGGTTTCACAGATTCCGTGTCATTTGGTCTGCTCAAGAGAGCCAGCAAAATTGGGTCAGAAATAAAATAAAATCTGGGAACGTTTAGCGGGGTGAGGTTTTCGCTTGTCTGTGACCAAGTAATAACCAAAGCACCAGGTCTCTTGCAAAACAGATCTCTAGTACTTCTGTTCTAGTCTCTTCTTGAATGCTCTACCCAGTAACTAGGTGCAAAATGAACTGCTTTTGGGACCTCTTCACCATAGCAACACTACAAAATAAAGGCATACCTCAAAATAATGCTGAATGAAAAAAATCAAGTAAGTGAAAAGGCTGAAGAGGGGAAAAGTTAGGAATCTTATCAAGATACCTGGTGAAGAAATACTTATGATTTATTTTACATTTTTCCTGTATGTCACACTCAACAGGCGATGTAGAGAAGAGCTGCCGTTAAGCACAGCGGTGAAAATTCTAGAATCTGCACTAACTGACGGATATGAAGAAAGGCATTTACAGCATAGGTTCCAATCCGCACGGGAGGTGCCAGATTTTAGTCAAAAACATGTATACAGTTTCAATGAGCTCCCAGGGTTGAGGTTCCCCGCTTTAAATCAGGTCCACTGTGCGAGGTCCCGGACAAGTTTTGGGAAGCTGAAGGTTGGCTGGATCCGCTATCACACCGACGGTCGGTGATGCTGACCACATCATGCCCCAGAGAAATGGGAAGGATAGAGGATGCAGGGTCTCATCGCCAGAACAATAAGATCGGCACAGCAAAAAAACGAGACGCACACCGGACACGTCAGAAGACTTGTTAATCAACATAGAACTGGTACTATTGCCCATGCGACTTGGGGTATAAGGAGATGAGTCTAACAGCAGAGATACCCAACTAATTTTAAAACACACCAGTGTAAAGATTATACTTATATGTTTCACAGATTCCGTGTCATTTGGTACACAAGACTGGTGTACAGCTTTTCGCTTGGTAAAAGGAGATTGTCTAAACACAACTGGAAGATAGCAACACTATAAAGGAAAACAAATTATGTGGCTATACAAGACTGGAAGGGGGTGCAGACATAGCGGCTAGAAAAGGATGTGAATAATGTCATGGAGCCAGAACAAACATGACTTTGGCTCCCAGGTTGACCCCACTTTAAATAGGTACCAGGTAAAGTTTTGGGAAGTAAAGGTAGCCAGTGTGATGATGACCACATCATCCATCAAGGGCCAATTCGTCTATAACAATGAATCTAGCCTTATATGCCCAATGCGCTTAGGTAGAAGGAGATAGTCTAACAGCAGAGATATCAACATTTTAAACACAACAGGAAGATTATACTTATATGGCTACACAAGACTGGTGCACATAGGTAAAAGGAGATTGTCTAAACACAACTGGAAGATTATACTTATATGGCTACACAAGACTGGTGCACATAGGTAAAAGGAGATTGTCTAAACACAACTGGAAGATAATACTTATATTGGCTACAGCCTGGTGCAGATAAGGATAATTGAAAATTTTAAAGGATAACTTTCTTCACTGATGTTTCCACAAGTGCTCAGTCTCATTCTACAGATTACAAAACACACTCATGCTTTACTCACATATGCTAAATTATTATTTTTTTTTTTTTGGGTAGGTTGATTTTCTAATGCCATCCTACATGATCGGATATTTGGCTCATAAACAGCATCCTGTCTTGAAACTTGGGCTATTTTTTGTCACATGTTAAATGTCACAGTGTCCTGGAGAGAACGGTGATGGAGGATTCAGTTCCAGCCAATGAAGCAGAGGCAGACCAATGCGAACGTGGATACAAGATACTGAAGATGTCTTCTTCTACTGCCTTTCTAGCCCTGAACGGAGCATAGGCCTTTAACCAACTCACGCCAAGTCGTTCCATCTTTTGCTATTGCATGCAGCTCTCCCCATGTCCTCTCCATGTTTCTAGCTTCCTTCTCCAGCTCCCTTCTCCATTTGTTTTTTCGTCTTTCTTTATTCCTATGCCCCTGTGGGTTCTAGTGCAAAAGACATTCTAGTTACACTGTTCTCCGGTTTTCTCAATGTGTGTCTTATCCAGTGCCAGCCTCTTTTCTTCACATCTTGGTCCACTGGAGCTTGCTTAGTTCTCTTCCAAAGCTCTACATTAGTGATTCTATCATACCATTTAATTCCCTCTATTCTGTGCAGGCACCAGTTAAGGAATGTCTGTAGTTTATTACTTGAAGATGTGTTGGCTATGAAAGCATATATGGCTAGAGAACTGGCTAGAGAAAGAGCGACAAGCAGGCATGCCACGACAAGAAGGACGTTACAGTATACAATGTATAAACCTGTAACACATTTCGAGTGTCAAATGCTCTTTTCATCATCTTGGTCCAGCCTTTATCAATGCGTGAAAATCTCTTTGCTTCTTGTGGAAGTTCCTGGAAGGTCAAAGAAAACAGTTCATAAGTTATCTATGGCAAAACAAAAATGTGTATTATCTGAAGTCAGAATCTAGAAAAGGATATAATTAATCTGTACATAGATTTCTTTCACTGACTTTTAGTCTGTTTCTGGGTTTCTAGAGTGTTAACAGAGCTGTTTTTATTGTAACAAGTTTCTTGTGATCAATCTCTCCCAAAACTCTTGGCTCTTTCCCATTTCTAATGTCTTTTACTGTCCATCTGTTTATCCACTCAAGGCTGCCACATAAAAAGTCTGACACCATGAGATCAGAAAATCCTAGTTTGGATGGCAGACCCACAGGACCTGAAGGTCTGATGTGAGATTTTAAAGAATAGAAGAAAGTCTTAGTGCTGGTGGAAGACCAGCAGGGAAAGCCCACATACCCAATTCAACCCCCCTAGGAATTTATACAAGGTCTGACAATTGAGTAATGAGACTAATTCCATAAAAGTTAAAATAATCAACACTTGAAGAATAACCTGTATCTGATTCAAAGTAAGCCTCTTGTGCATTGATACAGCAAATGGCACAGTCTAACAAACTCTGGAATACCTCTGTAGTTCTGTTGTTATGGCCCTTACAGTCGATGTTATGGCCCTTTGGATGTCATCAATATTGTTAAAGAAGCGTCCTTTTAATCGTAACTTTAATTTTGGGAATAGAATATAGTCACAGGGAGACAAATCTGGGGTAAAGGATGAAAGGCTGAGAACACACACTTGTTTTTGGGCCAAAAATTCTTGTTTTGATGATGACTCTTGGGTACTCAACCCGCTGATGTTTTTGGTCATCAGACAACAAATGTGGTACAAACCGGCAAGTAACTTTTCCTTGCTAAAATCTTGCACTAAAATGTCATGAATGGTCTCTCTATTAACACCAGATTCATCTGCCATTCAGCCTCACAGTAAAACAATGATCTTCTTGCATCTGTTCTCTGACTTTTTGCAATGAGTTCATAGTTATGAACAGAAATGTGGCTTCTAGGTGCATTAGTAATCATTTCTACATCACTTTTGAATCCTGGATACAACCTGAAAATGTGTGCATGAGATAAACAATTATCCCCATAAACTTGCTGCATCAATTCAACTGTTTCAATGGCGCTTTTTCTGAGTTTTAAAAATAATTTAATGTTAGCTTTTTGCTCTGTGCTGAATCCATAACAATGTACCTCTGACTAGGTCAACAGAATAGCGGCTTGTTTGTTGTCTGCACAGTCCTGCATGAGTGAAAATTGTTGTGTGACTTGTATTTTTATGCCCAATGTCTCTCTTATATCTAGTGTTTACCCATTGGCTTCTGCCTTTTCTTCCAGGAAGAATGCTCAACAGTTCTGTTCTTTCTCAAATACTGTGCAGTTAAAATGACTTTCAGTATATAATTTATGTAGCCTATGTTGCTATTTCAAAGGTTTGAATCAGATTTATGTCCTTATTCCATATCTGTAGGATAGAGCTTTATGACACACTTTTTTTTTAAGGGTAAGGGATGCCAAGTTGGTCACTTGTCAAAGTACACTTATTCCAGCATCAAGGCACTCTCCTGATTTGGAGGTGGCAGGTTCATTTCAAATTTTGTGTTGTTTAATGTGTCCTATTTCTCTACTTTTTCTTTGAGTGCCAGTCAATATATATCTATTTGTTTATGAAATACTACTGAAGATAACAGTTTTAACAACTTGTCCTGTTATGAAGTATTATTACAAGTTTTCAGAAATGGTTCTCACCTTAACTGCTAGTTGGTTACTAAACACAGCCTCTAGGTACTGCCACAAAGCTTGCACTTCTAGCCACAAGTCTAGAACCTCTGACACTTCTTTCAGTTTCTCAGCCCATGAGGCAGCTTCATCTTTCAAGGGGCCAATGTATCTAATAATTGTCAGAAAACAAGGATATTTTAATTTACAAAGCTCGACTCTTCCAGTCACAAACAATGTATGCTGTGTTATTGGCTGAACTCCTGAATTTAATCACTGAGTCATATGTTCTCTAGCTTTTCACCTTTTGATCATACTAAAACCATCTGGCCACTGTAATTTTCTATATTGTCTTTGAAAACAATAGACCATTGATTTTTTAAGTGCTTGTCACTTTGGACATTTGCTTGCCATACTAGTTGTGACTGAAAGAGTTAAGGCATGTTCACGGAAAACATTTTTGTATGGGTTTCAGGTGTTCAGCCTTTAGATATACTAGGTTTGCTTTGGTTTGTTTTATAAAGAACTGAGTGTATCAGTGATCAAATGATTAAGTTATTTACCTCATGCTATGAAAATGAATAGTTTGGTCATGGTCTCTCCCTGTGTGAGTTCCAGGGCCCCATTGTGGGTGAAAACAAGACTCACTGCCTCCCCAATAAGTACGTCATAGGAGTCGACTAATTTGAGGCAGCCTTTCAAGTCAGACTCCCTATGCCTGAGAGGCAAGAAACCAAGAGTCTGCAGACAAATAAGCCAGATTTGTGAAATGGATGTGTACACAACACTCAGGTTCTGGAACAAGACTAGAGTCCGAAGATAGAGAATAGACAGAACTAACTTTTTAGGGAAGTTTACAGCCGGTGAACATGAAGAAGAAGAAAAAACAGAAGAAGAAGAAGCCACAGAAGAAGAAACAGAAGAAGAATCAGAAGACGAAGAAGAAGAAGCAACAGAAGAGGAAGAGAAGAGGAAGAGGAAAAAGCAGGAGGAGGTCGTGATCTCCATCATTTAGTTGACAAATTTCCCCATGTGGGTACTAGGGCTTGATTTTTGAGAACAAAGAATAGTGTGTTCCTCTGAAGCCAGAGTGCATCTGCCTGAGAAGTGAGGAACCAAAGGTCAGCATATAAATAAGCCATAGCTGTAAATGGATGTGCTCACAAAATTCAAGTTCTGGATCAAGATCAAAGTCCAGACCAAAAGTGGATGAACAACCAGAACTTTCCATTGGAGTTTACAGCTAAATTCAATGCTAAAAAGAAGAAGAAGTTGACAAATGCAGATGTTTCAGAGATATCTGCAGATAAATCTGGGGCTGCAGAGTTACAGGTTTTGTGCAATCTTCTGTAGAAAAAGATCAAGCCAAATGGGATAATACCTGATGCAATGAATATGATCACCTTGACTTTAACTGTAGATACCAGCCTTATATTTTGATTGACTTATAGTCTGAGTCCACTAATGTTAAAATAATAACATTTTGTGGCAGAAGGTGTAAAACTTTCAATTCAAATTAATGAGTAAATGAAGTATTTCATGGAACATATAAGTCAAAAATGGGCACTATCTTAGGACTATCTAATAAACATACAATGCAGTGTATGGAAGTACCACATGCGTTAAATACAACTTGTAAAGGATCACTTTCATTGCAGATAAATGCCTTCATGAGTGTCCCAGTCTCGCCTCACTGATCACACAAGGGAAATCTCAGCACTGTGCAGGAACTCAAAATACATGTTCATGAGAATCCCATAAGCTTAAATATTTATTTATTTATACATTTTATAATTTCAAATATAGCCTAGACAGGTTATGTATTTTGTGTTGCTATGTTATGAATGCCCCAATGATCTAAGAGCTTCTTTTTCTTATAGTCAATGCTGTGTGGCAGTGGTAGTCATGTATATGCACAACCTTCTGTCTCATGTACTTTCAGTCAATTCTACACAGACAAAATTTCAAGCCAAGATGTCCAACTGTTCAACAAATTTTCTCTTGGCCTTCCTCTGCCTCTTTCTCCCTTCAGATTTCCCATCATCATGATGTACTCCAGGTTTCTCCTTTTATGACATGATAAAAAAATGTAGACTGTTTCCTCCTAATGTCTCCTTCATGACAGCTCAAGTAAAAAAGTAGGTAAAGGACATGCCTATGACACATCAGGCACAGCGTGCTAGACCTATAATATTATAGACCAAGCGTTGTGGGGAGATGCAAGTTCCTGTCATAAGCAAGGCGGGCAGCATCTGATGTTCTGAGGCCATGCTTTTGGCAGGTTTCTGAGACCCCGTCAATCCACCGTTTCCTTGGTCTTCCTCTTGCCTTATATCCTGAGCTTCTTTGGTTGAAAATGTGTGATGTTATTTGATCATTTTTCATCCTGGTTAGATGTCCAAACCATTTCATTCTTTGATGTTCTATGTAGTCTAAACATGGTGTAGTTTTGACAGTGTTTCTAATGTCTATATTCTTTATCCTGTTTAGTCTGGTCTTATTCGCTGCTTTTCTTAGACATTTCATTTCACAGGCTTCTATTTTTCTTTCATGGGTCTTGTTGATTGTCCATGTCTGGCACTGGTAGCAGAGTGTTGGAATGAAGATGGTGTTTATCAATTGTCTTTTGGTCTTCATGGTTATATCTGGATGTTTAAGCAGAGGTGATAGTTGGTATGTGACAGCATTTGCTTTCTGTATTCTTGTTTCTATCTCTCTGTCCATTCTTCCATCCTCTGTAAATATAATGCCCAAGTATTTGAACTCTTTGGTTTGCTTGATTTTGGCACTTCCAACATTTATATTCAGTGGCCTGTGTGTTCTGCTGATCTTCATAACTTCTGTTTTTTTCTGTACTGATTCTCATATTATGTTGTAAACAGCTGTTGTTGAGAGTAGTCAGATGTTCCTGTAGATCATATTCATTTTGATACAGTATGCTTTGATCATCAGCAAAAAGTAATTCGTTTATAGCATACACGTCTGGGTTTGCTTCTACAGTGATCTTATCCATGTATGTTATGAAAAGTAATGGTGACAGTACACATCCTTGTCTGACACCAGTTGTGACTTTGAACCATTCAGAAAGACCACTAGATGTTCTTACTGCACTTTCACTTTTTTCATAGAGGGCTCTGATGTTGTCTAATAATTGACCCTGCACTCCGTAATCGTCAAGAATTCTCCACAGCACATCTCTGTCTACACGGTCGAATGCCTTCTCTTGATCTACAAAGACCACGTTCAGCTCTTTATCGTATTCGAGTGTCTTTTCACAGACTTGTCTTAGTGCAAATATGGCATCAGTGCAACCTCGCCCTTTCCTGAAACCGAATTGTGCTTTACTCAGTAGAGGTTCAACCTTTGCTCTTATCCTACCTTCTAAGATCTTTGCATACATTTTTCCCCACATGACTTAGTAAAGATATTCCTCTATAAGTTCCACATTCTCTCTTGTTTCCTTTTTTCTTCCAGATAGGTACTACAACTGATCTTTGCCAATCCACTGGTACCTTTCTCTCTGCCCATGCTCTATTGAAAATTCTCTCCAGCCAGGTGATCATAGTGTCCCCTCCAGCCTGGATGACTTCTGTTGTTATTCCGTCGATACCAGCTGCTTTGTGTCTTTTACTTGTTTTGATAAACTTTCTCTACTTCATCCCGCAGGATATGTGGTTCTAGATGATCTGGAGCCCTTGAATGGAATTCTGCTGTTTCATGTATTCCGACGGGTTCAAAAGTTCTTTAAAATATTCCTCCCATCTTTTTTTAATTTCTTTTTGGCTGAATAATGGTTTTCCATTTTTATCATTTATGACTGATGTTGGATTGAAGCTTTCTTCTCTTAATCGCATCGCTTTCACACTCTTATAAAAGTCTCTTGATGATTCTGTACATAGCTGTGTTAGGTGTTCACCATACTTTTTCCATGATTCCTCTTTGGATTTCTTTATTATTCTCTTGGTGTCTCTTCGAGTTAGTCTGTACCTAATGTAATCCTTTTCGTCTTTTGTTTTTGACCATATTTGAAACATCTTCTTTTTATTTGACACTGCTTCTTTGACTTCTTCATTCCACCAAGCGGTACCCTTTTTCTTGCCTTTGCCCGTCTTTCTGGTACCACACTTGTCTTTTAATATCTTCGTGATGGTTGATTTATAATAATCCCATTCTTCTTCAATTCTTACTGGTTCCTTGGCAATATCTGCAAAAGCCTTTGTTATTTCTAGTTCAAATTCATGTTTGATATTCTCTTCCTCTAATTTCTTAGTGTTGATGATTTCTTCACGTTTCTGTTTATGTAGACTGTTTCTACTTGAGTTGCATAAGTTCATAACTACTGGGCGATGGTCTGAATCCAGTCCCGCATTTGGGACAGCTTTTGTATCATGTTACTAGAACATAATGAATGACACATTATAATTACAAAATAATAGTAAAATAAACCAAAAATACTTATAAAAGAACTTAAATTCCCTGTCACCTTGATGTCAACATGGTGGCAAGGAGAGCTTCGGCATCATCAAGCTGTTCCAACAACCTCTCTGTAAAAGTTTTGTCCAAAAACATAGGACCTCTTTTCTTGTAGTGTTCAAAATTCAAAACCTAAAACATACACACATAAATAAAAATTAACATAACATACATAACATAACCCTTGACCCATTAGGGCCGTGGAGGTGTATTGATGGAAGCACTAACTCATAAAACCTGCCATCTTTCTCTGTCTTTCACTTGATGAATAACTGTATGATAACTTAGTTCTGTCCATTTCTTGATGTTGTCACTTCAGGTACTTCTTTGCCATCCTCTTCTTTGACTACCCCCAATGTTCGAATTTACAAATTAGAAACCTAATAAATAATGTGCTGCTCTTCTATGATTTGTTCTCTAACTATTAAGCAATGACAAGCCACTCAGAGTGGCACACAGAGTTGTATAGTTACACCTCAGATAATATAAACCCAGAATAAAAACACTAAAGAAACAAAGAGAGGTAAATAATGCTCATTATGTAGAAGATTCTGTCATAAAATTACACTTACCTCATATCACAAATGAATTCCCATCAGTATCACAGGAATAGAGACATATATATATATAGTATATGTAATTATCACAACATATAATTTTTATTCAATACCTGATAATGCTCTAGGGAATTTTTAATCCCTCAGAATTCTTTCTGAAATATAGAAATAGTTATGAAAAATGTAAAAAAAAAATATAAATGATCATTTTACAAGCAGTTGCACAAAGATGCTAGAGGAAAATTTTTTAACAGACAAATTGAAAATCAATGAATGATGTAGTCAACATCAATCCAGACACCTTTCCTTCCTAGGATCATTCCTGATACCCATTTAAAGCTGGGTCAACGTCAAAGCCATGATTTGTTATATTTAACTCTTCGAGTCCCAGAGGGTTTAGCATCATGGCCCAAGGGGTAGTCAAGAGAGACATAAAATTGGCACATTATGCGTTCATTGGGTTTCTAGGCAGTAACCTATGAACGTATGATGCGTTCCTTGGGACTCAAAGAGTTAAATCCACACAGTGTGGATCTGAACATCATACCTTTGGGTAAGTGGGTCAGCTCTAGCTCTTATGCTATCACTACTTCCAAGAGTATGTCATGACTATGTAGCAAACTTGCCTGTTCTGTCCACTCCTCTTCAGTCATCCTCATCTTGACCTCCAGTTCCAACTCTCGACTTGCCCCTTTGCATATTTCTTCTACTTCAACTTTATACCTGGATTGAAAAGAATATCAAATGAGGATATTAACATATATATATGACAATAAAACTGCATTTTTCATAATAATCAAGTTCAGCATTTTCTACAGCATAAGAAAGTAGGTTTCTTTTTTAACAATGCAGACATCAAGTAGAACAACATTTAAATACAAATATTTTTAATGTGGAGGAAAAACCTACTGAAATAAAAATTCCAGTTGGCCTACAAACTTTCAGGAAATCAAGTTTAGTTATATTCTGATATGTCCAGATATACATTTTGGTACCTTATTTCACTACTTTGTGTTGATTTCCACAGGAGTATTGATAGTCAACCGTTCAAAATACTGAATGTAAAACTGCTTAGTAAAACCAACAAATGCTGAAGTTGGTTCTGCAGTGTCCTGTAAAGGATACACAGCTAACTTGACCCTATTTCAAAATATTGTATTTAATAAAGATATATAACTAAAATGTTATGGGAAAGATACTATACATGTGGCAGCCAAACTGGCAAACGTCAATGTCATTTTTGGTGAGCTGTGAGGACGGCAACATTCTGAAAATACTTTTTTACATAAAAATAATCACATTGTTGTAATGCAGAAAAACAAAATTAAAAATATTTTTTACTCTCTAAGGAAGATTTGTAAAAACTTACTGGATAAGTCCAATGTCTAGTAAATTACTCAATCTGAAAATATTTGCCTCCAACTGGAAAGAGCTATGTGTCACCTGCATAACTTGTAGCCAATGTCGGTTACGGATTTCCTGGAAAATTAAGAGCAAATACAATTTAGGAAGAGTAAAACATAGGATAACAGTAATATCGCAGCAGCTTCAACTGCAGGGATGTGAAATGCAAAATACTTGATTAAATTGATAAAACGTCTACAAATATATAATCTGGCTCGATTTTGCAAGTTCAGGCCCTGATTTTATTGAGCTTTTCCAGAATTGGATTATGCATACGCTAAGCTACATACTCATTAACTGTTGTATTCATCTCCTTACTTTCCTTGATCTGTTATTAAAGCACAGGACTCTAAACTTACCCAAGACATTCATTTCTTTTGTTACCTCCTGCAGTTCTCTTGATGTCTTCATATTCATAGTTTATTCCCAGTTCAAACATTCTTGTTACATTATGAATTTTTTGAATTTTTAAATTTATTTTTATTTACTTCTTGACACTATAGTCGTCTTCTCTGGATTGCTGATTCCTCGACTATAAGTTAAGCCATCTCTCCTCACCCTGCATTATTAATCCCCTAGTTTTCTACACCTAATTCGGATCCACCTTATCTAGCATTATAATATATACCCCTATGTGCAATCATACCCCAAAGAAATTTAATTCACCCTGTTTCAGTTGTTTTAATTCTCCTGGCTGCAGCATTGTTTTACTTGACACCACTGTGTGTTCCTGCCTGATTAATTGTTTAGTTAAAATTGTCTCAGTCTTGAACAAGATTTAACAAGACACCAATGTGGAAATCTTCCTGAAATTATATAGACTGTGAAGTATTTACACATCCACTAACTGTTTGACATTCAACATAAATGAGGTGACACTGATCATTCTTTGTCACGATCATCAAACAAATGAGTTGAGTTGATTTAAGAACCGACATGACAGCACTCAGGGTATTCGCATATGCGCTTCGTCCCCATCTTCAGCAGCCAGCGAAGAGTTCAGAAACTAATACTGACAGTAGCATTCTGATTAAATGTTCATCTTGCCTTTCCTCTGAGCCTCAAGCATCTGCCAGAACCTCTCATCACTCACCCCTGCATCAAACTCACCAGACTGTGATAATCCATCTGCTCCTCCGAACTGTACATGCTCTCCAAAAAGGCACTAACCACATCTGCCTTATCATGCATCAGTATTCCACCAAGTTGTGCAGAGCCAGCCAGTCTGTCCACCTGTTCATTTCCCAACACATCGGCCTGTCCTGGTGAAAATAAACCAGACAATACTCCTCGCATATGTCAGCAGTGAAGCATACCACTCTGCAGGAAGCATACCTGTCCTGATCTTCCCCAGCATGCTTTCTGAGTTAGTTACGATCACGATGTGTGCGTGTGTGCCATATTCTATAACCAGCGGAAAGCCGCAGTGACCGCCTCCACCTCCATTCTTAAGCTAGATGTTTTGGTATCATATGCTAGGTTCTCCTGCACCAAACGTTAACCAATAACTTTTGCTACAAAACCCTAAGCACTTATTTTGCCTCTTGACACTGAACCGTCTGTGTAAATGATCAAATCCTCTGAGCGAGCATTATATATTGAATTTCATCACACAAATGAATCAAATTTACCTTTTTTTTTTAAATGGACAAGGATTGTTTAAAAAGTGTGCAGAAAGAAAAGTTGAAAAAAAAAATCTGGGTGAAAGGGACAAAACTTGTAATTAAACAATATTTAAGTTCACATATTCAAGTCTGAAAAATTAAATATTCTTACAGTGAACAAAAAAAGTAAAAAAAGAAAGCTAGAATATTTAAATATAATGGGGGTTGGGGGGGGGGGGGAGGGGGCATAATTACATACTAGAAAGTTTGATTATTCTCATATGAGAATATTTTCATTGATTAACAAATATGATTAGACAAATCAAATTGTATCCAAATAGAAAACCTTTGATGTTTCTATACATCCTTTAAAAAAAAAAAATCTTAGCAAAATATTATCAAATACTCTCTACCTTAGAGGATAGTTTCCGTAACAAAGGGAAGACTTCTAAGTATGTTTGTAGCCTGTTCTTCAGGTCACTGTATGCATCCCAATCCTTTAGCTTGCCTGGGAGTGCCAGACATTCATCCCAAAATCCTTCCACCTGAAACAGTGATCACAAATAAATACAGGCAACTTCTTTAGACATTTTAATAAATAACTATAACTTTATCCTAGAAAATCATTTGTGTGTAACATATTATTTCTAGAATTAAAAAAATGATTAGTTTTTGTCATTAGGCACTTTGTGGATAAGGCAGTGTGAAATCTAGCTACTTTTTCTTTTAGCCACAGACATCTGCCTTGTACAAACTCTGCTTTGGTCGTTTCAACCATCGTCTTCAAAAACAAAAACAAAAACAAAAAAAAATTATGTGAAACACTAACATGAAGGCTAAGGAATTTCAACTGAACCCAAAATGATACAACATAACACAAACATGTGTTAAAGGAAAATCTAACCGTCCTTTTCATAAGAATTAACCAAATTAAACTCTTTAAAATATTTCTAAATCTCACACCAAGTTTGCAAACAAAGCTTACTTCTGCTGCTGCAGACTCCAGATCCGCATGGGCCCAAAGAGTATTCCTGAATCTGCTATCAAAGTGTATAAACTTCTGGAACAATCCATACAGCTGGCTCAACAATTCAAGTTCCTAGAGATGAAATTCAGTCATGTAAACAAGCTTGCATAAAACTCAAGAATGGACATAAAATACTTGTAGTGTTTATCCGTGAAAACTTCCAACTCATTCAATATTTCATGGCAGTTTGACATGTTTTAAAGATTATGAAGGATTCAAATGGTTGGAATTTTTATCCCCATTCCAGAGTATAAATGACAACATAAATATTTAAAACAAGAGATAAATAAAATTTATAATAACAATGAACATATGTGTTCACAAGTCAATGACTATACAAAAATATTAGATTAGAAAAAAAAAAATCCTTCATTTTGCATTCAAATGAAAGAAAAATAATTTCCAGTTGTTATTTTTAAACTATTATGTTTCTAAATTAAGCATATATTTTTTTTATGAAGACCCAATGATTAGTGGTGGCTGCAGCTGTCCCTGTGTGGGTTCCTGAGGCCCTATTTACCTTACAAAAAAGTATTACATAAATGGCAACACCCATTGGATGTGTTTGGCCAAAATGTGCATAGACTGTAGCCTAGCTGTAAACCACAATACAACATACCAATTGCCCTTGTAAGGGCGAATGTCATAGTTGAAGAATAATTTTGCGGCTTAACTCTTTCGCTGCTATGGACGTCTTTTCCTGTTTTCCTGTACCATGCTTCGCCCGTTATTTTTTTTTCTTGAGCCCCCAGTGCTATGGACGTACCAACCCGTTTTTGGACTTTCCTTACAGATTTCTGTGACCTCTTCTCTCAGGGGCCAAAGGGCAATATACATAAGCTATATTTAGATTCAACTGACCCATTTACGTACGATTAAAAGCACTGGCACGTGCATTTAGGTGTGTTTAAGGTGTGCTTACTGCATTCCGCAATATCCCATTGCTTTGTTTACCATGACAGCGTGGTCAGTGATCTGTGTATTTTGTGCCCTGATATATATTTGTGGGTTTGGATTATTCTACACTTAGTACTAAATGGCAAGAAAACTTGTTAAAGTTGATGAAGAATTAATGGAGTTTCTGTCAAGAAGTGATAGCGAAGATAACTTTGAAATGTGTACTTCTGACAGTGAACAAGAAGATTTGACTAGGCCATCAATATCGACGCTGTTTGCCTGTCCGTCGTCCTCATCGGATCAGAGAGCAGCGACAATGAAACGCCATCAAAACGGAAAAAAACTGATCAGTTGTCTTGGTCAACCGATGATTTGATACCAGTAGTACATAATTTGGATGACTCCATCTCTGGCTGTATTTCTGCTACTGTAAATTCAAACAGTTCAGTGCTTGATTTTTTACCTTTTTTTTTCACGGAAATCTCTGATGACTTTCATCGCAGCAGAAACTAACAGGTTCTGCAAGGAAGTAATTGAGAAGGCACCTGTCACTACAAGTTCTCGTCTTTACCGATGGACAGACACAGATTCGGACACATTTTTTGTTGTTGTTGCTGTCTGTCTGCTAATGCTTTGAACAAAGAAACTCAAAATAAATGAGTACTTGAGCAAAGACTGTTTGCTAAAAACTCCCGTGAAATAATGTTGAGGGACAGATTTTTACTATTGTTGAGAATGTTGCATTTCTCAGACAACAGTGCTCATGCAGGTGGCGATAGACTGTACAAAATTATACATATTATTGATAGACTGCGCACATCATTCATTATTATCATTCACACAGTACTTTCATCTACCGCTAGTCTAGTGTAGTTGGTATTACGTTCGCTTTAGAATCGAAAGGTCGTGTGTTCAACCCCCAATTTAAAAAAAAAATTATTATTATAAATTTTCTTTTCAGTTCCTGCTACTTTTCAGCAACGGATGACTCAGGTATTATTGTTTTTTTTAAAAAATATAATAACATGGTGACTACAAATAACTATGATTGAAGTGGGAACCGCGGTAGGTTCGTCAATCAAATTTTGGGAGAGAGACAGGGAACAGTTCTTCCCATTAATTCCCCCCCCCCTCCCCCCAGGGGGTGGTAGCTTTTTTGGTCAAGTTTGTAGGTATACAAAATATAGCCCTCACCGCCGACGCATCTTTTGCGTTTTGAGAATAGAAAAGTATTGCGCACAGCAGAGACTTTTTTTTTCCACATTGCTTAGCACAGGGCAGACAGCTACGGCCGGGAACATAGCAGCGAAAGGGTTAAGTTTACTACTGGTTGAGTCTTTTGCCAACGTTCCCTTAGTTGTCACTTACAGCCTGCATGATATGTTACAGTTTTATTGTTCGCTACTTCCCTTTTGGGCTCACATAATACATGTATGATATACAAAACATACTTTTAATTTAAAACAATTAATTGATAAATCTGACCTCTCCTGTTTTGTCCAGCTCTGGAAAACGCCTACAAGGAATGCTAAATAGCTTAGAGACTGAATTCAGTGTCTGACACTTGGCTGCATAAACACTGAACAGGTACTGGAAGTCATGCAGTCTGGACACTGCTTCTGCTGGCTGTATACCCGGGACAGCTGGACCTTGGGTATCAAAGGCATTGCGGAACTGAATAACTTCCACAACAAATGTCTAGAAGACACACAAAAAGAGCTTCAGTCACAGGTGGTAACATTAAAGACACTTAACTCAATCTTACCCATCCACGTGTGGGTACTGGAGCACCACTGGAGGATGGGGTAGGTAGGTTAAATAGACCCACTGCCTCCCTAACAATCATGTCAAAAGAGTAGATTAATTAGGGATTTCCTTCGAAGTCAGAGTGCATCTACCTGAAAGCAGAGAACCAACAAATAAGGCAGATCTGACAAAAGGATGTTCATGCAAAACTCAAGTTCTGGAACAAGACCAGAGTCCACAACTTCCACAACAAATGTCTAGGAGAAATGCAAAGAAAGCTTCAGTTACAGGTGGTAACATTAAAGACTCTTAACTTAACTCAATCTTACCCCTCCACATGTGGGTATTGGAGCACCACTGGGGAATGGGGTAGGTAGGTTAAATAGACCCACTGCCTCCCCAGCAAGCATGCCAAAGGAGTAGATTAATTAGGGATTTCCTGAACGTTAAATGTTGAATTAAGAATCAACATCACAGCATTTGGAACACCCCCATAAGCACTCCTTCAAAGTCAGAGTGCATCTGCTTGAAGTCAGAGAACCATACAAATAAGGCAGATCTGACAAAGGAATGTACATGCAAAACTCAATTTCTGGAACAAGACCAGTCCCAAAGTGGATGAACGAGCAGAAATTGTTGCTGGAGTTTACAGCATGTGGACACGAAGAAGAGGAATCTTACCCACACAGGTAGCACCCGCAAGTCGTAAATGTCTGAGGTATTATCATTATCAAGTGCCTAGCCGACTGGCATGGAGCAAATGTGTGCAGGACAGGTAATACTTAAACAGAGACAGGAAAAACCAGTGGCAGGAACTGAAATGTCAAAATGTTTGAACAATTCCTATAGAATACATGAGAACATTGTGTATGGAGTGCCATAGTAGGGTAGTAGCTAGATGTTTCCCTGCTGGCACAAAGGTCTTGGGTTTGAATCTGCACTGGTCAAATATTTTTAACCAAGATTAAAGCAGGTATCAGAAAATATGGAAGCTGCAGTGACACAGAAGCTAGATATTCGCCTGCAGACCAAATTGTCGTGAGCTCAGGTCCTGATAGAGCTGGATGTTTTTTTTAAAGTGACCTTGGCTCCCAGGTAGACGCAGCATTCAATGGGTAGCAGGTGCAGTCGTGGGAGGTAAAGGTGGCTGGCGTAATGTTGACCGCATCACAATCTGAGTGCTGATTGGTCTATAAAATATAGGTCTCGCCCTATATGCACAACAGCCTGCAGGTGTGGAAAATGGTCCTTTACTTACTTATATTTTTACCAGGAAACATCATGGGAAGTAAAGGTAGCTAGCCTGATAATAACATCACCTGTTGAGAGCTGACAGAGCTATATAAGTATGAATCTAGCATCATTTGTCCAGTGAGCCACTGCGTATGATAAAGGTCCTTTTTGCATGGTGCACTATTTTACATGTTATTGTAGAAATGATGGATATGACAACAAACTTTAAACTTCTATATGAAGTGCAGCAACAGAGAGTGCTGTTTACCTTGATCTGTTTGTCAAGCTCCTGTTCGAACGCCCCTCTTCTTTCCTTGAGGAGTTCCTCTCTCACACATTCAGCAAGTCCAAGTACTTCTATCCACCTCTGCCTTAGACTTGCTACTTCTTCCACTTCAGTCCTGGGCAGTCTTAGCTCAAACTCTCTGAACAGTGACAAGAACATCAACAATGGTAACATCGAAAAGCACAGCAGCATGAAGATCGGTGTCACTGATTCACAGTAAAAAATGTAAAAAAAATTAAATACTGTGCCTTATCCACAATGGTTGGCTGCAGTGCATCCTATGCTGACTGGAATATTAATTACATGGTGAGATCCCAACCTTCTCTGGGGTGTGATTCTGGTACCACTGTCTGAAAGCCATTAGAATAGTCTTTCTCTACAGCAACATTTGCAGGAATCGAGCCCTGGTACATAGTGAAGACTGCACTGGCTTCTCCCAATAGCCACAGCAAATGTGTATACTGCCACTTTGAAAGTTGAACATTCCTAATTTTGTACCATGATTATTATTATATATGATTATTTCTTTACTTGGGCATCTCTTGTGAAATTTCCTGGTACTGAAAGAATGAACAATTTTCACCATGGCATACAGCAAATGTCTGAAAGTATAGACACTTAGTATTCTCTTATTTGTTCACTGGCTGTAAGCTTTGGCGTAAAGACCTGGTTTGGACTTTGGCTTTGTGTCAGGGCCTAAGTTGTGTGTGTAGATTTGTTTTACTGGCTGATTTGTGTGTGCAGTTGGTTGTTCCTTGCCACCCAGGCAGATGCACTCCGATTTTGAAGGAAATCTCCAATTAGTCAACTCCTACGACATGCTTGTTGGGAAGGCAGTGGGTCTGTTCTTGTTCTCCCCCACAATGAGATCCTAGAGCCCACACGGGGAAGATACTTATTCAACACAGAAGAAAATAAATAAACAAAAGGACCTAGTTTCAGGCCATGAGTGGCAATAGGTATATAATGCTAGCCTCATAGTTTTATACTGGTACTCCATGGGAGAAATGGTATGTTTCATGCAAGCAGCCTTTGCTTCCCAGACCATTTCCTTGTATCTATTTGAGGTTGGATCAAAACAGGAGTCCAGGTCAATAAACAGAAAATCTGAACATCAGGTATTCAGGTAATTTCATATGAAACGGGTCACCCCCTTGTTGCTCCAGTCCTGTGCCAATGAAAACCACACAGAATGCCCTTTATTGTCCCTTGTGACAAAAAAATTGAAACAAACTTAAGTTTTAGCAAATCCAACAGATACGGGTGCTTTAAATGCATGAGGCAATAGCCCGAAGTGCCAACACAAACAGTCCAACACTAGAAATTCATTTCATCACCTAGAGAAGAAACAGCTACAACAGATGCACAAGCAATTAATCGCATAAATTTAAACATGTGACCATTAGGCATACCTCAATTTTGCATACATTGCCTCAATTGGTTGATAAACTCCATCAATCGTATTTTCCATGTCCCTCAACTCTTCCAGCAGATGTAAGGTAGAATTCAGTTGGTCTAATGTTTGAACATCCTGTTTTAGTCTTGACTGCACTGAACTTCTGTATGCCACAGCGCTATCGAGTCTTTTCTGTAAAAAAAATTTTTCTTATAGTAGCTTTTTTTTTTTTAAACTGAACAATACTGGTTAGAATATTAACTGTTATTACACAGAGTGTTTTGTTTGTTAAGCTATTTTACATGCTATTGTTTATATTTCTAACAAAATCTTTTTAGGGGGGGGGGGGGGGGGGGGGAGTGGGGGGGGGGGGGGGGGGGGGGGGGGGGGGGGGGGGGAGGCAGATAGTTGGTTAATCAGGCAGATGCAGTCTGATTTAAAAAAAAAAAAAACACATCCAAAATTTGTTGACTTTTGTGTCACGCTTGTCAGGAAGGCAGTGGGTCTATTATCCTCCCACTCCCAATAAACTCGTAGAACCCAGACGGGCAGCACTGATTTTAACATCAGTTCTGCATTATATTGTTGAGAAAGTAATGGAAAACCACGCAGGCATCTACACACTGATCAGTCTATAAAAATATAGGTCTAGCCCTATATTATCAATATGTCTAAAGGCGTGGAAAAGGGACCTCTACTTTACTTTTAATTTAATGCTTGGTCAACCTGAGAGCACAGAACAATTATTTTAAAAAAAAAAAATCTACTTTGGTGCAGACTTGAAACTACATTTAATAAAAGACAGACATATATTGATAAGCACTCATAGAAGGAAGCAGAAAGAAATAGAAAGTACCAGGGGAAAAAAAGTAGAAAAATAAAATATAAGGAAAAAAAAAAGAAGTTGAAAGTACCTCAAAAAATAGAAAAAGTATTTTAAACTAAGATCTTGGGACTGACAGGTAAATATTTAGCCACTGCTTTATCATGGTGTATGCAGCTTAGGCTTCGTAATGCCAGCTTCGATCCTGCAAGGTTTTTTTGTCCTGTGTTGGTTTCGACAGTTGTATCGAGAGCTGACCATTCAGCAAGCGATGGCACACTACTAAACGTAAAATTTGCCTAGAAAAACCACAACAGCCAAAAACATGCTGGGGTCGGTTCTGCAACACCTTGTAAAGGATACGCAACTAACCTTACCTACCACAGCCGCTAGTGATTTATCATGTCAAATATTTTTCGGATATTTTTCAATCATCAGTTCAAAAAGTAATTGAGTGGTTTGTGCGAGTGCTTCTCATGTAGGAGACCTGGGTGTGAATCCTCAGTATAGTTACGGATGTTTGTTTTGGTCGGGAAGATAAATATACTAAACTTCAGTTTGTGGCAACAGCATTAGTAATGTGGTCCTGAATCCTCAGACTCAAGACCCATCCCCCCTCCCCCTTTTCCTATCCTACACTGCCATAAAAATGTGGCACCATGGCAAATAATATTTTTTTTTTTTAAACTTAGTTTCAAAAGTTACCTTGGCTTCCTCATGTAGTACAGAGGCAAACTTTGTTTTCCATGTCACAGAAAAGCCCAGAAGACAGTCCTTGATAGGGTCAGTAAACAAACTCACAGGCCCAACAGGTGACTTTGATGGGATTTCCATGATGTTTTTCTCAAGGTGAAGATAGTGTTCCACCTGCAATTTCACTTTCAACTGTAAATGCCAGAATATTTCTAAGCAGACTTGAGGAATATACGTGATAACAGTGTACAAGTTTTTGTACTTTTAAAATCCAACATTCGTACTAAAAAAAAAAAAAAAAAAAAAATAGCAGATTGGGTTGCCAGTATGTCATATTGCACCAGTATGTTGACATTACTCCATATTTGATATAATTTTTATTCCAGATATAAAGCCGAGGTAGAAGAAATATGCAAAGAGAAAGTTGAGATTGAGATCATGAGGGCAAGATAAGGATGACAGAAAAAGGAATGGACAGAACAGGCAAGGTTGCTACTTGGTCATCACACACTCATAGAAATTTTGAGAAGATCAGCACACCTAGGGCTTTCAAAACAATGTTTTCCCCATAGTGAATTTAAATTCACAGACAATACATCAAACAAATTATTGCCACGCTTATTATGCTGTACCACATCAGGTGCGTTACTAAAGAGATGCAACAACACATAAGGAAGCACACACAAAACACTGAAAGTTAGTTAGTGGACAGATTATCCTCACTGCACATCAAACCATTAAGTCCATAACTGCTCGGATCCCCTCCTCAGTAAATCCCGCAATGTGTAGTGGCTCATGACACCAGTTTTGTGTTGATTTCTTATTCTTGATTGGCTTCCTGCATTGCACTTTCGTCTGGCCACACCCCTTTTAACATGTTTTTTTTTTGCAGTCTGGTCATGGTTGCACATTTGGTCATCATTTGCTTCTCGCTGGAGTATTCCACTGAAATACAAATCTAGGGCCACGTCAGACCTACAATGATAACTTAGGCCTTGGCATATTCCAGGCTATGAAAATGAGGTAAGATAGCCAAATTTGTTTCCCCACTGCATTTTCTTCCTAGACAATTCTTGAATCGGTTTCTCCTTCTTTTTGCAGCAGAGTTTACTCTAAAACGTAAGAGGTCAGAAAAAAATCCGGTCACTTCTCTCGATTGAACCTGGATCACAATTCCAGAAGGAAAGTGCAATAACCACTATGGCTCGCACTGTACTGCTAGTTAAAATATCTTGCCAGATTTTTTTTTTTTGGGTATACTTAGATCAATTCTAAAAGAAATAAGACAACACACCTTGCTGACATGCACACACCATAGTACACACAGTGCATTGCTTGGGACAGAAATCTAAAACTTATTTACTGGAACTGTGCAGCTACACAAAATAATCTGATATTTTACTTCTAGATGCTGTTTAAAATGATACACACAGTTCTGTAGACTGCTTCTGATTAGGACCATTGAAAATTGACAGGATGAGCTCACAAGTTTTCAGACAAAGAAGTTGGCAATATATCTGGCACATCCTGAAGAGTAGCAAAAAGAGAACCATAAAATAATGGATTTATAAAATGGGGGAGAAAAAAGAAAAAAACAACCAACTGATAAGAGAAGCCAAAAGTGTAAGACTGGATTCGTAATAAAATAATTCCACAGGATAGAATGAATGAATGAATGAATCAACTGCAAACCAAATGTAAGGGATAACAGCACAGCAGGATGATAGTACATTTATTTTATTTGGAATGATAAAAATGACTTTAATAAGGAACAGTATACTGGAGCAAACAGACCTCTCTCTTGATGGCCACTTCACCAGGGTCAGCCATAATGAACTCCTGAATGTTGCCATGCATGTCATCCTTCCAGAGAAAATTGTAGTAGCTGAAGTGAAACAAACGTTTGTCCACTAAGTCTGCAAAATCTGTTACAAAAAAAAAAAAAAAAAAAATTTGTATATATACATATACACACACACATATGAAGTGAAGCAGTTATACTCTAAAAATCACATAGTGAAATGCTTATGCTGAATGTTGAATTAAGAATCAACATCATGCACTCTGGATACTCCCATAAGCACTCCATCCCCATCTTCAGCAGCAAGCGAAGTTCCAATTCTGATGGCACCAGTAAATATCTGATTGTATATCCACCTCATCTTTCCTTTGTGTGCTGAATGTCGGCCAGATCCCATGGTAACTCCCCCCAAGTGAAATGCTTAGAAACATAAAAAAACCTTCACATGTGGAAATCACATTACTGTAATTTAGCTACTATTCCCAGCTCACTGTAGTGTATTGTCAAAAAAGACAGATGTACCTGGCTGGGGAAAATGTTATTCAGCACCACCTATCCTAGAACATTCAAAGAAGCAGATTTTCTTACAACATGCTATGAAACTGATGCAGAGAAAACAAAATTCAAATAAATGACCAGATATCATGATAGCATTAACAGGCTGAGCAGAAATAAACAGACCAAGCATGTCAGGCTTAGAAGAGAATATTCTGGACCTAAAACACCATTAAATGAGTCTCACTTCCACACAGGGACTATCATAAATGTAGAGGTGACACACAATGATCTGGTTCTGAGCTGATAAAATAAACAATGCTCAGGGCTGCATAGCCTCACTTCAATATAACAAATCTCCTTTTCATTATTTTAGTGACCATTAGAATAATATGTATGTGTTATCAGAATCAACTAACTGCATACTGGGCATTCCCATGCATTCTCAGTCCTCCAATGCAGCCAGGTACCCCTACTTATTGTTCCCATGAGAAGCTGGTTATAGCGTTTCCTGTTTTGACCTAAAAGATAGTATAGGCGTGCTTTACCAAACTTTACTCCTAGGTCATGCAATCGTTGATTCATCATTATAGCTCAACCAAGTAAAGCATTGATGATATCAGCTCTGTTCATGCTTCTTCCCTTTCACATTGGTGCGTTACTTGCCAGCTGGTCGGCTTTTTCATTTCCTTTTACTCCTCCATTCCCAGGTGTGTAAATCCAGATGATGGAGGTTACCTCCAACTTCCAGATGCATTCTACACAGTCAGAGTGTAAACTAGCATGGCTGTCATTGTACACACTGGTTGCTACAGTACTATTGATTACACATATGTACACACATGAGACACAATTCTAATTACCATCCACAGCTGTGGTGAGCTGAGAGTGGAGTTCTTGGACATTGGAATCGCTGCTAATCAAATCAAACAGGCTGTCACCGTTAGTTTCCCCAGTCCAGGAAATATCTGGGAGCAGAAATCAACTTTAGTGACACAAGCAATGATAACACAGGCTGAAGCAATACACACAATTATACACATCTTTGTTACATACACAGTAATTACTAAAACCTGCACTGCATAAACTAGAACTATCTAAATTTTAGACTTTCTAAGCTTGCTGACACATACCTTCATCACATTAACAATGATTACATAAGCTAGATGTTATCTGATGTTAACTAGATGTTATCTGATGTTAACTAGATGTTATCTGATGTTAACTAGATCTTATTAAAGCCTTTTAGAGATTAATGTAAAGGTTAGTAGCCAGCTCACTACCCTCAGAGGAAAGGTCACAAGGACATATAACCAGACTGCGACCGGTACCATTAGTATTGGAACTCTGTGCTGGCTGCTGAAGATGAGGACGGAGCAGCATGAGAATGCCCCCAAGTGCTATGATGTCAATTTTTGACTCAACTATAATAATATAAACTTTAACCACACTGAGCTTGATGACGTAAAGATTTATTTATATAAATCTGTATATGGTGAGACCGTCTTGATGGTGAGACCGTCTTGATGACAAGTCACAAGAAAATACAGAAAGCAAAAGTTACAGTGGTTACAGAAGTTGAAAAAAAAAATTATATATATATATAAAAAAAATGGGCCTTAGCCTGAATAATAGGAAGTTAGAAATGATGGTAACATCATAGACACAGATTGTGCCTAAATGTAAAATTAAAGACAATGCTATTTTTTCTAACTAATACAGAAATGTAAGTATCTATGCAAGTGGGTAACATCAGATGGTAGATACATCACACAGTTAAATAGCCAAACAGGACAAAACAAAATGAACATCTTATGCAATAAATCTGCTTCTTCTTTAAAAGGGTGGTTGCGACACTGTGTTGTGGTTTACAGCTAGGCTGTGATGTCTGCACTTTCTGGGCCAGTACATCCAATTTCTCAAACCCTTAATTAGTCGCCTTTTAAGGCATGCTTAACGGAGGAGTGGGTCTATTCTCCTGACATCATAAAGTCGCCCCCGGAATCCACACAGTAGGAAATATGCAAAAAATATCTATTACTGAAAGAGAAAGAATATACACTTATTAAAGAGAGAATTTTAACATTTGGTCATAAACCCAGGACAATAAGTCAAAAAGCCACACAGTCACACATTTCAAGTATCACATGTTAGCCACATTTTGAAAACAGAAAAAAAACTAATTAAAATGTGTGACGAATGGACAGAATAAAATACAGAACGAACGAACGAACGAACGAACGAACTTTATAGACAGGCAGGTAGAAACTGACAAAAGATTCTTGAAAGTTTTTTTCCCATGGCTTTGAAAAATGTCAGCACACACAATGATGCATGCTACAGAAGATATCACGATGGGAAGGAGTCTGATCACCCATGACAGATACTGCTACCTCCTGGCCGTGCCATGAAACACACCTTTATTATACAAAATTAAAGTCCAGAGGATCAGCATCACTGCACTGGATTCTCCCAAACAGCTCACCTCAGTCTCTCTCTACAGAATGGCTAGCCACCTGCTGATAGGGTCACACAAAGCATAAACTCTATAGCTTCAGTGATGATCTCCATGAATGTTTGTAAATCTGCACCCATGAACTAAACTATATTTCCGTGAAACAAACCCGTGATCTTAAGAGTATGAGGCAAAAGCTCGACCACTTTGCCATGAATTATATAATCCCAACATAAGAAGCTGTTATTATACCTTTTGACGCTTCTAGAATAGCATTTGTTGCCTCAGTAATGGCTGTCTGAATCACATCAAGTGTTGGTTCTACAACCACATTTGGGATGGAGAACTTTACAGTCAGCTCAAACCTGAAGACAAGGGAAGTCAAATTGTTGATGAAACAAAAGATAACTGTAAAATTAACTCTTTCTCTACCAATCAGCTGGCTTATCAGTTTAATGGTGACAACTGCAGGAAATAATTTTTTTTAATGCTTCCTGTCTCACTAAGATGTTATATAAATTCATTTAGTTCCTTTTATCATAATTGTTTCATGAACTTTTTCTGCACATTAGTTTTAGTGTTTTATTTGTCTGCAGAAAACCTGCTGGCTGAAAGTTTTTCAAAGGAAAGCAAAATCTTCATGTCTAGAGTAAGAGAAGAAGAAGCGATGAAAGAACTGAGGAAAACCAAAAAAAAAAGCAAGACAATAACCAAGATATAATGAAAAAATTCTTCATTCCTCAAGAACTTGAATGTGCATCAAGAAACCTTAAGAAAAGGAAGGCACCTGGACCTGATCGAATAACAAATGAAATGATAGTACACTTGGGACCAGCTGGTAGGCAACGACTCTTAGACCTTATCAATCAATCCTGGACCCAGGGACTATTTCCTAAGGAATGGAAGGAGGCAGAAATAGTCCCCATAGCCAAGAAAGGAGAGCCCAAGGAAAACAATTTTAGTTACCATCCCATAAGCCTCCTAAGCTGCCTTAGAAAGACCATGAAAAGATTAGTGAACAACAGGTTACTTAATTTCCTGGAAGAAAACAAGATAATGGATGACTCCAATCAGGCTTAAAGAGATTCAGATGCACTGATGACCAAATCTCTTATATCACAAAGGAAATTGAAGATGCTTTCCAGAAAAAATACAAACTGTTAGCTACTTTCTTCGACCTGACCAAAGCCTTCGATAAGGTCTGGAAGAAAGGACTCTTGCTAAAACTAGCACAATGTGGGATAAATAGGCATATGTTTGCCTGGATTAGAGACTTTCTTTACAGACGCTGTGCAAGACTCAGACTGGAAGACGCAAGAGCAAGCTGGTCAGGTTACAAGAAGGTGTCAAGATTTTAGCTTTAAGTAGCTTGTGATAATTGATTTGTGTTTTCCTGTGCAACAGGGGTCTTTATAAACAGTAGTGAATCTCAATGGTTCAAAACAAATTGTAGTGAATTAATTAAATATTAACATTAGAAAATAAAACTTATCTTGAACCTGAAAAGTAACATGGAAAAAGCAAAGAAGAAGCAATATGTAAAACAACAACAACAACTAAAGAACAGAAGGAGGGAAAAACACTTACTGTATGCAAGTACCCTGAACCAGACTTTTCTGAGGTATATCGGCTGATAAGTTTGCCATCTGAGTAACTGGCCAATCAGGCATAGGGGAATGCTGTCCTGTGGAATGAGCTGAGCTCATTCTACTGCTTGTACTAGGTTTAATCAAAGTTTGAAATAATCATTCAGTAAATAATGCTTTTTACAAATTTACTTAGGCTTACGTGTACATAACCACTAAACTGCCAACTATTGCTTTTATTATACCACTTTCATGGTGTAGACAGGGGGGGGAAGGTAAGGGGGGGGGGGGGTCTGTGAGTCTAAGGATTAAGAGCATCATGGCTAGTGCCGTCAACATGAATTGGGCAGGTAAGGATTTTATTTCTGGCCCTGACAGAACCACTGAATATAAACGTTAAACTTTGGTGCAATGCTGACTTTTGTGATTACAAATTTTGTGTCAACAGTGAGTTGCAATTTTGATGTGGGACTGTTAGTGTTGGCATATCTAAAAGCTGTCTTAAGCACTTTCTATTTTGCATGTGCAAGCTTTAAGATTTTTGCTGGGACTGACAAGTTTTCACTAAGTTTCCTATGGGACCGTGAAAGACATTTTGTGTGATTTCGTCTGCCACAGGAATGGAGCAGTGATGGGGCGAGACATCTACAGTGATGTTGAAACCTAAACTAATGACTGACTACTAAACAAATTCCAGGCTTATGCATCATGGAGCAGTAGCTGCATAGTCATTAGTATGTTCACATAATATAAACCAATACAACTCATGGCAGTGGCGAGTATGACTAGAAAAATTGAAAAAAAAAAAGCACTAAGAAAAGTGTGACACAATTAGAGCATGGGATTTCAGGATCATTCTTGTGATCAAATGTATTTTAACAACAGCACAAAACCTGGTTGGTACTGGTACAGACCATGTTGTGCCCATGCATTATGATCCCTCTCTCAGCTTATCTTGTTTACTACAAAGGAAAAGAATACACTTGGGATAAAGCAGGCTTGATTAGAAAAGCTGTGGTCTGTCTGTTGGTCTGTTGGAGCTAGGGAAATATCATAATGCAACAAATTTGGAGCCGCTGAGATACGTACCACTTATTTCATGTCATTCTGCTTGCTTGAGCTGCTATTTACAGATGCTGCTGCAATTACACCCATTCAGGGGAGGAAATGCAATGATTACTATTTGAATTTGCTCACGCACGTGGAGTTGAGTTGATTCAAGAACCGACATCACAGCACTCAGAGTATTCCCATAAGCACTCCTTCCTAATCTTCAGCAGCCAGCGCAGAGTTATAATACCATGTCACAAGTAGCATTCTGATTAAACGTCCATCTTGCCTTTCCTCTGAGGGTCGTGAATAACATCATGAATTTGGACTAATAATCAGCAAAGAAGAAGGTGCAAAGTGCTAAACACCAAATCTGAAGATGGAAGTTAGGAATGCCCTAAGCCGTATGAAAGGTAGAAAGACTCTAGGTTCAGGCAACATCACGAATGAAATGATCAATGCATTAAAAGAAAACAGAATAAATCAAACCACCAGACTTTTGAATACAATACATTACACCAGACATATACCTAATGACTTATGTAATTCTATGTTTATTACAATCACAAAGAAATCAGAGGCCTTATAATGAGATCAGTATAAAAAATTAAGCATGATGAGTAACATAACAATGATTTTGCAAAGAATCATCATGCAAAGAGTTAAGAAGAAAATGTAACCAGAAAAAGGTGAAGAGCAATGTAGGTTCACAGAAGGCAAGAAGTACCACAAATGCTGTGTATCTGGTGAGAACAATAAGAGAACATTCAACAGAAGTAAAGACAGATCTGAACCTCTGCTTTATTGATCACACAAAGGTTTTTTGATAGAGTCAGACATGCTAACATGATAAAAATGCTTTCAAATTTACAAGTTGATGGAAAAGACCTTAGACTGATTAAGAACATATACTGGAAACAACATGACGCAATACAAGAATCCATAATGAAGTAGGTCTGTAGGAACCAATCAAGAGAGGTGTGCGACACGGATGTGTAATGTCTCGAGATCTTTTTCGCTCATATAGTGAAAATTGTTTGTGATATTCGAAAGACATAAAGATAATCAACATGGGAGGTAAAGGTAAAGGTAAATTCGGGAATAAAAGATCAACAATATAAGACATGCAATGATCCAGTGTTAATGGCAGACAATGAAGAAGATCTGAAGTGTTTAGTGGATGCAGTAATAGTTCAAAAAGAGACAGTAGCCTTAGAGTTGAACTGTAAGAAAATGTAAATTATGGTCATCATTAAAAGAAAGAAATACTATAGTGTGAAATACATGTAAATGGACAAAACTCCTGAGCATGTCAGTAGAATAGATACAACTATCTTGGAACAGTCATAACATGTGACACACAATGCCTTGCAGAAACTATAGCAAGAACTGCCATGGCAAAAGTGGCCTTTAGCCATGGCAAAAGATTCTCACCAACAAGATGGCAATTGCAGTGAAGACAAGATCTGGTGTTTTATATGTATGTGAGACATGGACAATAAGCAGACAAACTGAAATACATTTACTCAAGGCAGAGATGTGGCTTTTGAGAAGAATACAAAGAATATCATAGAGAGATAGAAAAACAAATGAAGCAATCCTCACCAAGACACATGAAAGTTGTTAACTTATCAGAACCATTAGACATGGACTGTCAGCAAACAAATATAATTACAAGTCACATTGTTACCTTTCACGGTCAGCAGAAAAAGGTCTAGGTGATGGTGAGCTAGAGTAACTTCCCCTGTCTTGGCTAGAAGATGGGGTGAATGTTCGGATGACTTCTCCTGTACAACCACATGCACATGCCAAACATGCCAGAGATGTTGTAGTTGCACTAAGCACAGCTTCAGCAATTCTGTCTTTGAAGTGGTCTGCAAAAATAGGAATAATAAATCGCTAATGCTCTCTCAATCCTTTTTACTTTCATTTGCCAAAGTCGAGAGGGTGCCTAGTTGGCCATGTTCTTGGGACTCTTGTTTCCGTAGCAAAGCAAACACGCCGTCTGGAGGTGACAGGTTTGATTCCCGGAATGTTAACTATAGCTTTTAATTTTTATGTTGTCTAGTGTGTCCTTCTACCTTTCTACTTCCTTCTATGAGTGCTGATCATTACTTTGTCTGTTTATTATAGATATAATATTTATAACGGCCTTAAGGGTTCACCCTCTGTTTACTAAAGTCGAGAGCATTAACTTCATTGCACTAAGTTTTGTCCCACATGGCTCGGTCTCTCTCTGCAAAATGGCTAGCCACTGCTGAGAGCATTACACAAAGCATGAGCTCTGTAGTTCTGGTGACTATCCCCAGGGATATAAAAAACAGCACTTGTAAACTGGACAATGCATCCATAAAACAAACCCATGACCATGAGAGCCTAAGGCAAATGGCCCAAACAAATAAAGTATGTGCTCTGGACATCTTCTGAGTTATGAAACAAGAAAAAGGCCAAGTAAGTGATGAACAGACAACATCATGAACAAAGGTGCTGCAGTCTGGGAAAACAGGTACTTTTACCCCTCCCCCCCCACCTTCCTTTCCGAACCCCTCATTAATTTTGAGAGAGGCCTCCCCATCTACCAAAAATGTAGAAACTGCACTACAAAGTGCTATCGGAAGCAAAAACAACCCTGAAGCGTAACATTCTGCCATGCATCTGCCATTTTAGGCCGGAAGTCATATAAACATTGAAGGAAAACATCTCATAACACCTCTAGAACATAGGACAGCAGTGAGAACCAATAGGAAATCACGCAGCTAAACGTGATGGTGACAATTTTGAGTTGAACTGAAAGTTTTAAGGAATGCAAAGCACCCCTGTAATTCCTTTGTGGCAACGCCACTTATTTTAAAACACAGATTCAAAACAAGATGTAGCACTAGTACACAAGGTGACTTCTTGACCTCTTTAACTATTAAAAATAATCTCACCAAACAACTCTGACACTGCTGCCTCTCCAGCAGTTTCTTGTCCGTCTTCCCCATGCTCATCATTTAGCATCAGCATCTTTTCCTTCATATGCTGCTTGTAATTTGTCTGCAAAACAAGAAATTGGGAACTATACTGACATGAAGCTGCAATGGGATTCATCAAGTACGGCAGTTGAGAAAAGTAGCATAAACACAAAAGGGAAAAGTAGCTTTCATTCTCTTGAGCCAGCCACCATCTACAATTAACAACTAGAAATTTTAGTGTGCGTTCTTGTGTGGGATCTGCGACCACATTGGGTGGTGGGGGAATAGACCCACTTCTCCCTAACACGCATGATGTATAAGGCAACTGATTAAGGCTGTTTCCTTTGAAGTTGGAGTGCATCTGCCTGAGAGGGAAGCAAACAGCAGTCTGCATAAATACACCAGATCTGTACAATGGATGTGCATCTAGAACTCAGTATTTTATCATTTTCAACATGAGTCCTGACATCACTGCCATTTGGTCTGCAGATCAGCAAAAGCGGTCATGTTTCGCCATCTCACACAATCACCAGAATCTTAGATCAGGCCAGTGCTCTTCCGTCACACACAGATAGTCAGGTTGCAACTGGTACTGTTAGCATATGTCAACTCTTTGTTGGTTGCTGAACAAGGGGACAGAGCACCTGCTAGAATGTCCTGAATGCAGTGATGTCAATTTTTGATTGATTGATTCATTAAATCATTCATGTACTCCACTGATCCATATAGTTCTTTGTGCCTGTCTGGCAGGGTTCAACAGATATAACACACATACATCATTCTCATTGTCTCACACTGGCCTTAAACGAAGGAGTTGTGTGTTAGCAGTTTTCAAACATGGGTGTAACACCTCTCTAGACTATCTGCATATTTTAGCATCTCTGACTTCAGCATGCAATTCTGTTAGGATAATCTTCCTAAGTTCATCATCAGCCATGACCTATCCATTCAACAATTGATGCTTATAATCAACAGTTCCTTCTCCAAGATGGGGTGCAGTCCCCGGCTAATGTGCTAAATCTACTCAGCACATATCTGATTTAAGACAGAAAGAAGTTTACAATGGTGGGGTATCTACCCCATGCTTCAACCCCAACCTGAAGAATCAGGGTATCCCTCTTGTTATGTACCCTTTAACCTGTCTGGCTCAAAGTCGTTAAGACGTTGAAGCTTCTCTACCTCTGAAAGGTGGAGACCAAACACCAAGTGATGAAAAAAGAGCATCCTACATACCTTGGAGTCACACTTGACCGGCAGCTCAGCCTCAAGAACCATATTGAAAACATCAGGAATAAGGCATTGAGGCGGTTACAGTTATTAAAGAGACTTGCAGGTACATCATGGGGATCAGACAAGGAAACTCTGAGGGGCTTATATCTAGGATATGTTCGCTCTGTGATAGAGTACAACAACTCACTGCTTACAACTTGCTCCAAAACTAACCTAGAGACTCTTGACAGAGTACAAAATAATGCCCTCCGATTAATCTGCGGAGCTATGCAGTCTACACCAACTGCTGCATGTGAAATCCATACAAATGTGGAACCACTCGGGTTGCGGAGAGAAAAAGCCACTTTAGAAATTTATGAAAGATGCGTTAGGAAAAATCGTAACCATCCTAACAGACATCTTGTAGAAAACTGGGAATACAAACAAAGAATAAAGCACAAATCGGTTTTACACTGTGTTAATGAAATTCAGGACAGATACCACCTCCCAGAAAGACGTCAAGGAATTCAGAATGTTGCAAGAAACCTACCACCACATGCTCGCTTTAAAGCTCCAGAAGTCCGAACTAAATTGGTAGGCGAGGAAACCAAACAGTCCAACCCAATCGCTCTTATGAACTCATCACTAAAGACCGTTGATTCTTACCCCCAAGAATGGATACATGTCTATACTGATGGATCAGCATTTAAAGCTACCATTAAAGCAGGTTACGGAATCTACATAGGTTATCCCGATGGATCTGTTGAAGAGATTTTTGATGCATGCGGGGAATTCTGTACAAACTATGAAGCTGAAATAATTGCACTGGAAACAGCAGTATACCACCTAAAGACTGTAATGGATGTTTACCCTTCAAAGGTAAAAAAATATTGTCATCTTCACAGATTCAATGTCTGCCCTTCAAGCTCTGGAGGGCAGTGAACGCTGCAGAACTGATATAGCCAAGATAATCCTGGATGCTGATCAGCTTATTACCTCATACAACATCAGAATAGTGATGCAGTGGATTCCAGGTCACTCCGGCACACCAGGTAATGACAGAGCTGACAGATTGGCAAAGAAAGGAGCAACACAAGAACAACCACCTACAGCGACAACCCTCCAGACAGCAAAAACACTGATAAGAGCTAGAAACAAAGAGACTTGGTTGAACAGATGGGCCATGGGAGACACTGGAAGAGAGGTTTATAGACATATGTCTGGCCCTGATCCTAATGACAGCATTAACCATCTAACAAGAAGGGACCAGGCCACCATCTCCAGACTTAGAACGCAACATACTCCACTCAATGGACACCTAAACAGAATACAGCCACAACACTCCCCAGAGTGCCAGCTATGTAACTACCCCTACAAAACTGTTGAACACCATCTCTTTGAGTGCCCAGAACTCAGTGAGACAAGAAGAACGCTACTCCCTCCGAGACCAGACAAGTGGAACACCTTGTACGGAGGAAAAGAACAGCTTGTGAAAACATGCAAATTCCACTACATGGCATTGGGCCAAAGGGCGAAAGCTCATGCGCCGCTGGATCGATAACAACAACAACAACAACAACAACAACAACAAAGATGGAGACACGTTCGGAGGATATATTAAACATTTACACACTTACATTTTTGGTTGCTGTCAGAATTTCTACAACTTTCTGAAGTCCTCCAAAAGCAGCGAAAACAAAACTTCTCAAAATGGAAGATCTTTCTTTGATGCTTTTCATTATTTCAGTGTGAAATTCACCCACAGACTGCATGCGATGAGGCAACAATAAATGTAAATATTAGCAGTGCAAGGGATTATTTAAAAAATAAAATTTTAAATGTACAATTTTTACAGTAACTATCTAAAGATAATTCTTTAGATAGTTACTGTAAAAATTAAACATAAAGATTTTTTATATACAGGACAAATTCAAAGAAAGTCAAAAAATCATTGAAATGTCTTGACATTAGCATTAGTGTAGTTGGTTTCTTGGCGTCACAACAGTGAGTCTGACTTGTCAGCGCTCCAGCCATCACCAACTTCCCTAGGGTGAATATTTTTGGATGTACAAAATACAGCCCTCATCGCTGTCACATCTTTTGGGCTTGGGGAATAGAAAAGTATTCAGCACAAGGGAAAAGTTCATTGGGTAGCTTTCTTAATACAGTAGTAACATTAGCTGCAGAGTGTGTAGCAGCAAAAGGGTTTAAACAATAAAAATCAGCACTCTGAGCACATACAAGAAAAAGACAATATCAAATAGATCCTATGAATGATGATGACAAAAAACAAAAACAATACCTGAATGTTAACAGATTATGATTATTTATTTTTTTTTTTTTTAAATACTTTAACCCTTTACATTAATTAGGCAAGATATACAATTAATGAACATAAAAAATTGTACTATGGGAAATACTAATTTAATAACTAAATGGTAAAAACTGAATTCAATAACTAGTGATCTCAACCATAGTTAATGCCCTTGTATTTCAAACTGGTAGCATCTTTCCCTTTCAATATTTGAATATTTTAAAGTTACAGATTGCTTCATGTATTTTAAGTCACAGCTGATGCAAAAAGTCTTTAGTTCGACACTAATTATAATGTATTATACAAAATGTTTCATAATGAATACAAAAAGTAACTTTCATTAAATTAAAAATACTTTATGTGGCACCAAATTCAGCACTGAGCAATCATATTTAACATCAGGAATCAGTTCTAATCCCGTATAAGATAAAATTAATAATAAATTTATGTTTCTTGGTCTCTCTCTCCTCTCTCTCTCTCTCTCTCCCTCTCCCTCTCTCTCTCCCTCCCTCCCTCTCTCTCTCTCTCTCTCTCTCTCTCTCTCTCTCTCTCTCTCTCTCTCTCTCTCTCTCTCTCTCTCTCTCTCTCTCTCTCTCTCTCTGTAAACTGCTATCAGTTATCACATTTCTGAGAATGAAATCTAAACATATAAACATATTACACAGCATTGAGAACATCAATAAATATTTTAAAACAGTATACCCATGTGTGAGAGAATGCCATCTCTGTGTCAAAAAGGCAAAATCCACTAATTTTGGTTATCACTGCATCAACACTCTCATCCATCATATGATTCATGGTGTCAATCAAGTTTCCCAATGTCTCTGTCGCTGAGTGAATCTGGTGTAAGAATACATCTGGGGAAACAAATGAAAAATTATAATTATAATTTTTAGCATAGGTCTTCTTCCTATAGTCATGTCTTTAACCACAGCATTCTATCTCCTGTACCTAAAATCAATTTTGACACAGATTATCTTTCATGTCATGATGTCAAACTATCCAGCATCTTCTCTCTTGGTTTCCCTCTTCCTCTTTTCCCCTCCAACTTTGCCACCGTCACGTACTCCAGATTTATCTTTTTCATGACATGACCAAAAGAATGTAAACTGTCTCTTTCTGATGTGGGCAGTCATTTCTTTTCAAGAGTTTCAATCAAGACATCTTTATTACTCTTATCTATCCCCATTATCATTTGCCTATAAAACCACATCTCCGCTATTTCCATGGGAGCGTTCGATCTCACTACCCAGAAACCAGGAGAAATTACTAGAAATCCAGTGAAAAAACTTTCAGCCTTCATCAGGGCCTGAACCCGAGACCTCTAGCCCACGAGGTGGACACCATACCTCAAGACCATGCCGCCTCCCCCCCCCCCCCATTTGGTGCAATCTCCATGTGTGCACTGTGTAGAAAATCTCAATGTACGCACAGTATGAAGAATCTCCCTGTGCAGAGAATATTTTCACATTATTTATGAGATGCTACTGAGAAACTCATAAAGTTACCCACTTGTAAAACATTAACTGGCTCTAAACTCTAGCTGAACGTTCTGGTTCTTCGTCCAATTCTGGACTTTGGTCTTGTTCTGGAAATTGAATTGTGCATGTACAATAACTTTAAAGATCTGCCTTATTTATATGCAGACTGCTGGTTCCTCGCCTCCAAAGAAGATGCATTTTGACTTTGAAAGAAAAACCCCTAAATAGTCACCTCCAAAGACATGCCTGTTAGTGGCAGTATGTATTTTTCCCCGACCCCAAAATGGGGCCCTAGAACCCACACAGGGAATGCGTCCAATGAAAAAAGGATCCTTTACAAACCATACCAAGCCAAAGCAGTAACTTTTAAAATAAAGATCACTGAGCATGTGGACAGACATACACTAGGGGGACCCAAGGTGTGGCCAGTTACCATTTCAATGGAGACCAAACTTTAAAGATCAGTGGAGGATATGTGAGGCACCAGTCTTCATAGAGACCTATGGCATTCTCTTTAAAACAACACAACAACAACAAAAATTGACAGGGATAACAAAAAGAAGAAATTAAGAGGTAATGAAGAAGATGAAGCTTTACCAATATTCATGCTGCTCCATGTAAGAGTGCTCAGTCCAGGCTGGAACTGTTGGTGGACATGGTCAATGTGGGGATTAAACATCTTCAGAAGTGGCCCTGGGATACTCTTGCATACTTTCCTGGCAATAAACAAACCACGAATGCATGTTACGTGTCTGGCTGGTCAAGTTCTTTGACTTTTCAAACTCATAAATATGTTATTTAACTCTTTCAGTACCAGCTTGCAGTTAAATTAGTTCAAAATCAATACATGGTGCATGTTTTGGTACCCGAAGATTGAACTCAATCTATCCTGAAAAGTCGTTTCTTTAAGCAAAAATGTTTAGCTTCAAATCAGTTCAAATTATATCACAGTGAGAAAGAAGTCATCAAATCAATAATTGAGACAGAGTGGGTTGTTCTAATGACTGGATGGACACCATTATTTTAATAAAACAGAATATAAAGTGAACAGAAAACAAAAGTTACTTGGGGATTTTTCTGGTAATTGGCGAATAATAATAAGTTTAAAAAAAAAAAAAAAAATTTAAGGACCTTTATCATGCTGCTGATGTGATGGGAATATAGTGTTATTGTGTCAGGCCCATATTTTTATAAAGTATTTGGCACTTGAAAGGGGTCAGCTGTCTTTATTTCCAGAATATATTCTTTCTGTTTCTGTTTCTTCTTCTTTTTTTCCCCCCTTTTTCTTCTTCTTCTGCATTCATACAAGGATGTAACTGTTTTGTGCCAGTTTACTGCACGGCTGTAATATTTTTCCTTTTGGCCAACAATACTTCCATATTCATCAGGCAATTGTTGCCTGGGTCAGCTTCCCAAAAAATGCAGATTCAAACCCAAGATCTGTGGGCTAGAGGGCCGACATTGAGCCGCTGAGCTACTATGGCTCCTGAGTCAAAATATTAGAAAGTATTTTAAATTGTATCATGGTCTCAGCTACAATTAACAGCACCTTTCTAGTGCAAGATAATAGGTTTTGCACAAGTGTGGGGTAAATGCAGTTCAGCTGACAGAGTATCTAGTAGACAAATTAGATAACTGAGGATATGGATGAGAAAGATAACAAGAACCCACCACACTATCTTCCCAAGAGCTACTTTATTAGCAGCTTATAAACCTCAGATGCTGGAATGATATTTTTAGGAATTTCCTACTGCTCTGTGTAATTGATAAACTCATTTATAAGTTGGTTAAATGTGGAAAACAAACTTACACACTCCCTCTTGGGAAATACTATTTCCAGGGGGAGCCGCGTTAGCGCAGTCGATAGGAGGCTTGCTTTAAAATCCAGCTGTGACTCGCTCCAGCCATGGTCAGTGTTCGAAACCGGGCGGTTCCAGAGGTTCACCCAGCCTCTAGGAAATGGGTACCAGAGTTAACACACTGGGGTGAATGGAGGAGCGTCGCTGTAGCTACAGAGTTACGTGCGAACGGCGACACAGGTGGACAGTTTCTTATCAGCTGTCCGTACTGGTGGCAGAGCACTTATGGTTTATAACCCTGTGCAATGATGCTTGTTCACATCTCCCAACTTTACCTTTACCATTTAGAGTGACTGAAACAGTATATTGATAGTTTTTTGTATTTTTTTTTCATACAATATAGTGTCTATGTCACATATTTCTTTTAACTGTTGCATAAATATGAACAACTTTTAAGGCGTGCGTATATCCCCATTTATTTATAAATACAGTTATGATTCCATGCATTTCAAGTAATGGGAGTAACAGCAGCATACGTATAAATAACCATATGACAATGCTTCTATAACCAATACATTTCCCCAACTATTTCAAAACAAAAAAAGACAACACAACAATTTATATAAAAAAAAAAAAAAAAGCAACCGCAAATTTAAAAAAAAAAAGGACGTTGCTAACCAGCCCCAGCATTTTTTTTTTTAGCTGTTGTGATTTTTCTATAAAAATTTATGTTCAGTAGTTTCCCCTGGTTCTGAACTGTTGACTCGGTACCACTGCAAAACCAATGCAAGACGGTCTGCTGTCAAAGTGCTTGCAGCTGTGATCGAACGTGGTACCCCAGCATTATTAAATGTGTTTGCAACAGCTAAGCCACAGACGACGACTGCAATAACAGAACAATAATTCTGATCTAAAAAACTGTACAGGTACTTGCAACAAAATTAGTGCTTATGACAGATATACTTCTTATCTTATAACCATGTAGTCATGCCTAGCCACAACTTTCTGCCTCATGTAATTTCAATCAGTTCTGACACAGATGATCTTCCATGATATAATGTAAAATAGTCCAGCATTCTCTCTCTGAGTCTCCCTCTGCCTCTTTTTCCCTCCAACTGTCTTACCATCATGAAGTACTTTAGTTTTCTCCTTTTTGTGACATGATCAAAGAATGTAGAATGAGTGCAGAATTACAACTCACCTAAAATCCTTTAGAACAAGTTCTAAATGGCTCTTGTAGCTCTTATATTTCTGTTCCTGTTCTAACACAGCCAGTGCTGATTTGGGTATCTGGATACCAAGTCTAGTCATCCACTTGACTTCCTGAATCAGCTCCAGAATTCTAGACACAGGAATATTACAGATAAAGTTTTAAAAAGTTTGTAGGCACCCTAAGATCTATGATCACAAAGGCAAAAGTAGTAAGACATAAAAGATACACTCATCAATAAAAAGAATTCAACTGCAGTGAAAACAAAGTGCCAAAGATGTACTCTGACTTAGAAAGAAGATGCTGATCCTACCTCTAGGATGACTGTGGCCATTACTTCGTGGGACACGATGTTGCCTCATGTGTGGTGTTCTCTCTGTCTCTTTTTCACAGGTGTTGCCCCCGAAGAACCCAGTTTGGCAACCGCATATAGACAGGTCATGGGCATTTCCCATCATCCAAGGAAGCTTACATAAGTGCACAGCTGACACAAAATGCTCTGGTCCTGGGCTCACCCAAGGAACCGTCACATCTTGCACATGACTGCCTAACCTCACAACAGAATGTTGAGCTTGCCAGTCATCATGGGAAGGCAGGGACAGATCATGGGCATTTCCCACCATCCAAGGAGGCTTACATAAGTGCAGAGCTGACACATAATGTTCTGGTCCTGGGCTCACCCAAGGAATTGTCACGTCCTGCATATGACTGCTTAACCTCACAACCGTTTGTTCAGCTTGTCACTCGCCATGGGTTATGCCCTAAAGAGATTGGAGGGAGCAGTCCATGTCCAGGACTTCAACGACCACACAGATGCATACATTCTTCTATATCACAGTAGACACCATTAATGTTATTTCTGCTGTGCGCTTAGTATGACAGTATGGGGAGTCATGCATCAGGCATGGCTTTAACTGTTTGGTCCCAACACTCGGGTAAGTGGGGCCAATGGCAATGGACATCTGAACCTTTCTGAAGTCAGCAGGATTGAGTCAGACAGTGAGACTTTGCTGGTGCACCACAGGATGTGAATTTGTCTGACATTTGAGCCTAACCAGCAGACTGACAGTGGCTGTCGTGGTGTACCTCAACCCAGTGATGACGACGTTGAGGGTTTACAGAGGATGTACAAAGACAGGATTGTACTACAAGAAATCAACCACATTAGATGTTGCTTGTCTAAGCTGAGGGCAAATCTGTTGGTCTAGGTCTGAGTCTCAGCAATTCAGTTGTTCTTTCACTCCACAGACTTTTAACATTTAGTGATAAATTTGACAAGTGGACTTTATCAGGTTCCAAATGAGTTTTGACAGATGTTTTAACCCACACACTGATGGCGGGCTGATGACAGCCAGACTGAACCTTACATCTCTGGGGTCCACCAGCTCCGAGACCCCTGCCAGCTCTGTTAATGCTCATTTGAGACATTATCCGTGGCGCACGACGGGGACAGGCAGCATGAGTCTTGCATGAGGTTCTGTAAAACCAGCACAGAGAAGGTTGGCACCCGAGGTGAGGTATGGAGTATCTCTTTATTCACGTAACAAGAAGCTTAACTTTCCCTCATGCCTGTGACCGAAAATCAACGCACATATGGGACATTATGTGGTAAAGTCCCAATCTCTTCTATGGTGCGACTCTCTTATTACTGTTCAAAACCACAAGAACAGTCTTTTCAAAATAAACTTCCTCTCATGGCAAGTGCACCCTAGTTCTCAAGGATTATGAAATTGTTAAATGCATTTACTAATCTCTAAGCCATGGAGTTACAAAAATATCAAAACTGGATTTGTGTATTTAAATAGAAAATAAAACAATACGTCTATACCTCAGGACAGAAAAGTTGAAAGTAAAAACAAAAGGACTCATGGCTATGTGGTGTTTCCTCCAATATTTGATGGGTGATGTATCATGCCAGCTGCATTTGCTTCCCATAACATTTCTTTTAAGGGTATTATCAGGAAGGAAATGAGAATTGGGGTGAGGGGATACAAAATAGGTTAGGATAGGCTGAGAGCTCAGCATCTAGGATCATGCATATTAGAACGGTCCAGAAATGCATGTTCTAATTATGGTAGATGAGTAGGTCTTGCTATTCACACTCGCCATCACCATGGACTATGATTCCCATGTCTCCACACAGCATAATAAATCACTATCATGTGGAAAGACAGAAAGTGCCAACATCAAATTTTAGACTGAGGTAGTGGACTGGACACCTAGGCTTCTTGGATAAGACAAACAGCTCAAAGTGTCATGTGTATCACATACTTTCAAAATCCCGCAGCAGATGAAAAGAAAAACTTTACATAAAAAGAAAGGATGCTTTCTAGACAAAATATCCAAATTAGAAAAGTTACCCACAAAATAATATTTATAGCATGTCTGATTCTAGTGTGAGTCACTCTGGCGTGGCCGCTAGATGCTCGCCTGCGGATTGAAAGGTCATGCGTTCGCTCCCTGAAGGAGCCAGACTTTTTTTCAAAAATGACTTTAGCTCCCACAGGTCGACCCAGCCTTGAGTGGGTACCAGGTGCAGTCTCGGGAAGTAAAGGCGGCCGGCGTGATGCTGACCACATCACCCATCTTGTGCCGATTGGTCTATAAAATATAGGTATAGTCCTATATGCCCTATATGTCTAAAGGCGTGGAAAAGGGCCCTTTACTTTTTTTTTTAAAACTGATTCTAGTGTAAACACATTTGGATCTTCACTGGTGCTACAGGACTTGTGCATTGTGTTGAGATTCTCTTTGTGTGATCAACTTGAGGAAACTGGAACACTTGATGGAGATATCTTTAGGCAAAGAAAGTGATCAATTTCGGTAGCTAACTGTTCCCCTCCAGAATGCCAACCACATTGAATTATCATCTTAAGGATGAGAATCAAACAAGAGCACAATCCCAGACACCCTGATTAACCTGAAATAGTTATATTACAGCACCCCTACGGTTATGAAGTAACCTACAGACCAGTGTGGAAAGAGTTCTTCTTTTTTCTTATCTTCTAACAGTCACCAGCTGTAAGCTCTAGCAGAAAGTTATGGTTGTTCATCCTCTTCTGGACTTTGATCTTGTTCTAGATCTTCTTCTTCTTCTTTGCATTCACATGATGTAAACTCCTGCGGAAAGTTATGGTTGTTTGTCTACCTCTGGACTTAAGTCTTGTTCCAAAACCTGACTGTTGCATGCACATCCATTTTACAGATCTGACTATGTGTATGCAGACTGCTGGTTCCTTGCCTCTCAGGCAGATGCACTCCAACTTCAAAGGAAGCCCCCCCCCCCCCTTTCCACCTCAGTTAGTCGACTCTTATGACATGCTAGTTGGGGAGGCAGTGGGTCTATTCTGGTTGTCACCACAGTGGGGCCAGAGAAATCACACAATGAGTTCTAGAACTTGAGTTTGACATGCACAGTGGTTTTACAGATCTGGCTTATTTGTATGCAGACTGTTGGTTCCCCACCTGCCAAGCAGATGCACTCTGAACTAAACAAAAAACATTATATGTGACTTATAATGTAGCCAAAATATTTGATTTAAAAAAAAAAAAAACTTCATGTGCATGATTGTTGGTGTGCTTAAAGAGATGGTTTTGCAGACTAAGTATGAAGGCCGCTTGCTCAAGTGGTTGCCATAAAGTGTACAAGATCAGAGGTTAAAAAGCTGGAGGCTTTCTGAAGACAAATCCTATTCTGTGTGAGGCGAAAATTATGTCCGCTCCTAAGTCTGACTGATTTGTGTCTTTTTTCGTTTGTTTTTTCTTCGGCTCCTTTTATTCCACATTCTTAACATTATAAAAGTTTATGCAAATGTTACTGACGGCTTTAATTGTGACACAAATCTGCAGCAAAATGATTACTGAAAGGAATAGAAAGCACCCTGAAGAAAGCATGATAAACGAATATTACAATAATCCATCAGATTTCTTCTATTTTTTTTTTTAAAGAAAGCTAGCTAGAAAGTGAGAGAAAGAGAAAGAGAAAGAAAGAGACAGAGAGAAAAAGAGAGAGAGAGACAAGTGAGAAAGAGAGACAGACAGACAAAATCATGAAAGCATAAAAGAATCTGCAAATGCACATATATGGCATGTGATACTGTAGTTAACATATACACAGTAGTATTTGGGTTTTGAAATAGCAGACATGTATTTAGTCTACATGGATGGGGCATTATGTATGCTTTTTGTGTCATATAAAATGAAGACCACTTTCTTGCTATATCTAAAGTAAGTAAAGAACCATTTTCACGCCTTTGGGCATATTAGGCATATAGGGCAAGATCTATATTTTATAGACCAATCAGCACTCGGTGGTTGATACAGTCAACATCACATGAGCCGCCTTTACTTCCTAGGACTTTACCTGATACCTATTTAAGATTGGGTCAACCTGCGAGCCAAGGTCATTTCTGAAAAAAATATGGGTTCCGTTAGAGCTGAACACATGACCTTCTGATTCACAGGCGAGGTCTTGCCACTACACCCTGGTGGCTTCCCACCAATACCTAAAGTGGCAGCATGAAAACATTTTCATTAATAATTACTAATGAAATACTAATGAAATAAAGTATACAATAAAACTAATAAGAAAACACCCTACCTGTTATCTGAATTTACAATAATCTCCCCTGTTTCTGGGTGAAGCATAAAAAGAGTGGACCTGAGCCCACTGCGGACTTCCTCTATGTTTTTCTTCCATTGTGTGAACCAAAGACTCTCAAATGTGACCAAGGCAGTGGCCAGTCTATTGTAGATGCGCACCTGAATTTTTACACAAGTGTGTTGTTATCATGAAAATAAACTTGACATTACAGTAATAGCTGGCAATTCTGATGTGGACAGAGCAAGGGAAAATAAAAAAACCACGAAAAAAAAGGAAAAACCTAGATGGCTTGCCACATGACATAAATCTAGGCAAGACACAAACCTCATCCAAGACTACTTTTTTTTAAAATTTATCCTTCAGCGTTCAATGTTTCTTATTTTTCTTCTGTCTTTTACTCCCAGATCAATCTTTGTGATGTTTCTTTCCCAGGATTATCATAAACAGGACAGTGTGCTTATAGTCTTCACCAGTGCTACATTCTTTGTCTTGCAGGGTCACACCGGTTGGCCAGATTTCTTCTCTATGAATAGTAAAGTCTTTAAAAAAAATGAATCCTGTAAGATTTGCCTTTCAGTTTGCTTCGGTGAAACACACTGCTTACATCAGAAACAGCAAAATCTATACAATGTAGATGTGCCATGAGTTTACTGGCTCCGGTTCTGAGTGAAAACTGTGGTCTGCATGAACTCCTAAGGAGCGCATCATACGCTCATAGGTTCCTACCTAGAAGCCCAATAAATGCAAGATGAACTGATTTTACATCTCTCTCAACTACCCCTTGGGCTTCTGATGCTAAACCCATGGGACTCAAAGAGTTAAAGAACAAATGAACGAACAAACTTTATTTTCAAAGGTTCACAAACTGGGCCTGCAGATTCGTCTTATACTGAGCCCTTCCAAACACTTATCTTTTACACATCAATTGTATTCTGCATGTTTTACTTTTATACCAAGTTTGTTTACCTCATAACACCACACTGCACATTTCTGCTAAGCCTATTCACATCATCATGCTGTGGACTGTTATCTTATTTGGTTCTCTCAGTGGGCAATGATCACACATACTTTTTGGCATGGCATAGGACAATGATGATGTTTTCACATTCTATAGATTAACCTTTGAATGAACAATACCTGGCTTCCAAAATCCACAAGTGATGTCACTGCCTTATTTTCTTGGAAGATTTTCATTGGATCCTCAATCCGTTTAAGCAGCTGCCTAGACCAGCAGATGGCGCCAGCAACAGGTGGTGCATCTCTCACAAGTAATGGGTGATCCTGGTTGAAAACAAATGTCAGTGAATTAGTGGTTACCAAGCAGTCATGTCATATGAACACTGATAAATTATATTTATCAGTGGTCATGAAATAGTCATGTCATGTGGATACTAGTGATCTTCAAAAGTCAAGTAGTATATTTATCAGTAAATTTAATAGCATATTCTTAGAAACAACACTTCATCTTCTTCTTCTTCTTATTCCTCCTTTTCTTCTTCTTTTTCTTCCTCTTCTTCTTTGCATTCCCCAACAGTAAACTCTGTTGGAAAGTTCTGGTTGTTCATCCATTTCTGTACCTTAAGTCCTGTTTAGGAACTCGAGTGTTGCTTGCACATCCATTTCACCATATGTCTTACCTCCATGCAGACTGTTGGTTCCTTGCCTTTCAGTCAGATGCACTCTGCCTTTTAAGCAAGCACCTAATTAGTGAATCCTAGGACATGCTTGTTAGGGAGGCAGTGGGTCTATTCTGGTTTCCCCATAATGCTGCCCAGGAACCCACACATGGAGAGAAAAAGAAAATACAAAAGAAGACAAATTTGTAAAGGGAACAACAGGTCGAAGTCTGTTCAAGTTGAATTTTATTGGGATATTGAACCTGAACCTTGCATGGACTACCCCGATTGATATATAAATCAACAGATAATGTATTAAAAAAACACACACACACACACATACACACAAACCAGATGACTGGTGAATGTATTTGCCAAAAAATTGGAAAGATTTTTCAACAGGTAGCTGCATACATGCACTTACATTTTGATTTTAAAGACTTTACCTTATTGTCTTCATAAATTGCTTGCACAACTTTGAGATCTGACTCATACCATTCAAATACATGGACAAATTTGTCAGCAACAATTCCTTTGATACCAAAGCGGTTGGCGACAGGGCTGAATCTGGAATTAGATAAGGAAACATGTCAGTCTCAACATAATCATTGATCTTTTTCTGCATTCTCCTTTAAAATGGCAGCTGGCTGAGATATATGCAGCTTTTGGCCAATCATATCATAATTAAGAAAATCTTTATCTAATCAGCTTATATGACATGCTTGTTGAGGTTCAGTGGCTCTGTTCTTTATCTCCCAAAATGGGCTGCATACCCCCCCCCCCCCCCCCCCCACCCCCAGAAAAAAAACACACACACTTATTGTCTTCTTTATTAATGCGCCAATGATGTAAATAATTAAACGTAACTCACCACACTTTGATCGGTAATATCGTAAATGATGACAGGTTAAAATATGCAGTCTAACCAATCCGCCAGTCAGTCAATTCATCATTTGTGTCGCTGTCTCCCTTTTGCTCACTTGCCTTTTACTTTTCTGCCCAAAACAAATTCTCTTGTGATCTACAACAGCATGTATCAGTCAATGTGTTGACATCCTACCATGCCATTATAAAAGGCTGTCAAGAAGACACTGTCTCTGTCTTCTTCTATCTCTTTCCATTCTTCTACTTCTTTTTCTGCATTCACCCTTTAAAAAAAGTGGTTGGCACATCATATTGTGGTTTGCAGCCAGGCTGTGATATCTGTGTTCACCGTCTTCTTCTATTAATTTCTATTTTCCACTTCTTTTTCTGCATTCACCCTTAAAAAAAGTGGTTGGCACATCATATTGTGGTTTACAGCCAGGCTGCAATATCTGTGCCTTTTGGTGCAACACATCCAGTTTCAGCAAACCCCTAGTTTAGTCACCTATCACGATACAATTCTTAGTGGATGTATTCCTTTTTTCCCACCAAAATGGAGCCTGGAACCCACACCTGGATCTCATTCTGTAAATCGTTCCAGTTGTCAATCTAGTCATCTCCTTTTGAGATGCAATTTTTTGTTTTTTTGAAGCCCCAACCTGGCTCTTGCCAGGGGCTGCAATATAGCCGAACCCGCACCTGGATCTCATTCTGTAAATCGTTCCAGTTGTCAATCTAGTCATCTCCTTTTGAGATGCAATTTTTCGTTATTTTGAAGCCCCAATCTGGCTCTTGCCAGGGGCCGCAATATAGCCGGACCATAAATATGGTCTAATGGCTGAACGCGGTTTCTGGGACCTCTCCACGGTGATCCTCATCCATATGGTAGCACTTTGTGTCATTAGGTGTTTATCACTTGTGTGATGTCCTAGTCGGGTAAAAATCTACTACTATAACTAGTTCCAGTTGTCACAGGCTTCAGATGTTCACTCTTCAGAGCACATATACTTATCCATATTTACAAAAGGAGAACTAAGCCCCAGTATGTATCTGGAGATAAAATGATCATCAGTCAACAGGTTCTTTACAGAATATAGCTCTCTTTACTGCACACCTGAAAGCCTTGCTTTTTCTAGCCAGTTTTGCAGCCCTATGTACTGTCATTGCCAACGCATGTTCAAAGTCTCGTATCTACCTTCACAGAGGTCTACCTATGCATCTTTTGCACAAACTATTGACTTCATCACTGGAGATAACACTGATTATAAAAACATTCGAATGGGATACAAGAAAGATTTGTATGTATGTTTAGGGAATATTTGCGCCTGTAGCTTAGGTGTTGTGAACTTGCTTCATAATGCTGGGGTGCCAGGTTCAAATCCAGCTGCGGACAGTTTGTCTTGCATCAGTTTCAACAGTGGTACCTAATCCTGACCGTTCAGAAGCAATGGGAAGCTACTAAATGTCAAATTTGCCTAGAAAAACCATAACAGCCAAAAAATGCTGGGTTTAGTTCTGCTACACAATGTAAAGGCTACACAACAAACTTTTTTATAAAGGAAATATTACAAAACATGTTTTTATAATCAAAGACAAAGAAAACACTCTGTATGACTTTAAAAGTTAGTTTTACTTAGTGAGTATGTCCAGCCCTTGTTGTGTTGTCATTTTATGAAGAAAAATGGCATTCAGATATGCCCTGAGAAACTTCTCTAGATCTTTGACAATATCTTGAAATTTATGATAACCAGAGCCAAATATGTCCTTCTCCTGCGTATAGAAGAAACATGCATTGTGTTTGCTGAGACATCACAAATTCCAACATGCTTTATCCACAATAAAGGTGAAAAAAATCTTAATGTCAATCATTTTTGATATGTATGTTATAAATTGGCATCCAATAAGAAAGAAACAGAATCATCTTATCAAAAGAATATTATTCTGAAATTATGTTTAAAAAAAAAATCTTAATTTCATGTATCTGCCACTTTTAAGGTGATACTGGGAAATGAGGTACTCAGCCTGAGGAGTAGGGGCTGTATAAATAATGCAGTTGTCATGAATTAGGTCAGCTATGATGTTAATGTTTGCAGTCAACATAAAAAACAACAACTTCCATCACGTTACTTAGGATCTGAATCCTTGGTTTACTACAAGAAAGCCTAGCGTTGTAGCTAGTTTGCAAGCAGCACCTCTTGAAAATATGTAACAGCATGAAATACAAAGTATGAGAGAAATATGAAACACTGGTGGAAGCCAAAATTTACGGGTCGCTGAGTAAATTAACAAAAAAAAAAGAAAAAAAGTGCAATCATACTAGAGACAACTGTCAAGTGCCTAGCCTGATGGTACTTATATTCATGTCTCTTAACATCTCCATCAGTGGTATTCTAAACTAATTCTATTGATGATATTCTTTGATATCACCAGCCAGCATCATCTCTCTCAATATGTCTGCCTTTTCTACTCAGGATCTTTCCAGTCACTGAGATAGTCTCCAATGTCTCTCTTCACATCTTTTGTTGTCGCACTGTTACCAGGTTGTAACTCAGTGTCGTGATTTCCTGCATTTGTTTTGTGCTACTAAAGTAGCATTGGTGATCTGATTTGCTCATCTTTTTTAAGGTTACAACTACCCATCTACCTATCACATGCCAGAATATGCTACTTGCCTTCTTCATAAAGTCATGTATAATTGTATACTTTACTTAGCTTTGTCCAGGCAGTGGGTTTCAGGTGTGCATGAGAATGTGCTTCTAAAATAATCTTGCTTAGCACCAGTCTTCTTCTTCTTCTTACTGTTCACTGGCTGTAAACTCTGGTGGAAAGTTTTGGTTGTTCATCCACTTCTGGACTCTGGTCTTGTTCCAGAACTTGAGTTTTTGTGTGCATATCCAATGTGATAACATTCACAAACAAACCTTGGATTCAACATCAAGGACAGTTCTTGTGGTCAAGTAATCTTTCAAAGTCTCATTGATTCTGGCAAGATGCTGATTCACAACTGCTGATACACTGGGTCCATCTACATCATCACTGTAGAATTGTTCTGGTTAAAATGAGATAGCAAACTCTGAATAATAACAATGATTATATATAACATTGGCTATAACATGATTATCTAGTTTTCAATCAAAATAAGACAGAATACATGATAATAACTAAACAGGGAGAGGATATAAACTCAGACAATATAAAAGTCAATAATATGAAAATCAAACCAACAGAAACATATAAGTACTTGGGTGCAAACTTCAACTGCTCTAACATGCTGAGAAAGGAAATACAATCTAGAATACAATCTGGAAATAAAGTAAACTATGCCCTTCAACATCTGCTAAAGTCAAAGTCTCTATCTCGCAACACCAAGATAAAAATATATAAAACTTTGATAAGACCAGTCGTGTTATATGGCCCTGAAACTTGGAGCACAACTAAAAGAGATGAAGCCTTTTTACAGGTTTTTGAAAACAGAGTCTTGACAAATCTTTGGACCCATCAAAGATGCAAACAGCAGGGAATGGAGAGAGAAGCAACAACGAAATTCATAATCTGTTTAAATCACCATTGATCACTGGCATCATGAGAGCTAATAGACTGAAATGGTTGGGGCATATTTAGAGAATGTCAGATGACAGAGAAGTAAAAACTGTATACACAAGGGAGATGAATGGTCGCAGATCATGAGGCAGACCAAGAAGACGATGGAGAGATAATGTCCAGACAGACCTGCAAACACTTGGTGTCACCAGCTGGAAAGAGAAGGCCAACCAGAGTGATGAATGTAGGCGAGTATTATATGCAGCAATGAACCTCAAAGGCTGGGAAGGCTGAAGAAGAAGAAGATAACATGATTAATGTGGATTGTGTGGATTATATGCGGATTGTGTGGCTCTGTGGCTGAGAGGTTAGTGAGATTGTTTCTTCCTAGAGTTTACCAGTTGTAAACTCTGATGGAATGTTATGGCTGTTTGTTAACTTCTGGACTTGAGTGCTGTTTCAGAATCTGAGTTCTGTGTGCACACCAATTTTACAACTCTGACTTTTATGTATGCAGACTGTTGGCTCCTCACCTCTCATGCATTGTGACTTCAAAAGAAGCACTTGATGCTATTATAAAGTTAAAATCTTCATAGCACAGAGTTTTGCCTACAACTATTGCAAACTGCTTTAGACAAGCTGGCTTCTTACCTGCATTAGATGTGCCAGTAAATGAGAATTCTGCTACATCAACGAGCGTAATGTTACCGATATTTTATTGCAGCCATTACTTGCTAGGTTATATCAAGAGCTGAACATTGAACCAGATAAGTATGTGAACATTGATAATAATGTTTTTACCAGTGCCACTCTTTCAAGCAGTGATATTATAGGGCTATGTATGCCAACCACTCAACCACTCCAGACCATTTGAGCCCTGACTCGATGAGCATGACTGTGAGCTGCAAGCACAACCTTTATCACAGTCAGACGTTTCAGTGTTTTGGACAAAATTAACATTTACATGATGCAAACTGCGTATTCAGATGACATGATGTCATCATTTGTTGCATTTACATATGCCAGGGAAAGACAATCCAAAAATCACAAACTTTTTCTTTAATTAATGTCTGAATTTTCAAATGGTTGTAATGGTATACCTTCTAAAATAATTATATATTCCACTATTTCTGATTCTGTATTGCTATTTTTTTGTTAACTTATGATGTTTCCTAACTGGCATAATTGTCTTACTCAATGCTACAGATAGGCTTTAGTGTACCTTCTCTACTGTGTGTGCTGTCTGTATAAGTAGAAGTCCTAATATGTGGAAGCATTATTTTAGGTCCCTGTGACTTCTCCTTATTTAGACTCGACAGTACGCATTTAAGGTAATTTATTTGATTGCTTTAAAAAAGAAATATTATTATATTTTCGCTACTTTTACCAAATTTGATAGCAAATGAACAACTCAAGGAATCAGTTAAATTATTGTGATTCTTACTAAGAATAGATACATCTTCCTCTGAAAGACCATCAAGTGGATTGTCAAATGCAGGGTTGAATGGCAACTTCAAATGGTCTGTATTTTTATTATCTGCCAGGTCATTCTGCACATGCTCCTCATCCTCGTCAATGGCAGAGAGAGTGGAGTCTTGTGTTCCTGTCATGTGGAGTGCAGTTTTCCCAAAACTGTTCTCATCAGTTTCTTCATGCAATACTTCTAAAACAAAAAACACACAAAAACAAAGGGAGTTTTCAGCTATGGAAACGTAGTAACATTAGTTGCTACAGGTAACTGGTTTTTTTTTTATTTTTAAACAAACAAAACGATGAAAGTAGCAACTTGTGACATAAAAGTAGCACACAGAGTGGAGTCTGGAGTCATAATAGACTGGTAATCCTAGTTTCAGAATAGCAAAAAAGGAGTCCTGTGCCAATGAAAAATACACTATCTCACAGTGTCACGCCATCACTCAACTCAGAAGCTGGCGATGAAACTATATCCTTAGTCTTGGAGCAAAAATGCAACGGTACCGTCTGGCAGGAGAAAAAAAAGGTGGCCTTTTCCATTTTTAATTATTGAGAGGTTAACAGGCTAAAAGGATGAAAGTCGCCCCTAGCAGCTTGTGACATAAAAGTAACAGAGACAGTGTAGTCATGTGTTCCTGTCATGAAGACCACACACACACAAAAAACTTCCCAGCAGTCAGGTTTTTCCCTATTTGCTTAACTCCGCAATTCCTCTGTTTATCCACTAGCCCAACCCGTAAAAATCTGCTTAACTTTTTCCCACAATCATTAAAATGTCGCTCACTGTCTCATTTGAAAAAAAAAAAACAACAACAACAACAACTGGTGAACAAATGATTAGCCTTGGAACAATACAGAAATATACGACATGTTTTCCTGCACTTACTTACTTACCCATACATATCTGTAGGTTGCACCAAGCCAGTGTGACCGTAATGAGTGCCCTAATTTTAACACTTTTTGGGAGGCTGAACATGGTATCAGGGCATGCCCTTTTGGTCTGCCACCAGCACTGAGCTCTTCTAATCTCAAGGTGATTTTATAATGACTGCAAACCTCCCGGAGCTGGAGGTTCATAGAACAGTACAACACATGCATGCAGAAATTTTCTGACATTATTCATGGCAGATTGTGGTATGGCTGGGGTGTATCTGTGGATTACCTACCTACTTTTGTCAAAGGGCAGCAGCTAGAAATGTCCCTGTACCAGTTTCTAAATATCTAATTGTATGGAAACAAAAAAACTGTTGTGCCATCTAAAACAAAAGTTGGTGGTTGCTGTTCTCCTTTTGCAATAACGTTGACCTAAGGTTGGGGCTGTTTCACAGTGTGCTCATGCCCCGCCACCAGATTGCATGCACCTAAAGAAATGGCTTTCGCTGAGCTCTTCATGTCTGCTAAGCATGGCCTAAGCATGACAATAGTTGTGGGCAACTGGATCGTCACGTGCCTGAGTCCCTGTGCCTTCACCGTATAAAAATAGTTTCCCGGTATTCAGGGGAAAGTAGCAGTTTGTGACATAAAAAGCAGAGACTTGTGTTCCATTCCTAAGACTGTTTCAGCAAAAAAAACAACCTCTGGCTACGACTTCCCTCCCACATAGGGGGCAAGTACAGGTGTGGTGCACCTAATTTTTATTATCGATGGTTTGCTCCTCTAGATCCATCTTTTCTGACATAGACACTGCCATTGACATACTGCCATTTATGTTGAAACCTAAGTAAAAGGTCAAGGTCATGCTACCTTGGTGGGGAAAAAAAGTGAAGAACCAACTCATGCTAAGCCATGTGAACACTTTTGCATGACTGGTTGCTGCAGCTAAATATTTCTACAGGAAGGAGCAGCTAATTTCACGGCAACCATTCTCAAGTCACCTACTAAAGGACTTGCAGGTTAGGTTACAGTGCTACAAATATTTAGATTTCCTTTATGGGTCTTTGTAACTGATCAAAGGCTGATTTATTTACTGTATATTATAAGTAGACAAGAAAAAGGAAAATAATCATGAGGAATGAGGTGGCCAAGTGGTTAAGGCAATAGACTTCTAATCCGTTAGGGCAGGGGTTTTGAACTGGTGTCCCATGGGCCAAATCTGACCTGCACAGATTATTGTCAGTTGTACTCTATTAATGATCTGTCGTCAGGCTCGGGTCTCTGGCCTGTGATGTTCCACATTTTTAACATTTTGGCCCATGAGTAAACTCAGTTAAATTAGCTCTGCATTGGGGTCTTTTTATGTAGGTTAAAATCCCATCCTTGTCGACAATGGTTTTTCTTTCTTTAGGATCATCATACAAGACCCATCCAAATTGGACTATAGTTTACTTTATAACCACTGAATTCCCTTAAATAACTGTTACATGGTTGAACCAACTTCTGGGATTTATCCAATCAGTGTTTCTTTGAGTAACTGGATGTTTATCTTTCAGTATGCAATCCTAAAAAGGACGATAAAAAAAAATTATTATAACACTGAAATATGAGAATGTATAGGTGAAAGTTTACTAAAACAGAGCCAGAATAATTTGTACTATTTAATATGTACACAAAATTCCAACCTAATAAAGGATCTTTAGCCTTCCTATATCTGTGGTCCTCTGCTGATCTCTCAACAGTTAGATCTTCCTTCCTTGGTCGTGGGATGTCAATCAAACCATTACTGAGCCTGCACAGACACAGCACATAAAAACAGGTTGTATATTCTCCTGTAAAGGGCCTACTTTCACAGATGTACAGACTTGAGTTATTCATTTATTCAAAATTATTCATTTAATTCCTATGATTGTTACTGCAGAAAATACAAGCCTGCACATTCTACTGTAACTCGCTCTTCTAATGCAAGAAATTATTTAATTGTTCTGAACTGTTCATCTAATCTTGATGACTGATGTGGCAGGTAAAATTAAGTTATATTTATTAGATGTGGCTCTGTGGCTTAGAGGTTAGAGTAATTATTTCACAATGTAATCCTGGTTTTATTCTTGCAGTGGACAATTTAGAGGAAAAACCTATTCTTATGGCTTTCAGACAGTTGTACAAGAGTCAAGCTGTGAAGGAGACTGGAGCCTCTCCTCATAAATATTCCCACGCTGATACACTGCAGCCATGTTACATTGTGCAGATGGTGCAATTTGTTAATTACAGAAACCAGACAAGAATCAGTGGATATATTAAGAAGAGGCCTGAACTTGCACAATAATTAACTAAAATGGAAAAAAGATCAGGAAGAAGATAAAATGAAAAAAAAAAAATCATTATATGAAAAAATTCTGATCTTAAAACCATGGTGATCATGTCTGATGGTGAGCCATGACCATCCAAACTTTACTTCCAAGTGTGTTTACAGAAGTAGAAAACTTTGCCCTTCAGCATATACAAAAAATTCCTAACCAATTTGAAGCTGGTAGCCACTGTATCGCAAAGAGTAACATGTGTGTAAGTCATGAGATCAAACATGCAAATCCATATCCAGGCAAATTTTCTTATTTTCGTGAGTTCCTAAAAAATGGGTAAAAGAAACTACTCTGGGTAATAAAAGTGTCCAGCTTGATACAGACCACACTGAGAGCTGATTGGTCTATAAGGTTAACACAATATCCCCAATGAGACTCAAAGCATGGAAAGAGGTTGTCATATACTTTAAAATTTTTTGTTTTTTAGTTAGAAGTTGGGAATAGTTGTCTAAATAGACTAGACTGCTAAACAAGCTAAATCTAAAATTAGAACATCCACACAATTTACTGCATGTGAGTTGAGTTGATTCAAGAACCGACATCACAGCATCAGGGCATTCCAATAAGCGCTCCGTCCCTATCTTTAGCACCAGTGTAGAGTTCGGATACTGACGGTGCCAGTAGCATTCTGATAAAATGTCTATCTTGCCTTTCCTCTTTGCCTCAAGCATCTGCCAGAACCCCCTCATCACTCCCCGCTGCATCAGTCTCATCAAACTGTTGTGATCCATCTGCTCCTCCGAATTGTACACGCTTCCCCACAAGGCACTAACCATTTCTGCCTTATCATGCATCAGTATTCCACTAAGTTGTGCAGAGCCAGCCAGTCTGTCTGCTTGTTCCTTTCCCAACACACCGGCGTTTCCGGATGAAAAAATCCAGACAATACTCCTCACCGTGTCCTCCGCAGTGAAGCATGCCACTCTGCATGAAGCATGCCTGTTCTAACCTTCCTCAGAATGACTGCATGTGTGATTCTACAACTTTTGAACAAAGGTTTAAGACACCCTTATAAATAATTGATTTGTCAATACTTTTACAGTGTATTGCATCCTCTGCTATTTTAGTTCCCACTTGAGGCAATTATTGCAGTCATCATTCTGCCCTAAAACAGCAGTTAAATCAATACTCCATAACAGATATATCTTTTATTTCCTAGGCTGTCTTAAACTTTTGGCCACCACTGTAACATGCAAACATTTGGATTCCAGAAGTTACTATAGGTTTCAGCCACTTTCACTGAAGTCCACCTTGGAAAACAAAGGTGTAAAAGTCAGAAGCAAATGTCTGACAGTGACGACATCACACACTAAGTCCTAACTGTGCTATGAAAATATGGGGTTAGCATCTCAAAGGCATGTAAAGGGATCCTTGACTTAAAATATGCTTGTAGTTCCTCTCACATTACCTACTAAACTGGGATACTGTGCTGACGACTTCAAGCGTTTGGCGGATTCGGCTGCAGAATGTGTCCAAGTGAGCTAAAATAGTATCTTCATCAGCAAGAGGCACACCATAATTGGAAATATTTGTTCCACGCTTGCCGTGGGCAGGTTTTTTACCAGAGACTGTACTGTCTTTCCTTGAAAAAAAAAAAAATTAAAACAAATACAAAATGTGCTAATCATAGTTCAAGTAGTGGCACTGTCATAAATAAAAATAAGTTAACTGTTTCACTACCAAACTTGAATTACTTTGCTCTTCTGAACTCTTTCTGTTTCAAACTATAAGTACTGGATATTGTTCATCTGTACCAATCAATACATTATATATGCTGACATATCTTACGTTATATATGCAGAAAACATAATGAGAAATGTCAAAAATGACCAGACCTGTGGCAGTCATGAACTTCTCATAATTAGTGTTATCCTTATTCTGGAATTTCGCTATGCAGATGATACAGTCCTCCTTTCAAACAAACCAGAGGGAAAAGAAAATTTAATGTCTGTCCAAAAACACAGTAAACATCAAAACCTATTCTTGAATTTAAAGAAAATGAAACTAATGTCCACAGACAAAACTGGCTGTCACCCAAAAATAACAATAAATGATGAAGAAATTAAAAATGTCACAAACTTTGAATATCTAGGCTCTATTAATAAAAATATTAAAAAAATGAAGACTGTTTGACGGAAATCCAAAGGAGGATGGCCATAGCAATGCAAAGATTAAACAGCATTAAAAGTCTATGGTTACGCACCAGCAAGGAAATCAAAATTAAAGTTTTGAGAGCATGCATGCTACAGAAATATTCTCAGAATACCATAGACAAAGAAAGGAAGAATTCTGACATTTTAAAAGATCTGAACATCAAGGAGGATTGGCTTATAAACAGCATCTTGTCTAGGAAGCTGAAAAATTCTGGCCATATCAAACGCCACGACGGATTTGAAAAAGTAATAGCAGAAAGCATGGTACCAGGAAGGAGGGGCAGGAGCTGATTAACACGAAGATGGGCACAGGATATAGGTGACTCCTTGGATATGATGTTCTGCAAAGGACCTGCTACATGATTACGATCTTATGTTTAGTCATGAATTCTCAACAACAACAAAAACACACAAAATAAAAAACCTAACAAAATATTTGTTTCCTTTATGAATTGTACAAAGTTTCCTGTGGAAGTAGTATACCATGAGTTTAGTGCAACTCTTGTCTCTGGTGAACACTGGCTAGGACCTTCTGGGACAAAGAGTTTAGACTTATAATTTAAAGTTGCCAATATTTGTGTTCAAGTAGTTGAAATAAAAACACTATATGACAGAAGGAACTAAACTAACAATTTGGATACATAGAGTTAATGAAACAATGTGATAAAGGAAAATCTAACATTTATGCTAGTTTTTGGCTAGCAATGAAAGCATTCAAGTAGCATCTTACAGAAAGAGTTCAGCTTTCAGTTATTCAATGAAGCATCTAGCTCGTTATGAATATAATCTGTAATTAATCTCCAAACACCCTGTGTCCTGTTCTCTGTTGTTGTTGGTGAGGTTTTTTTTTTGGTTTTGTTCATTGTATAAATTGATTATTAATTTTCTGACCTTGCTACTGATTCAGGTTCAATCAAAGTTTAGCATTAGGAATAATAATTAGAAATTATTTTAAAATAGCAAATTAAGAAACAACATTATAGCCCTCATGACATTCCCATCTTAAGCAGTCAACACAGAGTTCCAAGTCCCATGGTACGAGCAAAAGTCTCAATGTGGGTCCATCTTGTCTTTCCTCTGATTGTAGTCTGTCAGATCCCATGTTCCAAGTCCCATGGTACGAGCAAAAGTCTCAATGTGGGTCCATCTTGTCTTTCCTCTGAATGCTGTCTGCCAGATCCCATGTTCCAAGTCCCATGGTACGAGCAAAAGTCTCAATGTGGGGTCATCTTGTCTTTCCTCTGATTGTTGTCTGTCAGATCCCATGTTCCAAGTCCCATGGTACGAGCAAAAGTCTCAATGTGGGTCCATCTTGTCTTTCCTCTGATTGTTGTCTGTCAGATCCCATGTTCCAAGTCCCATGGTACGAGCAAAAGTCTCAATGTGGGTCCATCTTGTCTTTCCTCTGATTGTTGTCTGTCAGATCCCATGTTCCAAGTCCCATGGTACGAGCAAAAGTCTCAATGTGGGTCCATCTTGTCTTTCCTCTGATTGTTGTCTGTCAGATCCCATGGCCATTTCCTGCAGCACCAAATCTCTTTGGACAGCGATTTATTTGTACTTCCGCAATGTTCCCTTACTTTCAAACGGCCTTGACAACATCTAGCTTGTCATGCATCAGTTTACACTAAAGAAATGAAAGAATGTGGCCACAATAAGAAACCAAACCTGGTGTTAAAAAAAAAATGTTAATCCTGCCACAATTAGAAACCAAAACTATTTTTTTTTTATTCTGTCACAATTAGAAACCAAACCCAGTAAAGAAGCACAAAATGTGCAATATTTTCAAGCAATAATACAAGAAATTCATTGACGAGGGAAAAAACCAAAAGAATAATATGATCAGTTCATCTTACTTGAATGGGAAGTTAACAATTGAAAAACTGCTGACAGATGACAGGCGGGATTGATTCTGCGACTTCACAAGTGCCTCTCTAAGTGATCGCAGTGACTCCCTGTAGAAAGTCTGGAGTGACAAGCACAGTTGCAGTCTTGCACACAAGCTATCCTCTGTATCAAGAACATCTCCTGAGCTTCTGATCTTTGTTCTAGATTCCTAAAATAAACAGTTGTTATGTGCTATTGACAGACATAGCCTCACATTTTCTTTCATCCTATGACTGAACAGTAAAGATGAATATATATATATATATATATATATTTTAATTACATGATTGAAAAATAGCGCTATAGTAATATTTCTCACCCATCAAAGATTCAAACAGCGGTGAATGGAGAGTGTGAAGCAACAATGAAATTCATAATCTGTTTAAATCATCACTGATAGACTGAAATGGTTGGGGCATATTGAAAGAATGTCAGATGACAGGGAAGTAAAAACTGTCTATAAATGGTCGCAGACCATGAGGCAAACCAACAAGAATATGGAGAGATAATATCCAGACCTGCAAAAACTTGGTGTTACCAACTGGAAATAGAAGGCCAACCAGATAGATGAATTGAAATGGGTGATATCTGCAGCAATGAACCTCAAGTGCTCAAAATGCTGAAGAAGTAGAAGAAGAATATTTCTCACTCACAATCTCTGCATCCCACAACCCAATAGTAGACATCTTTAGCTCTATGAAAATTAGGCCAACAGCCAAACTAATACTTTCATTTTGTATCTGCAGCAATTACTAATGCATACAAGTCAACAAATTGATAATCTGATATATAAATTTAACTATATCTTAGGGATACTATTTATTTTTATTATATATCTTCTTCAGCTTCTTACTGTCAGAGGCTTTTACCTCCATGTAAAACTTCCAATGTTTCATTCTATTTTTTGACCGATCTACATTCTGTGTGGTCATAAGGAGTATCCAACCAATTGCATAATTTCACTGTTTACTTCAGAGTTTCAATGCTTGTGATTCACCTTAATGTCTGATTGAAATTAGCTTATATTACCTCTTCTGTTATCAACTGGTTGGGATGTAGAGATGCTGAAGCATACATGGTGGTGAAGCAGGACCAAGGTTCATACTGGTCAAGATCTATGTATACTTCTCCTTTGGCATCCTAAAAAAAGGTTCCCAACTGACAGCCTGACCAATGCTACTTTCTCTAAAGTTAGGACGCATTAGCCTAAAAGATGAGGAACCAACAGTCTGAACACAAATAAGCCAAATCTGTAAAATAGATGAACACGCAAAACTCAAGTTTCTGAAACAAGATCAAAGTCTAAAATGGACAAATAATCAGGATTTTGGGGAGGAATTTAGTTGGTAAACATGAAGAAGAAAAGTTTCAATTGGTCCTTACTTGATGTGATCTGAAGAGGCTCTAATAATAAAACAACACAACATCAAAACTCACCCTGAGTTTATTTTCAACCATTTTGTTGAAAGTTTTATGTTGGGGGTCACCTTGATACACAGTGATAAAGTCATTCACTTCTTCTGCTATTTTGTCCCATAGTTCATCTCTGTCTTCCAAAACATTCCATGTATGCTGTTTAATGTATTCTTTGCAGATCTGCACAAGCTGATTGGTGACCTTAAATTAACAACAGTTTCAAAATTAAAACAGAAATAATGTGTACAACATTGTAAACTGAGTTACAAAATTTACATTGGCTTTTAGTACACCATTTTAGGTGGTGAATAAATTATCCCATATTTGCCAAACTTCTGCAATGGAGGACTGAGCATATATGGGAATATCCAATGTGCAGTGACATCGATTGTGATAAACTTACATAAACAGTACATTTAATTTCATCATGCATCTTTTATCTCCAAGTGTGAGTGCAAGTCTTAACCGCAGACTGTCTTCTATAAGCACTGATATATCCAGTGGTTCTATGTCAGTCTTACAGAGTGCAAGGTGTGTGGTCCCTAATAGGCTTGATGTAGAAGATACCATGAACCAAAGGGAGGTGAAAAGAAATCATCTCATTTCAGTACAATTTTCCTTTGTGGGTTTTCAAGCCAAGTACAGAAGAGTTAAAAAAAAAAAGATACTCACTGCCCCTATCTAACATGTCGTAAGAAGTCACTAATTAAGGGTTTGCTGAAATTGGACAAGTTGGCCTAAAAGATACTGCAGGACAGTGGTTAACCACAACATAGCATGCCAAAACCATTTAAAGGACAAACAAAGTTGTCATTTAGTGGAAATCTGAGAGATTCTCTGCTTACTACTTTTGACCAGATGGGAAAACCTGTTTGAAGTAAACTAAACAGCTTCAGTCTGCAATCACCTGCAATGGCCAAACCTCCCTAGTTGTCCCCTAAGGTGCAATTGACAGATTACAGTTTAAAAATTGTTAATTTTCCTAGAGAGAACAATTAACGTTATCGAGATAATTAAACATTAGGAAATGAAACAATATTATCAAAGAACATACAAAAGTATAAAATATATCAAATATATTAGTTAAGGCATGCCATGTTCAATAAAGGTATAGACTCTAAATCTTTTCAAAGTAGAAAATTATGGCATACTTTCACTTGTTTTAGATGTATAGATTACATTTCTAACCTTTCTGTAAAAAAAAAAAAAAAACGGACAGAATCCATTTGCATATTGTGTGGGCTAAAAAAAAAAAAACTGTTGGAAATAAAATAAGTACAGATCAAACAAGCAGCTTCAAAAGCTAAATTTTACTGGGAAGCTAAACTGGTCAACAAATGCTTGCAGAAGTCAGATGGTTTGGCTGAAAGGCGTAAATGTTGCAGCCATGATGTGTTGACAAATAATGCCTTAAAAAAGATGAGGGTACTGTGTACCATTGTGTACCACCAGAAAAATAGTCCTGCTTACAGAGATACTCACATACAATTGAAAAAAAAAATGGTGAGTTGAGGTTTGGAAAGCTATTTAACATTGAGTGGAATCGGGTTGCAAATGATACTATTAAAATGGCAACTTTTCGCCGACTACCTGTGTGTGGGAATGTCCTAAATGCAATGATGCCAATTTCTGATCCATTCATTCTATCCAGCATTCTTAGCAGTATCAGCACTAGCAAACATTCTATGATACCTTTGTAAGTAATACACCAAGAAACCCGGAGCGAGCATAGAAACGAGAGACGGAGTCCATCTGCTTCATGGAGTTCATCAGGCCAGGTAATACATGACTAATCATGTTTGTTGGGCTGGCATTCTGGCACATTTTGTCCAAGTGTCGCTTCAATGACTCCATGTATTTCACTTTATCTTTTGCATCATTCAAGCCATCTGTGATGCTGTTGGCATAACATTGCAACAAATAAGATCATGCAAGACAGATGGTTTTCTAAATAAAATGTTAATGCTCAAGCAATGATTAATTCACCTGACACAATAAAGGACCTCTGATTCAACCAGACCTGGTTTGTCTTGCAGCATTAGTGGTTTCAATTGTCTTTTTAATCAGCATGGTATATACCTCCCTGATTCCCCATAGTGGTTCCAAGGTCAGAGGAGGAGGAGAAGCAGAAAAAGATGAAGAAGAAAAATAAGAAGAAGGAGGAGGAGGAGAAGAAGATAAGGAAAAAGAAAAAGGAGATGAGGAAGGAGGAGGAGGCAGAGGAGGAGGCAGAGGAGAAGAAGAAGAAGATGTTGCTAATCCTGGATAGTGGATTAGATTTTTTGCTTCTTGGATAAGGGCTAAATTCTATGAAGATCTATGTGCACACTGCACAAGAGAAAGATCCCCTGCCAGCTGAAAACTGAGAGAGCAGACCAAAACGACTGCAGACAGAGTAAACCATGTAAAACTTCCAAATTAGAAAAGCTAGGAAAAACCACAATAAAATTTTTTATGCATGATTCTAGGATCCTCACTGATGGATCCTATGGCCGCAGACTCTAGCTGCATTTATGAAAATAACCACACTCACTGGAAGTTATCCTTTACAAAGAAGAAAAGAAAACATCAGTTGGCTCTAATGAAGTAGGAATTTAAAATGTTTGGGCTCTTGATCCCACTGAAATAATGTGACAGATTAAAAGCGGAGAGAACTTTCATTGCACCATGTTTTATCCCATACGGCTCAATCTCTCTCTGCAGAATGGCTAGCCACCTGCTGAGAGCATCACAAAAAGGTCAAACTCCAAAGCACCGGCGATGATCCTTAGGGATCTCTGTTAAAACCTGACTAATGAACTAAAGGACGAAGCCGCAAAATGAGCCCACTACCTTCAGAGCATGACACAAACAGCTTGACCACTTCACCACACACATGAAACAAACATCAGCTGATAATAATGAAGTAGGAATATAAATTGTTGGGGTTTACTAGCCAAAGTTCTTGGCTTCCATTTTATGTCAAGGCAGATTGTTTGATTTCTTGAATGGTGTAGTGTCCCAGCTTGACCCAGCCTAGTATGGATGCATATTAGGAATGTCCTAGCAAGTAAAGGTGGTTGGCAATATGTTGACTACATCATCCATAGAGTGCTGACTGTTTGAAAAAATATAGCCTCTTTACCTTATTTTACTTTGTTTATTTAATAAAAGTTAATAACTTTCTACCAAAATCTTTTGATTTTCTTCAATATTTTCTTTAGATATTTTTTCTGTTTATTTTCTCTTCAATTAAAACTAGTATTACATATATATTAAAGCATTTACATGATAGCTGTTCATAAATATTACCTGGCATCAATGACTTTCCACTTCTTGAGCAGCTTGGATTTTGCAGTGATCAGTACTGCAAGAACTACTTTACATTCCTTCCCTTTGAGTTGTTCAGTAACACCTGCTAACAACCGCTGACGACGCCTCCATTTCTCCAGCTCTGACAAAGAATTAGCATTTGGGTCCAGGATTCTAAATAAGAAGTTGTAAAATTAATAACATTTTAAGTCTTTCAGTACCAGAAGTTTTGCATCCGATGGTCAAGGGATGCCTTTACTACAATGTAAAATACATGACTTCCAAAAAAAGCAAATATGCAGTGCTGCATGATGACATGTCTAACAAATTTTACCTGTTATACTCAAAGCAAATTGTAAAGATTCAATAACAAACAATGTGTGACTTTATGATTATGGGGAGTAACTAACTGCACATGATACGCTGACTGAGAAAGAAAGAACTGAGTTTAGAAAATTACCAAGTTGACATGGAATTTTCACCGCTAAAAGAAACAAAATGAAGTATAAATAAATTAAAAGTGAAATAAGGTTCCTACGAAGGGCTCATAAAATTCTTCTTCTTCTTCTGCGTTCATTCAAAGATGTAATTGCGTTGTGTCCGTTAACAGCATGGCTGCGATATTTGCACCTTTCGGCCAACACATCCGACTTCTGCAGGCATTTATTGACCGGGCTAGCCTTCCCGATTGGGCTCATAATATAACAATAAAAGATAAGATTATGAATGATGAAAGAAGAAGAATGGAGGTGAAGGCAGTTCTGGAGTGCATTAGAAAACAACAAATGAAACGGTCCAGTTATATAACATGGATGTCAGTAGACAGTATACCACAGTAAGCAGTTATGTAGAGACCAGGTGGGAGTGAATAAGAGGTCAACCATACAAGCAACGGACAGAGAATAAATGAGGCCTGGGAATCCCCACTTATGAAGCGCACAAATTCCAATTCCAAGTTGTCCAACAAAAATTCCAAATCTGATCCTTTTTCAGCCGCCCGGAGGCCTGCTATATGAAGGAAGGTTCCTTGGCTGTCTTTTTTGTTTTCCTTTTATTTGTGGTGTGTAGTCACACATGATATTCGGGTTCTTTGCCTCCTTGCTGCGGTGTGGTGCTTATGGTTTTTTGGGTCTGGTGTGGTCCAGTTCTCTTAGTGATGATATCTATGGGTTTTAGCTGATTGTTGCTGGTGCTTGGTTTGCCTCGTGCTGATCGCTGTGCTGGTGCTGCTTGGTTGCCGTTCTTGAAGCCGCCGGGAAAAGCCAAACAAACACCAGGTCACAACGTCTCAAACAATGCTCTTTTTCAGGACAACCAGGGCCGTCACAATCTGTTGTTGTGATCAGCCCTTTTTTTTTTTTTCAACGGAGCGCACAAAAAGGCACTTTCCCATTAAATATACTTCACCTTGACACTGCAAGGTACCAGAGGATCAAGAAGAAATGAGATGTGGAACCAAATTGTACACATAATAATGCAGCCACAAGTACCAACACAGGCACTACAACTAAAAAGACCTGATCTGAGACCAAGAGGGTACCCAAAGAGGATATGGACTGATAACATGCTACATCCTCACAGAATAACAATAGCTAGTGTTACCCACTCGGAAGGTTGTGAGTTCATTTCCCTGCTGCGTCGTTCAGTTCATGAGTTCAATTTTTACAGAGAACCCTGGGGTTCTTTGCTGGGACTGTGGTGTTTGTGCTTGGTGCAACATTCTCGTCATGCTGTTAGGTAGCTATGCTGTGGAGAGAGACCGAGCCATATTTGATAAAACCTGGTGTCATAAAGTCGATCTTCTCAACTTTAACTTTTAGCTATTGAGTAGGGAACATCAAATTGTTTCTCCTCATGCCGATTAACAGTGAAGGTGGAAGTTGATGATGATGATTATTAAACCAACCATCTTAGATCTAGCAGACGCTCATTAAAATTCCATGATGTGTGGCTATTTGGGTAGATGTTGAGAAGTGGTTGGATGTGGAACAACTCTGAGTGTTTACAACTCTTTACTGCATGAATGAAAGTGTAAATTCCATGGTTATGTGAAATGGGAAAACAACAAATAAAATATTCTAGTGACTAATCACACCATTATTCTGAGCTTGGCTTTCACTGGTGACTAAAAAGTCTAGTATGTCAGGACTGTGAAATTGCATTACCAACTCTAAACCTAGAAATGTTGAGTCTTCTTCTTCCACCACACATGCCTACGTAGCATTTTCAAAATTTTCTGGCCAGATACAATCTCAAACACTAAACTACTTGAAGCCACAAACCAAGAAACTTTAGACAGTGTGATAACCAAGAGAAGATGGAAATGGCTTGGCGACGTAATGAGAATGAATCCTGATATACATGCCAAAACAGCTCTCACATAGATATCAGAGGGAAAGAGAAAAAAGGGGCGCCCAAAAACAACATGGAGAGGAACGATAGAAAGTGACCTGAGTGTGGCATCTTTGACAAACTGCATTGAAGATTGCACAGGACAGGAAAGCATGGAAAGTACTCTCTGAAGCCTCATGTGCCTCAGGAGAACTGATTATTCTTCCTAGTGTTCACCAGCTGTAAATCTCGGGGGTAAGTTCTGGTTGTTCATCCACTTCTGGACTTTGGTCTTGTTCCTGTTCCAGAATTTGAGTTTTTTGTGCATATAATTTTTTTTTAATGCAGACTGTTGGTTCCTCACCTCTTAGGCAGATGCATTTTGACTTCAAAGTCCAAAGTCAACAACCCTAATTAGTAGACTTTCGGGACATGCTTGTTATGAGGACATTCGGTCTATTCTTTTTTCCCCCTACAATGGGGTCCTGGAACCCACAGGGGAAAAATATGGGTCTAAGAAGGTTAAAATAATAACTTTCATGGATTCAAGAGTAAAGATGAGCATTATGAATTGTTTGATACAATAATTTCAAAATTCAGCCAGCCCTGATTTTATGTCTATAATTACCTGTCATCAGCTGTATCATTTAGAATCGTCTCAATTGTGCTGATCCAATCGCTGACAAGTTCCTCATATTCACTGATAAGCTGTGGGTCAAGGGCTGCTATTCGTTGCATTTTAAAATCTTGTTCAACCAAATTTTCTGGCTGCCTTAATACCTGATTAAACAGTAACAAATAACAGGTGTATACAGATTTAACAGATAACAGGTATATAAGCATTTAACAGATCAGAGGTATATAAGCATTTAACAGATAACAGGTATATAAGCATTTAACAGATAACAGGTATATAAGCATTTAACAGATAACAGGTATATAAGCAGCTAAGAAATAGTTTACAATCATGCTGTCACATCTGTAAGATAAATTTATAGCTTCATTAAAAATGAATACAGATTTTCCACAGCAATGTTTTGTGTAAGAAAAAAGTTCACTTTGTGTATTTTGATTATTAACAGCAGTACCAAGCTTGAGTATGTATAATGAATGCATGTTATTTTTGTTGTTGTTGTCCTGGGGTCAGTCTAGTTTCATAAATGATAACAAGGCATAAGCTTGTCACATTATCCCTTATGCACACAAGGTTGTGAAGATATGGGCCTAAAATCAAATACTTAACAGTGTACAGGAAAATTCCCCTACAACTCCCGCACGTGGTGTTATCACGAATATCTTCTTTCCTTTTTTTTTTGCATTATCATGTAAGCCTTTTAGCCTATGAATACTTCCCCGCCCCCCCCCCCCCCCCCCCCCCCCCCAAAAAAAAAAAAAATGGGTTATCAGACTGTGTTAATTCCCCCCCCCCCACACACACACACAATATATTTTATAAACAAAAAGTTTACACAGGTCACTAATTAATTTTCTTTTAAATGTTTCTAAATTTGTAAATATTTTTTGACACATACAAAAACATATATGGGGGTAATGAATAAACATGAACAGAGTGAAGCATTAAGGGAATATACTCAGGGTGCCTACACAAATATGCATCAGTTGACACATGCTGTTACCCTGCGACCTCTTACACTGATTCTAAAAAGTCATTTGGTTCACAAGACATCCACCCTAAATGCTATTTTTAGTAAATATATCCATATCTGGTCCTCTTAAATCCTGTCCAGATGCAAACAGAATCAATCACATTTAAGTTTGCTCCTCAGAAAAAAAGGACACTACCGACGTGCTGGTTTCGGGACATTTGCAAGGATGTGGCAACAACTGAAAGATCTTATTCATGGCTTCTCGGAACAGCAGAGTTGATTATAACCAAACAATATTACAACACCATGTAAAAGGTTAGTAAATCTGTAATGTCACATTCCTGTACATTGCACATTCCCTATCCAAGACTGCAGATATTATCTAGTGAATGAGCACTGTTCTACTTCTTGTTTGCTTCCAAACTTGCACATTATTTTTTCCAACAAAAATGGCATACTTCAAGATTCCAGCTCTATCTGTATATGATAACAGAAATAGAGTTCGCTGCTACATATTACACAAAACTGACCTCGATATTTCAATGCTATATAAAGAGCTGATGAGCCTTATGGCATAGTTGTTTGTGTGCTTACAGCCAAAACTGGTACAAGTTTAGTGTAAAAAAGTAGCAAGAATTTTTCTTTCAACTATTATGGCTCCGACTCAGTCTCAATAAAGAATGGGTACTGGATAATTTCCAGAATATGGCTGGATTTACCTTCACATTTATGTATAGTTTATTTATTTATTTTTTTTTCAAATTTAGAAGAGGGGTACAGATTCTATCTTTCATTCCTTGGGTCACACGACACTGATCCAGATTTTCACAATGCATAATAGATACAGACAAAAAAAAACATCCTAATTCTTAGTGACTGAATTGTACACTAAAGGTTCTTATTATGTTGCTAGTCTTTACTAAACCAAAGATTTCTCTGATTTCACTTTTAAAAATCTTAGTCAACCCCAATGTTCTGCTGGTCAGAGAAAATAGTTATCAAACACAGGACTATTGTACTGATAGCTAAATATATCAATTACACCACTACCACAGCTACAATAAAACATAAAAACAACATTTTAAAACTTGAAGACATTTGCATGCAATTATGTTTAAAAGAAAACAAAAACACGCATGCTCACACACACAAATCAGTTGCACATCCTTTTCTGGATGTCAGTCAAACCCCAGAATGTATTAGCTGCTATGTGGTTTTACTAGGCAATTTTAGGTCAGTAAGTTAAAAAACAAGTCATCTATATAGAGATTGTTATTTAAAAAAGAATAAAATTCAGCTATATATGCACACAATTAGTTTTAATACATTGTAAACAATTTAAGGCTAATTACTGCATTGTTTTAGTAGAATATAAACATTACAAGCTGTGTTTATGATCATGACAGAACATTTTAAATGGCTCACTGCAAGTTACCTCATCTTGAATGCTTATTAATATTGGCCTCCTTGCTTTTAAGAGTAAAAGGTACCTTGACATTCCCAGCATCAGTCATATTCACACATGTAAACTCTCCTTACAGTGCTCTAAATACAATTATGCAGTGCATTCCTAGGTAGTCTGAGTAATTATGCCTCTCAGACAAAAGAGAATGAATATACATGACTGACTATCAGCTCTCCCATGAGCTGTTCTCAGTGAGCTTGCAATCACTCTTGAGAAAACTGGATCTAAACTGGAAAACTGAATGAACATGGTTAAAGAAAATATACTGAAGAAAAACAAACATGAATTGTTCTTGTTTTGTAATTGAGGCATTCAGACTGAGGTTGATCAAGTTTAGGGGTATAGGCACTCAAAATATGGGGTATAATGACTGGAATGAATTGCTACTCACTACTGAATATGCTACACTGGTGAATATCCAGTAAATTTAATTATCAACTTCAGATTTTATAGCAATAGTGGCTGGCTGAGTAATCAGAGAACTGAGCCCTCATACAGGAGACCCAGGATTGATGCTCAGTAAGGGATTGCTAATCTGTTTGTTGGGAACAAATTCTAACCTGGAGTGTTTGTGGTGACTGAACAAGCCACAGGCAAAGTAAAATCCTAAAACTCACGTCCTCTATCCACCTATCCTATAATGCCCTAAAAGTGGTAACTACAAGCAGCAATGATAGTTTGAATGGTAGTCTTCTCTTCTTCTTAGCGTTCACTGGTTGCAAACTTCAGCAGAATGTCCTGGTTGTTCTTCCACTTCTTGACTTTAGTGTTGTTCTGGAACTTGAGTTTTGTCTGCACATTCATTTTAGAGATCTGGCTTATTTTTATGCAGACTATTGGTTCATATACTTTCAGACATATAACTCTGACTGAAGGAAACACCTATAATTAGTGGCCTTTTATAACATGCATATTAGGTGACACTGGATCTATTCCCCCCCTACTCCACAATGGGCCTCTTGAGTCCACACAGAGAGAAATGTAGTCTCATAGCAGATAGTGCCATTGGGGTGTCAAGGGTTAGGGCTTCAAACTTTCTAGAATTTTTTTGTTTTTTAGTATCCAGAACCTGTTAACCCTTAGGCTCGGTATTATGGATATCGCAACCTTTCGGCCTTGATTCCATTGTAAATACCGTAAATCTGAGATAAATGTGGCTTTTCTGCCTACCCCCGGGAGTGAACCTGGACCAAAAGGAGTTCGTCACCCGCTCACTGCGCAATCCGGTTTAGCCAACTACGCTTGGGGTGGCCACATCTTTTCTTCACTGCTTTCTCTACTCATATAACTTCCATAATATTCTGGAAAGTATCCTACAGCTATTACTTATCTTTATATAATGCCTCTTATGTTATATTTATCAGTTAATCAAAAGTTAGTTTTCAAGTTTCATATATTTTGTTTTAAAATGATAGATGGATGGTGGTAACAAAAGTGAAAGAATGGGCTTCAGCCTGAATGCGAACAGTAATGGTAATATTAAAGAAATGATTTGTACCTAATGAAAAAAGTAAACAGAAATATTTTCATACAAGTACACCTAGTCTGCATCTGTAGCTGAGGCGTTGCAAACGCACTTCGTAATGTCGGGGTACCGGGTTTGATCCCAGCTGCGGATGGTTTGTTTTGCATTGGTTTCACCAGTGGTACAAAAGCTAACTGTTCATAAAGCAATGGCATATTACTGAACATAAAATTTGCCTATACAAAATCCACAACAGCCAAATAATACTGGGGTTGGTTCTGCAACGTCCTGTAAAAGGATTCACAGCTAACCTTCAACTCCCTGTGAGGGGAGTGGGAATAGATCTAATGCCCCCATAGTTTTGGAGGAGAGGGGGTATAGATCAACTACTCTCCTAACAATCATGTCATAGGAAGTGACTAACTAGGGGGTATTTCCTTCCAATTCAGAAAGGATCTGCTTAAGAGGCAAGGAACCAACAGTCTGCATAGAAATAAGCTAGATCTGTAAAGCATATGTGTAAGCAAAACTCAAGTTCTAGAACAAAACTAAAGTCAGTAATCAGGTGAGAGGGGTATACAATCAGACTGCTACCAGTACTGTCGGAACTGGAACTCTGTAATTGCTGCTGAAAATAAGGTTGCATCACTTATGGGAACACACTGAGTGATATGTTGTTAATTTTTAACTTGACTTAACTCAGCATGGGCAAAAACTGCATTTTATAAAATGAAGAACATCTTTTTCAATAAATCCCCATTATGGGAGGCTAAAAAAAAATAATTTTTGCCTGCTATATAGTGCCAATTTTAACATATAACAGTAAATCTAAGATATGAACCCACTGACTACCATGATCAAACGCTATGCGATCTGCCGGTACTTACACTTGGCTACCACTATTGTACACACTGCGATCGCAGCTTCGAATGCTCACAGCCATGTTAAAATTGTGACTTTTGCGATAAATATAGTTGAAGCCATTAGTCCATTCATTTCTTTAAGTTTATTTAATGCATACAATTTGGTATTTAAAGTAAATTTTCCAGAACTTTTTTCGTGGTAGCTCCCATGTCAATTCCACATTAGGTGCATGTTTTCATAATGGGACTCATCACTACGGCAGGCATGGTGAAACAGTTTGGAGAATATTTATGATGCAGCGAGATATTGTCTTGATTGTTTTAAATCAGAAAGTGAGGGTGAAGATATTTTCTGAACAGTCTGATGTCTATGACTTTGATTCTTAGGAACTGCCTTCAAAAAGCAAAGTCAAAACTAGAAGATGTAGCTTACAGCAGCGGCGTGCCAGTTGGAGATAGATGTGTTATGTCACATTAGTTTTTGTAAACTGTTTCAGGTATGGGCTTCAGCTGCGTATTGTTAGATGTGTCTGCTGGTATAAACTGTGTATATTATGGCTCTGTGGCTTAGAGTTTAGTTTAAAATAATTTCACAGTGCATTCCTCTAAGTTTACTGGTGTGCCATTCCCATGATGCACGTTTTTGGAAAAGATAGTTTTTAAAGCTTTCAGAGTTTGACAGTTCAGTCATACTGTAGCAGAAGTTTTTGGTTCTTGCAAAATGGCAGACAGCCACTGAATTTTGAGAATTTTATTTCACAGTTAGTCCGAGCTCTCATCCAGGATTATTTCAAGAAAAAACATTTACTTATATTTTTCGGCTGCTTTTTTGCACCAATGTACAGCCACATGACGATAATGTAAAAAAGATGCAATTTTTTTTTAAATTCTTGAAATTTGTTTATTCAGTTTGGTAAAAAATCTCCAAAAAATTATTAGTTTATATTAAATAGTTGTGAAGCTAGGGTGTATTTTTAAGTCTATATTGCTGTTTAAAAAAAAAACCTTTTGGATGCTTCTTTTGCACCAGTGATGATCTGGGAAAGTGCAAGAGTTAACAGGCTTGGTAGTCAGTGGGTTAATTAACAAGCCAAACAATTTCTTGAGGCCTCAGAGATTTGATTTTATATAAGAATCCTTAAATTCCTTGGACAGCCAAAGCCAGATGTTTAGACAGAGGCTAGGGCCCGAAAACAGCTTATTACAAACATCAGAAGGAGACAGTCTTCATTTTAAGCCATGTTATTAGAAGAGAGAAACTGCAACATATTGTGACTACAGGAAATATTTGCGGAAAGAGAGACAGAAGAAGACAATTTAAGAAGATTCTTGACAATCTTTTGTTATGGCATGGAGGGGTGTCAGCACATAAGATGATGCTGTTGGAAATCACAAGTTTTGGATAGGTTTGATCGCCCCCACTAGTCAGCACGATACTGTTGGCTGCCATGATTCCCTATCAGACACAAACACCAGAATCATGGATCAAGTCAATATTCTTTTCCCACTCCATCCATATGGCTAAGACAATCAGATGTTTATCTTTTTGCCTTCCTCTTGCTCTCTTTCCATCAATCTTACCAGTTGTTACCAAGTTCTGAAGTCCATTCTTTCTCATAATATGTCCAAAAATACTGACTGTCCAGAAAGAAATGGCCAACTACTGGACATAAACTTGCCTAGAAAAACCACAACAGCCAAAAAAATGTTGGGGTTGGTTCTGCAATGTCCTGTAAAGGATACCTAACTAACTTAACTATGTTTAACTCTTTGAGCCCCAGGGGGTTTAGCATCACAGGCCCAGGGGGTAGTAAATAAAGTCATAAAATTGGCGCATCATGCATTCATTGGTCTTCTAGGTAGGAAGCTATGAACGTATAATGCGTTCCTTGGGATTCAAAGAGTTAATAACCACAATACTAAATCTATCCACACAAATAATACGGACAAATTTTCATGATTATTTCTGTCTCTTACTGTTTGTCGTGAAGGGGACACAGATGCTGAAGTCTCGTTGAGTGCAGTAACAAACTTATCCATACTCAACATGAGATTTGTTTGATCTTCTTCGCTGCAATGGCCCCATTCTTTCTGTGCCTTTATCAGCGGCAAATAAATGTCCACAAGTAAAGAATTCAAAGTTCCTACTGTATTCTGTTTCAACTCTCCACAGTATATATCTCTTTCCATCTTAACCGAATCCACATCCTTGTCTGTTTTGTTTCTTAAAAAGTATAGAACTGTGACATTGTTCAAGTCTATGTCCTTTAGGGTTGCTAGATTTCCAGTGCATTGGATTTCATTTGTGGTAATATCAGATACAAGCGATTTGCTGCTGTAGAAAAAGAGACGACATGGTCCTCCTGCTTTCAGAAATAAATTAACTTTTGAAAGTATATTCTCCTGGCACATGAAACTCTCCAGGAATGCAAGATTCCCGACATTGCCAAGTTTGAAACTTTCACGAATCTTTCCAGCTATCCACCAATGTCTTTCATCCATGGTGTTAAATTTTGATTGTCCCTTGACAGAATATTTACATTGCGCAATGCATAAGCAAAGACACTATAGTTTTGGAAGATCTATATAAGACATGTCTGTCAGAGACGAAACTTTGCAATTCTGAATTATTGTTGTCGCCATGATTGTTGTCATTAGTAACGATAGCACCCTCGGAAAAGCTCGTGAAACTCCGTGTTTGAGTTGCTCGTTCGAACTCTCTTGGTAAAGAGAGTAAACATTAACAAAGAGCTTTATGTGATCTTCAAAAAACAAGAAATCGTTTTCCCAGCAGCGGTCCACACTAGAAACTACCCACGACCAGTAAGACTCAACACAATCACTTGCACATTGCCCTCCTCTTTTTCCCCCATTTTAACATATGACTATTGTATTGTAACAGTAGTTTTTTTCAGTCTGCACAACGTACTTACTGATCTCGTCAAATATGGGAAACAGGTTATTATCGTTCTCTTTATAACTGTAAGAGGCGGCTCCCATATCCAAACATTTAAAAAAAGTAATCATGTAATGTAAACAGTAATGAAATAATGAGTTGACTGTGACATCGCACATGTATTGCTAATTGAATTGTCTGATTTCTAGTCTACGACTGCTATTTGTTTGTTAACTATATTGTAGAGTTGACTCTGAAGGCATATTCTATACTTGGTGAGACCCTACCCCCAGGGGTTTTAAAGACCAGTAGATTTCTTGACTTTGCTAGCATAATTCATAATGACATAATCATAGCCCCCCTTTTCCCCAACACACACACACACAATACTCACGCACAAAAAAATGCATTGTAAACTGAACAGGCTACACAGTAATGTGGCAATGGTAGAGATTAAAACAAACAAAAAACCTGTCACTACTGTGCGAGTCCTTTGATCCTGAGGTGTTATGGCTGCACAACTTGTGCTGTCACCACTGACTGTGCAGGTTGGGATTTTACTTATGCCCCCCTCCCATTTTACAGCCTTACTGAGGATTTGAACCAGACAGCCTTTCACTCTTAACTGTCCGTCCAGCCACTCCTCATGTTAGAGATACCTAGAATACATTTAACAAATAATAACAGGATTTTAACATAACAAAACTTCCCTTTATGGGCACATATTTGGTGTGTACGTGAGGGGGGGGGGGGGGGTGAGTCCCATAGATATTAGCCTAAGACTGTGGGTTCTGTATTTCAGGTTAGTAAGATCTTTCTGTCTCCCTGCCAGTGGTTTTTAGATGAAGCCACAGATCTCAGTAAAGTCTGGGGTGTGACACATGTCCTCTGTTGATCCATACATAGCTTGGTTTCCATTGGAATGTTAACTAGTCAGACCAGGCTTCTCTTTACTGCATGTAGAGAGCATTATGTGCAGCACCTGTTCAGTATTCTAAAGTGGCCACCCAGCCTTGAATTTCTTGTACATATGGCTGCTGAGTCTGCTGTGTCTAGTTCCTGCAAAATCTATTTGTTGTGATCCACTTCTTGAATAACCAAATTTATCAGCCAAATAATTTCCTAGTATTGCACGCTGGATGAGGAACTGCCATTCTTATCATTACAAATGTTTCATTCTGCATTTCTTCTTCTTCTGCCTTTCTATCCCCAATAGAGCATAGGCCCTCAACCAACTCCCCATGTCCTCCCCATCTTTCTAACTTCATTTTCCAGCTCTCTTCTCCATGTGTTTTTTGGCCTTCCTTTATTCCTATGCCCCTATGGGTTCCAATGCAAAGACATTCTGCATTAACCATCTGTTATTTGATTTAGTTAATGGCAGATACTATTGATATGAATGATGTTAGGTACTAATACTTTTCTTTTCTTGTCTCTGGTTACAGATACTAAAAGATGAATAAGGAGATTCTGGAATTATGTGGGAAACTAGTTCCGCAAGCTTATGTTTTACAGGGAGCTCAAGCTAGGACCTCACATGAGAATAAAATCAAACATTTAATACAGCATGTAATGTGGTTAATATCTTTATATGTTGTACTGAAATTCTATTTATATACTTCTGTATCTTAAGTCGTAAAGAAATTGTTTGGCCATCTTTTGAGATAAATCCAAGGATGCCAGCATTGAGAGTATTCAACTTGAAAATGGAAATACCAGTAGACAGAGGGAGACCTAGAAGAATATGGATTAAAGGAGTCACTGAAAGGCAATAATTTCACATAACAGCACATCAAATAATGGAACTTGCCCTAGTTTGGCTACGTATATCTGTTAAGTTACCATGCTAATGGCACAAAGCTGACATTACGAAAGGATCCTAAGTTATAGTGTGTCTTCATGGTCACAGTCTGTGGAAGTGATAAAGATGACATAAATAAATTGTGTTTGTTCTTGACTTATAATCAGTTATTTTATGCCTTGCAAAATACAAATCAGTTACAACTACAAAAACCCTTCCCAGTTTCTTAACTATCCTGTCATGTTTTCACAGATTATTTATTTGACAGGGCTCACCATGTGAGATCTGTAGCCCCATTGGGGGAGAGAGGGGGGGGGGGGGGGGAGGGAAGAATAGATCCACTGTCAACTTAGCATGTATATCATAAGTAAAGTAAGTAAGTAAAGGAGGACCCTTTACCCCGCCCTTAGGCGTACTGGGTATATAGGGCTCATCATCATCATCATCATGTAGCAGGTCCTTTGCAGAACTTCGCTCTCATCACAGTTTGCCTGAAAGAAACTCGGGCTAGACCTATATTTTAGAGACCAAATGGCACTTAGTGGATGATGTGGTCAGCATCACGCCAGCCACCTTTACTTTCCAAGACTTTACCTGATACCCACTCAAGGCTAGGTCGACACAGGAGCCAAGGTCGTTTTGAAAATTCCAGCTCCTGTCAGGACTCGAACCAATGACCTTCCGATCTGCAGGTAAGTGTCTAGCCACTAGATCGCCGAGGCTCCCATAATGGATGTAATAAAAATGAGTGAATTCAGCCAAAGACATAACAACAACCTTTAATTCTATCATTTTTTCTTTGCACCAGATCCTCAAAGGAAAATAAACCTTACCTCTTTATGTTTTGCAATAGATTCTTAAAGGAACTATAACCCTTAATTTGAAATCATGTTTAGCACCAGACCTTTAAAGAAAAATAACTTTTAGCTGTTTATGTTTAGCACCAGATGCCTAAAGGAAAAACAAACCTCAGCTCTTTCAACAATTTATGTTTTGGACTAGATTGTTAGAGAAAAAAGATTATCCTGAACTCGTTCATTTTGTGCTAGATCCAAAAAGGGAAAATTAGCACCATAATAAATCATATGTGGTTTACTTTCAAGATGCCTAAAAAAGCTGACATAATTAGCATTTTGGGATGCTATATTTGTCTTGTGTGCATTTAACGAGGTGTAAAATGTATGAAGCGGCATCCGTTGCTTAGGTGTTGCGAGTCCGACTCGTAATTCAACATACTGCGATCGAAACCCACAGCTGGCTGCGTGGATTTTTATCATGGTATGAGGCGTCGCAGGTCGACCCAGCCTAAAATGGGTACCAGGATGGCTGTCCTGGGGAAGTAAAGACGGCTGGCGTAATGCTGACAACATTACCCACAGTGTGCCGACTGGTCTGTAAAATATGGGACGCTCTTCCCATATACCCAATGCGCCTAAGGCGTGAAAAAGGATCTTTACTTTTTTTTTTTTTAAATGTATGAAGTCATATGTTTGGAGTTTACAGATAAGAGCTTTTAATACATCAGCTAGTATGTGGCACTGAAAGAGCCAGCTGTTGAAAAATATTAGAAAATCAAAACAAGCAGAAAAAACTTCCAGTCCTTTGAGAGTTAACAAAAATCTTTTGTTACTAAAACGTACAGAGAAAACTTCCAGAAGAAGCCTGGGATGACCAAACAATAGAGCTTCTGCTTGATGAACTGGCGGTCATGGACAGCAACAACTTCCCAGGTAACTGTGGTGTGGGGGAGCGAGAGTCCAGGATTGCTTCTTCTCTTGTGGCCAGAAGACATTACAGGTCAGTTACTGATACAGGTAGTGTCTACGACCATAGATCTTTTAATATGATTTCAGCGAGGGGGGGGGGGAGGGGGGGGGGGAATTTCTAATGTATCATAAAGCATTTTTTGACCGAGTGGTATTGTATTTACTGCTCCTTCTCCTTCTCACATAGTGTAAGAAACAAGCCCACCAATAAATACACAGATAAGTAACCTCACCTCAATAGGGACCAATTTTCTGCTTGTATTTTAAAGTCTCCCTGCAGCTATAGTTAGGGTCCTTAATATAACCTAACGGTTGAACGGGGTTTCTGGGACTTGTGCCCAGGTGATCCTCATCTGAATGGTGGCACTTTGTGTCACAGAGTGACTGTCGCTTATTGTGCAATACTGGTGAGGTTGAATGTCACTCACTCATTAGATAAAGGTGTAAACAAAAGATAAGGATTACATAGGGTGAACTCCCTGCAGTGGCAAAGAATGGGACGACTTGGTGCCAGTGTATTAGTGCTCATGCTCAGGTATTGCTCTTCTGTTGTAACTGCTGCTTTCATCCACAGTGAACTGCATTTCTAGTGTTAGACTGTTTATGTTGGTACCTCTGATGGCTGCCTTTGTATTGAATATACGTGTATGCTATTGGCTTTGCTAAAACTTCAGTCTGTGTCAATTATTTTCACAAGGGGCAATGATGGGCATTCTGTATAGTTTTTGCTGACACAGTAATTGTTAAACTATGGTTTTATCCATTTGCTGGGATGTTGGACTACGTTTATCTGATTACTCAATTGGGGGATACAGAGCAGAAGAAAACAGAGGTTAGTCAAGTGCTCAGATCATTTGACCAGACTTTTCTCCATGTCAGACAGTATACCACAGATAGCATTGATGTTTATATACAACAGAAGATAGCAAGAGGTAGACCTGGCAACACTTGTGTTAGTGCAACTGCAGAAGAAGTTATAGTATATGCCATATGTCATTGATAAGCATGTCACACTAGCCTTCTATTACATATAGGTTTAGGTTTATACAGCTGATCAACATCATGGCACAATGTAGTAACCCATAAGTGCTCCCTTCTACTTCTAACTCGAGTCTGAGCCCGAAACAATTTCAGCGCAGTACATTAACTCGTAGCACCGGCGAGGATCCTCATACTTTTGGTTAATTTTTAACTCCAGATTTTGCCCTGGCAGCGCTTTTAGGCTACTCTTTTCCATTTCCAACTTCCAAGAGATTTTTTTATGTGCTCAGCAATACACACGGTTGTCTAATCTTACTACCCAGAGACCAGGGGAAATTACTAGGTCCACAAGAAAAAATCCCAACCTTTATCGGGGCCTGAACCTGGGAACTCCAGCACTAGATGCGGACACCATGCCTTGAGACCAGGCAGCTCCCTTGTATTGTTAGTCATTTGTTAACTGGACGTATTTCCTTGCATTCCAATGTGAACAGTTAGGTGCTAAAACATCTCTGAGTTCTATTTATATATATAAAATAATATATGAAGTCTATTATATATACTGTCAGTCAGTTCTGATACAGTAAAATTAGCAACACTTGAATGATAGCATGACATTTGCCAGAACAAAAAAATAATAAAACCTAAACATTCACCCTGGAATGCAAGGAAATAGGTTCAGTTTACAAATGACTAACAAAACTCCATTATAATCTTTAAACTGTGAGTCCCTTTAAGCTTAATGCTATTGTTGAGGAAGTTTTTGGTGCAGCTCTAGCATCTTGGCTTCAAGGTACTTATCCTAACTGTACAACTTGATTTCAAGATTAGGCCATGGCATAGGGCGCTCAGGGGACATTACTGCAGTGCAACCTAAGGCTGCTGGCTCAAGTATTCTCATGAAGGTCACCAACAGCTTGGTTCTTGATGTGATTAAACTAGCAGGTAATGTTTTATTATCTTCATTTTCATACTGAATACTTTTGCTTGCTTGCTGACCAACTTACTTGTGACGCTGTTTTGAAAGTCATTTTTTTTTCTGTTCTTCCTTCCTAGTATGTATCAGAAAATGTGTGTGTGTGATCAGATATGAATGAAGAGTATTAGGTGTGATAGTGAGATATGTGTGTGACAGGAACCTGATAGTGTAGAGGTTAAATTTGACAGTAGAATGTATTAGCTTGGCAGTAGAAATTTGTAACACTAGAATTTACTGATTTAAGAATCATTATCATAGCATACTGGGCATACCCATAGATGCTCTGGCTCTGGGAGCTAATGTCTTAAAGTGTAGATGCTAACTATTCACATAGGACACTGATTATACACATGTGGTTATCTTCCTCTCATCTGTCCCTCCTTTAACTGTTATGGTTTTTCTAGACAAATTTTACATTCAGTAGTTTGCCATTGCTTACTGAATGGTTAGCTCTCAGTACCACTGCTGAAACCAACGCAAGACAAAGGCGAAAGGCTTTCGCAACGCCTAAGCCACAGATGCTGACTGTATCGACTGAGAATCGAATACTATAACTTCTCTACTATTTTCAGCAGTCCACTTCAAAGCTGCAGTGTTTGCCTCCATCTCCATCCTCACGCTTAAAATTGTAGATTAAAAAAAAAAGCACCATTTTGTTCTTTTAGGGTCTTTCCCTTCACTCTAGCCCAGTGTTTTTTTTAATCTATGAGCTGTTTTACGTCCAATGTGTGACACAGACTGTGGGAGGGTAAAGGTAAAATATGTGGTGTGATGAGAGAATATGTGGCTGCTGATTGTTGTTCATGTGGCAAATCCTTTGCAGAACTTAGCTCTGAAAACTGTCTGCTGGAAAGATCCAAAAACTCTTGCCAGTTCCCACGCTTCTTGCATTTTCACACCCAAAGTGTCTTCGTCCCGTGTTCACTATTGTACTGGTTGACTCTTGACCCATATTCCAGGAACCGTGCTTATGATTATTGTTGCTTCTGAAACAGTTTTTCAGACTAGCACCCCCCACATTTGAACGAGGCAGCTGCTGCCCCCTCCCCCCCCCCAACTTTCTCTCCCTTGGACCTTCCCAACTCCCCTCCCTGAGGTTTTAGGGCCCACTTTGGGAAACACTATTCTAACCATGCCATCACTGTTCTATTTCTAAACCACTGTGATATTAAATTAAATAAGGTGAATGTATTTCATTTTCCGCGACATAAAAATGTTTATTTGCCAGTTGGCTTTTTTTTTTGCAGATCGTGTAGAATGTAAAATATTTCTCTCCTTTGATCCACGGTGTTCAAAGCATTCGTCTGTAATATTTAATTTCAAAAAGTGCCATTGTTTTTCTTAAGTAATATCAAAATATTTTGTAATTTCCATCGGTACGTTGCCTTCATGGAAACAATGTTTCATCTAAAAACATATTACCCTAATTTCTTTGATGATGTGCCATAGGCTTTAAGTAATATTTGACTTCAGCACAGTTATGGGATTGTCCATAGATACAAGCACCTTTTTGTTTTTTTTTGTTTTGTATAGGACTTTTTTTTACTATAGGGTGTCCAGTAAGTTTTCATACGTAGCAAAAATGAAACATATCACAAATGCCATTACAAAGCTCCAGCTGAAATTTCTTTAAATAAATTTCTTGAAAACAATGGTGGTCACATAGATCATATTATATAAATAAATTGGTTTTCGTTTAAAAATAAATTATTTTTCTTAGGTATGGATACTTTGAAGACACTGTATATCAGATTTCAAGAATTAAACTCAATGAATCCAGAGATTCACAAATATTAGTAATTCAACAAGTCATGAGCAGGTATTTTCTTCTACAGGTGTGCATTCAGTTAGTAGTTGTTTTGTGGTTCCAATGGCTACTGGAATGTCTCTAGTTCTCTGTATGCTGACTATGAAACTTAACAGACCAAAAGCCAGATATGTCCTATGGCCAAGAATTGACCAGAAGTCCTGCTTCAAGTCAATGGTAACTGCAGGTAGGGAGCTCCTATCTTAAATTAGTTATAACCTCTGGTTTTTACATTTGTTGTTTGTTATTCTTGTAAGTTTTTGCAAGTTATGATTAGGGCTGTACCGAATAGTGATTTTCACTATTCGGCCGAATACGAATAGCGGGACCAACTATTCGGCTGAATACGAATACGAATAGTGTATAAAATATATCTAAAAAAAAAAAAACATTCACAATGTCAAATGAACGCTGAACTTTTACTTAACATAAAGTAGCACAGAATAGTCATCTTTTTCTTTAGCATTCTGAGTCGTTTGAGGTTTACTGCTGCAGATATCACTCGCCTCTGTTCATCTCTTTGGCTGGCCTTCTTTTCACAATTTGTGACAACAATTGTTTGCAGGTCTGGCTGGACATTATCTCTCGAACTTCTTTTCTGTCTGCCTCGTGGTCTATGCCCATTCCTCCCTCAGGTGTGTACAGTTTTTACTTCTCTGTCATCTGACATTCTTTCAATATGCCCCAACCATTTTAGTCTGTTAGCTCTTATGATGCCAGTGATCAATGGTGATTTAAACAGATTATGTGTTACGTTATTGCTTCTATCTCTCCATTCCCTGCTGTTAGCATCTTTGATGGGTTCAAAGATTTGTCGTAAGCTTGTTTTCGAAAACCTGTAATAAGGCCTCATTTCGTTTATTTCTGCTTCAAGTTTCAGAGCCATATAAAACGACTGGTTTTATATCGTTTTATATATTTTGATCTTGGTGTTGCGAGACAGAGACTTTGACTTTAGCAGATGTTGAAGGGCTTAGTTACTTTTTTTCTAGATTGTATTCTAGATTGTATTTCTTCTCTCAGCATGTTGGAGCAGTTGAAGTTTGCACCCAAGTACTTATATGTTTCTGTTCGTTTAATTTTCATTTTGTCGACTTGGGTGTGGCCGGAGTTTATAATCTTTCCATGTCTAGTTAGTGTTCGTACAGAATAGTAAACATTTAAAAACATGTTATGTTTTGCATCCTTTAGTCAGTCTGTGGTAACTAATAACTAAGAATGAAAGAATCCTAAGTATTGTAACAAGTAACTAAACTGGGAAATTGTCACTGACAGCTTAGTTAATGCATGAAAGCTGCATTAGCTTTCAACAAAATCAATAGTTCCATGTTTTCAGCACTGAGGCGGTGTATGCAGAAGTGGGTGTAAGGTAACTACTATTCTTATTCGGCCCGACCGCAACTATTCGGCCGAATACCGAATAGTCAATAGGTCCACTATTCGGCCCCGAAGCGAATACGAAGTGAATGTTTGGTACAGCCCTAGTTATGATATATATGGTTTATTAGCTAAACTGTTGCTGAAGTTATTCATGTTTTTATTTGATATGTTGATTTTATGTTTTGCTTTTAAATGAGAAAGACAACAAGTCTACTTCTTTACACCACAGCAAATAAGAAGCGTTTATTTGACGTTCATTTTAAAGCTGTCCATGCCACACTGTGTGTAATTGCATGCTTTGAATATGATCATGTCATAGTCTTGCGATAAATGCTGACTAGTGAGAAAAATAAAAAAAGAGCACATGCTCATCTTCCCATGATAAACTTTCCTACCCAGAGTGTCTCTTATACCCAGTTCCTATCTTTGTGCTAGTCAGTCCCTGCCCCTCTTTCCTGGTACCATGTCTTCTGCCATTATTCTTCTTTCCTATCTGCTTAATTTTTTATATGGCTAAAATATTTCAGTTTCTAGGATAAGATGCTGTTTGCTAGCTTCCTTGATGTTCAGATTTTTCAGGATATCAGTATTTCTTTTTTTTTTTGGTCAGTGGTATTCTGAGAATGCTTCTGCTTCATTAAATTGAAAGTCCCTTTTATTTTTCCCTAATTACTGTGAGAGTATCCATGACTCACAACCATATATTGTGGTGAGGATAGTGTAGGCTCTAAAAATTTTGACTTTGATACTAAATCTTAGACTTTTCATGCTGTTTTGTCTTTGTATTGCTAATCTGTGCATCTCCTTTTCATCAATTGAACAGTCTCCATTTCTGTTTATTATGAATCCTAGATATTCAAAGTCTGTCACATTTTCAGATTTTTCATTGATAATGAATGGTAGAAAATGCACATCAGTTGTTAGAAAATGTCTGTAATCTGTTTTGGTCATAAAAAAACAACCTCCAATTACACCTCTGAGTGGTGGGGAAAGGAAACTGAATGGAACATGCAGCTTTGGTGACCAAGTGTCCACCTGTTAAATAGACAGCTGTACATCTGAACACAAAACCACTGACATATCCTGACAGTCAAGAATTACTAAAGGCTTAGGTAACACCCCTAGGCGAATGGGGAATTCAAGAGGAAACCATACCTTTCCCAGCTATTGTAAATCAAAACAGAGAAAGCTTTTACTTGTATCTTTGAAAATATTGTTTTACAGTAGTTTTTTTTCTTTCTCCCATCCTAGGTCTGGAGCCAGTGGTCATAGAGAATGTTCTGGAAGGGGATGAGTTGAGGACTGATATGGCTGCCATTAAAAATAAAATCACAGAGCTAGGAGCTGAAAACATAGTGTGTATCATGTCTACTACCAGTTGTTTCACACCTAGGGTGCCAGACAGGTAAAGTCTTGTTTTATCTTTGGCTGCCTGGGATATGACATAATGTGTGTCTGAGTGAAGTATTGTGTTCATATATTCTGTAGCACTGGATAATGAGGTCTGTCTGAGTGCAGTATTATATGTTCATATATTCTGTAGCACTGGATAATGAGGTCTGTCTATGAAGTATTATATGTCCATATATTCTGTAGCACTGGATAATGAGGTCTTTCTGAAGTATTACATGTCCATATATTCTGTAGCACTGTAGGTCTGTCTATATGTTCATATATTCTGTAGCACTGGATAATGAGGTCTGTCTGAGTGAAGTATTATATGTTCATATATTCTGTAGCACTGGATAATGAGGTCTGTCTGTCCATATATTCTGTAGCACTGGATAATGAGGTCTGTCTAGTGAAGTATTACATGTTCATATATTCTGTAGCACTGGATAATGAGGGTCTGTCTGAGTGAAGTATTATATGTTCATATATTCTGTAGCACTGGATAATGAGGTCTGTCTGAGTGAAGTATTATATGTTCATATATTCTGTAGCACTGGATAATGAGGTCTGTCTGAGTGAAGTATTATATGTTCATATATTCTGTAGCACTGGATAATGAGGTCTGTCTGAGTGAAGTATTATATGTTCATATATTCTGTAGCACTGGATAATGAGGTCTGTCTGAGTGAAGTATTATATGTTCATAATATTCTGTAGCACTGGATAATGAGGTCTGTCTGAGTGAAGTATTATATGTTCATATATTCTGTAGCACTGGATAATGAGGTCTGTCTGAGTGAAGTATTATATGTTCATATATTCTGTAACTGGATAATGAGGTTGCCTGGCATGTTCACTTCCTTACTAACTGAACCCTTTTCCCCCATTAATGCTTCACTGGCTGCTGAATATTGATACAGGGTTGAAATTGTCTGCCCTCTCCAAGCGTCTTCTCACATGCATTGTCGCATTGTTGGCTGGTATCATGTTGACTATCGCTTGATCTGTTAACACTTAATTTGATACCATATACTGAATGAATGAAGTTCAACCACCACCAGGATCACAAAATGAGCGATAAACACTCGGTGACACAAGGTGCCACGGCTCAGATGAGAATCACCCAGGCGCAAGTCCCAGCAACCCCATTCAACATTAGGTTATATTAGGGCCCCCCTGAGAAAAATTGCTTACCATATTGGGACAGCAGCAGATAATAAGGAACGACACCATATACATATGGGAAACCCACCCGCATGGCTCAGCAGGTTACTTCTTAACTATTGGGTTTTCCTGTATTGCTTATATCGCTGAACATGGTTTATACGATTTGCACATGTTCAATTCTCATCCAAATAGTGACTCCTTGAGTCACTGCCTACCAGTCTTTCAGGCTGCAATAAAAGTTGGGACACATTTTTAAAATTTATTCTTTATAATATAGGGTTTGCTTCTTAGGTCATGAATATTATTTACTATTTTCCTTGTTTGTGACCTCCAGGTTAGAAGAGATAGCAGCAGTCTGTAAAGAACATGATATTCCACATTTAATCAACAATGCCTATGGCTTGCAGTCGACCAAGTGTACTCACCTCATCCAGCAAGCCGCCAGACTGGGTCGGGTGGATGCCTTCGTACAGAGCTTGGATAAAAACTTCATGGTGCCAGTTGGAGGCTCTATCATTGCTGGATTTGATACAAAGTTTGTGGAACAAATTGGGAAAGCATATCCAGGTTGGTCTGTTTTTGTTTTGAGTTCTTGTTCTGTTTCCTCTTCTTCTTCTTCTGTTGTTTGCTTGAAGTAGACTGTTTATATCTGCAGTGCATATGTCTGAAATGTTGTCTTTTATATGAATTTCATTCTTGTTTATTTTAGTCAGCCATCATCATCATCATCATGTGCCCTGCCAACTGGCATAGGTGCTCATGGTCTCCACAGATCACGATCCCTGGTTAACTGGAACAGCTCTCTTGATGATATCCCTCCTTGTAATCGTCTCAGCCCTTCCTGCATCAACTCTTTTGGTCTGCCTCTGCCCCCTTTTCCACTGATCTTTCTAGTTGTCACGATGTTCTCCAATGTCTCCCTTCTCATTATGTGGCCAAGGAACAGTGTCTCTTTCTTGTTCATATTTAGAGATCTACTTTCATAAGCTTCTTTCAAGTTATTTTCAATGATAAAATTATGTTTTTAGTTTTACTAGGCCTAGTGGTATACTGTAATGTGTCATAATCCACAGTATATGTTTTGCTATCTAGGGCACAGACCACCCATATCTGTTATCAGTAAGTGGATGATGAGTCTTCCAGAAAGATTGTTTTGTATGCATTAGCTGTTCATTATCTTGAGAAGGTTGTTATGTATGAGCATTGTGTAAAATATATTCATTGCAGAAATAAGAATTGTTGAAGTTTTTAAATAAAACAGCAAGTCAACATTAAATTGTCTCAACAATGGCGGCTCATAGATAGGTGCTGGAAACTGGAGCACCCTCTACTTTTAATCTATGTTATTGATACCATTCAATATAATGAGTCTTTTTTCTTTTAATTCTTTATACTAATGGATTATACAATCCTTAAATAATAGGAATTATATAATCCTTAAATAAAGGGGACACAAACAATACATTGCACAATTTATTGCCAGGCATATTTTGCTGTTCTTGTCAGAGGACTTACTACAGAGTTACATCAACATAAAATGAAGCACAAAGAAACTGAATAAATCCAACTAAAATGCTTGTGTTTGTCTAGTCGTCAGAAGTTCACCACCGTCACATGATTAACCAAGGTAACTTCAGATTTACTATAAATTCTGTCTGCTCACAAAGGAGGGAGTTGTTAATGTGGTGGGTCATGATGAAAGTGATGTTCTGCAAAGGTACTGCTGTATGATGATGATGATTTATTGGTGTGGTATTTTTTAATTTTATTTATTCTCCGAAGGATTTAAACCTAATTTGTCTATATTGTGGATTTTCACAGGTCGAGCATCAAGCACACCCACACTGGATGTGTTCATTACCTTGTTGTCCTTGGGTGCCAAAGGCTATAGACAACTGCTTGAAGAGCGAAAACAGATGTTTTCTTATATGGCCACAGCCCTATCACAATGTGCTGCCAAATATGGAGAACGTCTGCTAGTCACCAAGAACAATCCTATATCATTAGGTGAGATATCCCCATGTGTGTTTAGGAGCCCCATTTTAGATTGGAGGGGGGTCAGGGATAGTAGACTCTCTGTCACCCTAAGAAGCAGTTGTAAAATGAAATGACTTAGGTTTTGTTAAAACTGGATCCAAAACCATAGATTTTGCAGCCTACCAGTAAACCACCACATGATGTGACCACCACTTTTTTAAGGGCAAACAGCAGAAATAGAAGAAACATTCAGTAAGAGGTAACATGGATTGTTTGCATAGGAGACCTAGACATTAAAAGATAAGACAAGAAGCATAGGACGGCAGCAGGTATGTGGGCTATCAGGCAAATACTCAAAGTTCTGTGGGCGGACTCAAAAACAAAGGAGATAGTCCACCAAAAAAGTAAAATGAAAACTGTGTTGAGTTAAAAAATAATATTTTCATCAAGGAGTTTTGACACTTGTTGTGAGAAGGCATTCATCAATAAATGTAGTAACTGCTGGTAAACTTACGGGGAAAGAGCCAGAGGAAGAACAATAGATGCATACCTGGTTGGCTTGGCATGATCATGGTAAGAGAACATTGACAATTTAAGACATATGATTTGAGACAGGTGATTATCTGAGATCAGGATAGTAACACAGACTTTATCTGAGACAGGTGATTGTCTGAGATCAGGATAAGAACACAGACTTTATCTGAGAAAGGTAATTATCTGAGATCAGGATAGTAACACAGACTTTATCCTAGGCAGGTGGTTGTCTGAGATCAGGATAAGAACACAGACTTTATCTGAGACAGGTGGTTGTCTGAGATCAGGATAAGAACACAGACTTTATCTGAGAAAGGTGATTATCTGAGATCAGGATAAGAACACAGACTTTATCTGAGACAGGTGATTGTCTGAGATCAGAACCATGCTTATCAACATACTGTGTGACGATTTTACATAATGTGTGTCCACATAACGACAGTCAGTAAGGAGAGTTTATTTTTTCAGTGTCCAGATAGCTTAGTTTGTGTAGTTATCTTACTTCCCTAATCTGCCTACTTCTTATTTATCATTTGTTTAATTACCATAGTAGTTTACTTTTCTAACTGAAATTAATCCACTTAAGGAGCTCAACTCTTTCAGTCCCAGGCAGGTATCACTTAACTCATTAACTCCTTGATATCTTTCACCAGCAGTCAAAGTTGTTTAGGTCTAGAGGAATTAAATTAGGCATAATAAGGCACCAAAAGGGGTTAAGTAACATTTGGGTTAACACAGGTTATTATAACAGCTACTTGATGAAAACAATGTTTAGAAAAGGCATATCAGGGAAGGAGTAAACAAAAAACCATTCTGGGTAGCTTATATTCCTCAGGCATGATGTATCAGCCTGTCAAGCAGCTGAGGTTGCACAGGCAGAGAAACGGAGGCAGACTAAAAAGAATCATATTGCTAATCCCAAACTTACTGCGGCTTCCACCTGTTGTCCGCACTGCTCAAGAACTTTCCAAGCTCATATTGGACTAATCAGCCACCTTCATAATCGTTGATCATTACTACTTTGGACAGAAAGTAGTCTTCATCACTCGTGATGGACAAACAACAACAACAGCAAATACAGTAAATTTGTGGTGGGGTTGACTGAGACTGAATGAGTTAAAGGGGAGAGGGGGAGAGGGAAAAAAACATACAGAAACAGTTAGGTTTTTGTGCAGAAGCTATTGTCGACAAACACCAAAACCACAAGTACATTGTAAGGAAATATCTACTCTTCAGGTATCACCCTCAGCCTCTTAGATGACCCCAAAGGTGAGAAAGCAACAGAGATAGGATCTATGCTGTTTACAAGATTTGTTTCGGGCACAAGGTAACGTCATCAGAAGTTGTCCATTAATACTTGTATATATTTTTTCCTGTGGGGGAAGACAGTAGACCCACTTACCCCCCCCCTTTTTTTTCCCCACATACCAGCAAGTGTGTCATAAAAGGTAACTAAAAGTTTTTTTTTTCTTTCTAAAATCTGATATGTTGGGCTGAAATGTGCAGATATCACAGCCTAGGTGGAAACCACAATCCAGTGTGTTAACTGCCCTTTAAAGGGCGATTGCAGAAGAAGATGAAATGTGCACTTTCATTGGCCTTAGTGAGGAATCTGCCACCATACAGTGGCTAGATGTTTGCCTGCCGGCTGAAATTTATTTAATGAAAATCCTACCTGGAGTGAATGTTATAACTGAACCATGGCTGCCATTGGAAGCAGCGTTGTTGTGGTGACTAGACACTGCCTGTTGGGCTAAAGGTCATGGGTTCAAATCATCATTGAGTCCGATTCTTTTCAAAAATGATCTTAACTCCCAGGTTGACCCAGCCTAAAATGGGTACCAGGTAAAGCCCTGGAAAGTAAAGGTGGCTAGCATGATGTTAATCATATCACCCATCGAAGTGGTCACCCATTGGGCTATTAAAAATTTGAATAGTTGGTCTATATAAAGGTGAGTAGTATCATAGAAAAGAGCCACAGAATGACTCATATTTTTTATAAAAAAGCAAAAAGAAATGCAGATTAGACAGATGAACTGACAGAGAGAAAGAGAGAGAGAAAATGATGAGCAACCTTTATTTTTAAAGGTTTACAAAGAAAAAGAGGTGTAGAGGCTAGACGCTGAGCAACCGAAGGTCATGTTTTGAAATCTGCATTGAGCGGTCACTCAGTTTACCTCTCCCTCGTGCATTTTTCCGGAATATGTCAGAACTAAATGTTTCTTCACTTGTTTTCACACGGGACGGTGAGGGACATTTTGTATGATTTTCGGTGACACCGGAAAAGAGCAATAAGGGGGGGACCCATTTATATTGAAGTTGAAATCTTAACTACCTAACATATGTTTTTGTTGTAATTTTTTCATAATTTAGTGCTATTCTTTTACACACTCCTTTGAAGTCAGACTGCATCTCTCAGAGGGAAAGAACCAACAGTTTTCATACAAATAAGGCAGATCAATAAAACTGATGTACACACAAAACTCAGGTTCTAGAACAAGACGGCAGTCATAAAGTGAATGAACAAAAAGAACTCTGCACTGGAGTTTACAGCCAGTCAACACGAAAAAGACAAAAGTAGATTCTTTATGTTATTTTATCAACTCTTTCACTGATTTTCATACAGAGTTATTGCCCCCAGTGAAGTATCCCAGGTGAGTGGGTTCTCCTTCAAGAACTTTGGAGCTCACAGTGACAACTATCCAACTGCCTACCTTACTGCCGCTGCAACAGTGGGTATGACAAAGTCTGATGTGGACATTTTTATACAGCGGCTGGAGAAAGTTCTTTCGAAGTTCAAGGAGCAGGCAACTGATTCAGAGCTTGAGAAAAACCTTAAACAATGATGTTGTGTCTTTTTAAGATGACGACACGCAGTATGATTGAATGCATGAGTGTTGTCGCATTGTAGGACGCGTACAGTATCACAGCATAAATGTGGGCATTGTCACTGAAAAATGAGCATTATAGTTTAAAAGTAAAGGACCAATTTTCTGTCAGTAAGGGTGGAAGGAGGCAAATGATGTTAGACTCATATTTTAAAAAATAGATCAGTCAGTCTATTTGATGTGGTCAAATCATACCTGCTGCCACTTTTACATCCCAAGAAACAACAGTCTATTTGATGTGGTCAGATCATACCTGCTGCCACTTTTACATCCCAAGATGCAACAGTCAGTCTATTTGATGTGGTCTGATCATGCCTGCTGCCACTTTAACATCCCAAGATGCAACAGTCAGTCTATTTGATGTGGTCAGATCACAACCTGCTGCCACTTTTACATCCCAAGATGCAACAGTCAGTCTATTTGATGTGGTCAGATCATACCTGCTGCCACTTTTACATCCCAAGACACAACAGTCAGTCTATTTTCATCATTATTTAAGGTGGACATTATTATTGTGTAGATGTGCTTTTAGTACTGTGTAAGTGGTCACCAGAGTGCATTTATCTTCCATATTATTAAAAGAAAACATTTTCAACAAACCTGCCATATTGATTTATTTGGTTAACAAAGATTTTGTTAAAGGCTTTCATTGTGAGACCCTAGGCCAGGGACAGCTACCCAAGAGGTTAGAGTACTAGGCTTTGCTGCGCAGACCCAAGTTTGATTATCAGTATTATGTGTGGAACAAAAGTAAAAACCCTAACTTGCACAGTTTGTGGCGACAGCACTAGCCATGCGGCCCTAGTTCCTCAGGCTCATGACCCCACTGTTCTGCACCTCCCTTAACGTGGTCAGTGCAGGCAGTAATTACAGTTTTTATCATAGGATGGACAACAGCAGCAGCATGTGCCATCCACAACAATTAGCAGTTGCATGCTGTGCTCCATTAAAGTATGATTTCATTAAAAAAAAAAAAATTGAATTGAACACGGAGGACAGGAATAACTTTTAGTTGCATGGTGTTCTCATTGAATTTTGATCTAATTTAAAAAAAAAAAAAAAAAAAAAAAATAAAAAAATATATATATATATATATATATAAATATATATATATACTTTTGAACTGAATGTGAAGAGCAAAAACATTTTTTCAGTTGCATTTGCTTATTTAAATATGATCTCATTACACAATTATTTTTGAACTGAATAAGAAGGAAAGGGTTTGTGTCAAAATTCACTACACATTGTCATTATATTACGTTACAGCTTATGAACTCGGACCGAGAAAAAGAGTGACTTCACTTGCGATTCATCCCTGGTTGTGTCGTATAGCCTGTCCTATGTTGCCGGGTTGTCACGCTTAGTGAGCGTCCAGCAAAACAAAACATTGTATGCAATGTTTTTCACTGGCTGGCGATACCATGTAGTCTGTATTCCACAATGTGAGCGCTTTTAACAAGAGATTTCACGAGAGAGTGCAGCCTACATCCCACGATTGCATGTAGCCTCTTACAACAACATGTCAAATATGTTGTGTTGCTGGACGCTGACTAAGCGTGACACCCTTGCAACATAGGACAGGCCCTACAATATGACTAGAGAAGAATGGGAAGGGATATAACTCACTTTCTGGGCCCGACTTCATGAGTTGTTCCAATATTACCAATAATATTTACAAGTATGAAGTTAAATTTAAAAAAAAGTAGAGGCAATTTTCACATCTTTTTTTACGTACAAGAAGAAAAAAATTAGAAAGCCCATTTAGATTGATTCACTGTGTCATGGGACTGTACATCAAAACAAATCCATCAGGGCATAGACAGCAGCACAATTGCTGTTTGAGGATACACACCGACCGTAGGCCTATTTATTAGTCACTGTGGAACAGAAGTTGTCCTGAAAGACTGCTTGTGTTTATACTACCCACCACAACCTGTCGAAGTGCTTGAAAATCACTACTCACCTTAGCCCTATGGTTGCCTACAGCGTTTCTGGGTCTGAGCCAGACCCCTCATACAAGCCCCCCCCCCCACACACACACACCCACGTCTGCCCCTGCGCTGCAAGCCACTGTCAGTGTATCCCTGCATGGCAATAGGAGTGAACTTGGATGGACCTCGACACTAAGTTGACTCGTATTAGTACAAAACCCACGACATTGATTCTCTTCCTTATTCTCAATTCCCTTCAAGTCTTTACTTAGTGACTTTTGAATCTATCACTTTCAGACTGGAGCCACTATAGTGACTGTTTATAGAGACACTTTAATATTGTTTCGTTTGCTGAGAAAACAAATTTGTATGAACATGTTTTGAAAAACTAGAATTAGCTAAACAAAGTCCTTTCGTTTTTTAAGTTCAGCTTGGTGTTTGGGTCACTTTCTGATTTGTTTTTAATTAATTAGATGTGATACAATTTGTGGTTTTTTTTTTTCCAGACCAAATGTTAAGGAAAAGGTGTAGAACTGTTCATACTACTCTGTCATGATTGAATGTCAGCCAGATAGTGACAGTAGTCCTGATATTATGATTTATATTTCATGTGCCAAACCTGTTGCGTAAAATATAGGTAAGGATGAAGCTGAACAAAATATTTCAAGCCGATCATCTCTGTTTTGATCAGCTGTTTTCCCGATTTTGGTTATTGTGAAATCTGGCATATTATACAAAAATGCCTCCTATTGTAGTAGGTTCCAGCGCCCCACTATGTGGCTGGGGGGAGGGAAGGGAGGGGGGGGGGGGGGTGGAAGAATAGACAAAAATATTATAAAAGTTGACTAATTATGGGCCTTTCCTTTGAAGTCGGAATGCATTTGCCTTAGAGTTGAGGAACCAGTAGTCTGCATACAAATAGACTCAATATGTACAATGGTTGTGCACGCAAAACGCAAGTTCTGGAACAAGACTTGATAAAAGTCAGAAGTGGATGAAAACCAACACTTTCCAGACAAAGCAGATGATCTCTTTTGCTTTCCCATTGACGATGATCTCTTTTGCCTTCCCATTGACGATGATCTCTCTTGCCTTCCCATTGACGATGATCTCTTTTGCTTTCCCATTGACCATGATCTCTTTTGCCTTCCCATTGACGATGATCTCTTTTTCCTTCCCATTGACGATAATCTCTTTTGCCTTCCCATTACTCTTTACCATCGATCTTATCACTCGTTGCCGCGCTTTTGAGTCCAGTCCTTCTTAAAACAACTACATAAACAACCAGAAACGAAATTACCAATTAGCCGCGATTCCGAATTGAATTCTTAATATTATGATATTACATAGGACCTCAAACGGGAAAGGTTACACTGGACCAGTTCACTGAATAAGTCCAGAGTGGACAAACAGACAGACCAGACCATGCAGAAAAACTGGACTCAAGAGGCTGGTCAATCGACTATCTAGATGATCAAGATCCAAACAGGCTAGAAGACTTACTGGCGAAATGAACGTTGGATTGACAGACCGACTGAAATGACAATTTTCGACTGAGAACGAGACGGGACGGCAGAGGCATGACAAAACAGGGCGGGGAGGTGTCAGCGACAAATTGAGGAAAATACAAAATTGGGGGGGGGGGGGGGGGGGGGGGGGGGGGGGGGAACAAACGGGACGAGACAGACTGCTTAACAGACTTTCAGAAGGACCTCTAAAAGTACAAACGGACTACCCTGTCTGATAAGAGAAGCACGCTACATTGAGACACAGACTTATCTGTTGGGGGAGGGAAAAAGGGGGTGGGAATGCAGTTAAAGTCTGAAAGGCTCCGTCCGTCTTTGATCAGCCGGATAGATCAGGCTATACACACAGACCAGAAAGACAAGGAAACCTGCAGATTAGAGCAGACCAACAGACTGATGAGACAAGTGACATGCATTTTTCATACTAGACAGACAAACGACTATGCAGAGAGTTTCATATAAATCTGTCATAGCTCGAAGGCAGGGGAGATGTTTTGTTTTCTTTCTGAGACAAACATAACAAATATATTTGACAGCAAAAATACTAAAATTGACTGAGTAAATGAATCAGTGCAGAACATTATACACAGTTGTGACAATCAGAATATGACTGTGACAGTCAGAACATGACTGTGACAATCAGAACATGACTATGACAATCAGAATATGACTGTGACAATCAGAACATGACTGTGACAATCAGAACATGACTATGACAATCAGAATATGACTGTGACAATCAGAACAAGACTATGACTATCAGACACATGTTCTGGTGATGGATGCGAATGACACAAGAAAACATTATGACGACTGGAAAGAACAGTGTTATGACACGCATAAATAGACAGATAAATAAGGATGAGAGATGATGGTCTGTGAGTGTGTCATTAAAGATTCTTCTTCTTCTTCGCGTTCAACAGCTGTGAACTCTGGCAGAAAGTTCTGGTTGTTCACCCAGTTCTGGACTGCAGTCCTGTTCCAGAACCTGAGTGTTGCATGTGCATCCGTTTTACAGATCTGACTCATTTGTATGCAGACTGCTGGTTCCTTGCCTCTCAGGTAGATGCACTCCGACTTTGAAGGTAGCTCCCAATTAGTCGACTCTTACGAATGTTATTGGGTAGGAATTGGGTCTATTCTTGTTTTCCCTATAACAGGCCCCGGAACCCACACGGGGTTTTTGAGGATTTTAAAAGAACTAAACCCAGAACATTAAGCTAAGAGATTGGGGACCCCATACGTAGTCCAATAAGACATAAGAAGATGATGATCCAATAAAAAGAGTGAAAACAGACATTTGGTCATAAACAAAAAATACAAGATGCATGCAGTCGTGAGACCTAGGCTGCACTTTCTCGTGGGACGTAGGTGGGTTGGGGTTAGGACCAGTTCTAGATGTTTTGGGGTCGTTAAAAGCGTCAGAAAGCCGAAACTCAGTCTAAACACCCTATACAATGTTGCGGACTGTCCTGTGACGTCATCTTGGGGTAGGATAATA